TCTTTATCCATTTTCTAGATTAAAGATACCAAGATTCTACCTATTTCTCAATCTATAGTTGCTCGAGCATAACTTAGCTCTGTAAAATTTAGGCCTAAAGTTTGCATACCTGGGCAGCAAACATAGATAAAATGCCACTCCCAGCACCCACGTCGACCACAACACGACCCACAAAATCTGAACGATTCTCCATGACTGCAGCATAATATGTACCTGAAGACATGAATGAGTATCATAAAGAGCTATCCCGAGTCAAACACCAGTGCAAAGAAAACAGAGGATATTCTTCTGATCATATTTGCATTCTCTGAAATAAAACGAAAAAGTGAAACAGTTCTGAGGCACCCAATACATTAACGGCCACATATTTTACCTGTCCTCACATAATCTTGTAGCATATTTTGCTGATGTAGAAGTTGTCCATAATAATGGAAATACATTTTGGCCGAGGACGCCTCTATCTTATCGTCAAACTTGCTTTTATTAGATGAAGAAATTGTTCCATTTTGCAAGGATGATCCTAGAAACGAAAGGATGAGAAGACAGTAAAGGAGTAAGCACAAAAACATGCATAGATTTCAAAATGGGCAATCATAACGTATAGTGGAAAGTGGATACACAAGTGACCACATAGAAAAATTGGTTCTTTAGAGTCAAGAACAAACCTAAATTCTCATATAACTATTCCATAAGATCTAGAAGTAAATTGATACAGGACCAACAAATAACATGTCCAAAGGCGCACCTTTAACAACAGCATCCTTTCTCCACTCTTCAAATGAATCACAAAAATCCTTGCTGTCCTTCTCATTCCTAAATTTTATATTGACTCCTTTGGAGAATTTCTGTTTCGAAAAAAAAAAAATCATGCCATCAAGAAAAGAAAAAAAATAATCTTTTTTTTTCTTTCTTTCAAGAATCGCTATAGAAATCGAAACTCTAGAAGAAAAGTAAATAACTCAACGTACCTCCTCTGAGGACTCTGAACTATCAGATACACAGATGAATTGTATCGGCCCCAATTTGAATAACTGCTAAACGTAAACGAAAATACAGTACGATCAAATGCATGCATTCTCAGACGTAACAAGACGCAATCAGATTAGAAAAAAACATAAGCCCAACGAGCTTTACCAAAACATTTTTTTTGTAAGTTTAGAATTAAATCTCAGACTAAAATTCGGTAGCAGATTAGTTCAAACTCCAAAAAAGATCGCGAAACAACAATGTGAAACAAAGAATTGGAGAAAAAACTGAGTTTTCTTCCAAAATTCATCTTCGTGTAGCAAAGAGATTAGAGACGTTTCAAACGAGATGGGGAAAAAAAATCAAAAGCGATGAGATTCAGAAGAACAGTAACAGTAGCAAGTGAATCGACATGTACCTGAGCTGAAGCGAGATCAAAAGTGAAACAATGGGCCGAGTCTGATTGCAGAAATCGGAGCTCCGTGACTCCATCAACGGACGAAAACGTAGCTACAGCAGGAGAGGAAGACGAAACGGACGGGGAGGAGAGATCAGTGACCGAGTCCAGAGAAAACTCCAGCTGCTCAAGTTTTTTCAAAGGAGAGACCTCCATTGCAGAACAAACAAGAAGCTACGAAAGTACAGAAACAGTATCTGTTTGCGTAAAGGATGCTTAAGAATTTTAGGGTTTTACTACTGAGAGCTTCCGAGCTCTGAGGGAGAGAGAGAGAGTGAGAGAGCCGCCAAGAAGAGAAATAAAACAGTGGCTTTTCCGTAATTTTTCGCGACGTTGAAAGTCTTGCTTTAAACCGGAAGCTTTTTTAGTAACCAAAGCCCTGGGAACAAAATCGAAAGGGAAATTTGCAATTTAAACCGGAAGCTTTTTTAGACCGTATCTTAATACTTAAACCAGATTTTTTTTTTTTTGGAACAATGGCTAGTTTTCTTTTAATTTTGTAAAGTATAAGTAAAATTTCTGTGAGAAGTGAAAACTACATTACCAAGAAAAAGGATTGGTTCTCAACATACCTCAAATGTTGAATCAAAGAAACTAAAAACTAAGTGCAAAATTGAAACACTTAACTCTTAAAGCTTCACCATAATAAAGCCAAAATTTATGTTAAGAACAAGTTTCTCCCTAACATTACTTTATAATTATACATTAAAACACCTAGTAAACTAAACAGCTTTGCAGGTTTTCTTGTTATGTCCTAGTCCCTTGCACTTGCTACACTGTAGCTGACGTTTTATCATGTCCAACGGCTCAACACGCTTCATCTTGGGTCTTCCCGGTGTTCTTCTTGTGGGAGGAGGAGTCACGGCAACCAAACCCTCGGGCGGCTCATCCAGCATCATCCTGTCCATGTTTGGGACAGGTTGGATCGACTCTGCATACATTAACCGGTGACTCTCAACCGTGAAGTATCTAGAGCAGTACTCATAAGGGCTTTTCCCTATACATTCAATCACAGCAACTGCATGGCTACAAGGTAAACCGGTTATCCGCCACATCTTGCAGTCACAATCACACTGGTCAATATCAACTATGTTGATAGAACCTTCTCCTCCACCATTAACCTGGAATAAGCTACCTTCTGGCGATGAAACCTGAAGTAACTGTGCAATTCCTATTTCTTTCTGAAGCTTCTCTTCGTTTGACGGTGTTAGAGCTGTGACCCATTCCCGGGATTGAACCTGACGGGTATAAATAGATTGCATCATCTTTGCTCGGAATTCGTCAATCATTTGGGTGATGGGAAACTCGTGTGCTTCAGACACCCAGCTGTAGAAGTCTAGCCCAAAGGTTGAGTACATCTGGTTATATCTCTCTCCTTGGAACAACGCATTTGCCCAATGGTGTGGCTCGCTTTCTATAACCCAGGCATAAGCATCAGGAGATATACTTTTTATATTCTCCAAGGCACTGTAATAGCCCTCAGGTGTTGTTGCATATGCCACAGAGTAGAAATCGTTGAGCATATACCGTCTTGCTTCATGAGAAAACTGCCCCTTCAAGTCCGAATTTAGTTTCTCAGCGAGCTGGCGTAGACAGTACGCGTGATGTGCATCTTCAAAGACCTGAGATATTGCATTCTTCAGACCATTCTGGAAATCTGCAACAAATGTGATTCTTCGCGGCTCAGACAATGCAGATTTGAGTTGTTCCAAAAACCAGAGCCAGTTCTCCTCTGTCTCTGAATCCACGATAGCAAAAGCTACTGGAAATACTCCATCTTCGGCGTCAGAAGCTGTTGCAACGAACATAACACCCTGGTATTTTGAGTTTAAGACAGCGTTGTCAAGGAAAAGGAGAGGGCGGGAACCCTGTTTAAACCCAGATATTGAAGCATAAAACGATATGAAAAGACGATGGAAGCTCGAATCTTCTTTTGTCATGAAAGTCGCAATACTTCCAGGATTTGTCTCCTTGATCTTCTCGCAGATTAAGGGAAGTTGACTATACGCCTCTTTATAAGAGCCTTGGAGCTGCTCTCTGGCAACCTCTTTTGCCCGCCATGCCTGTGAGTAATTCAATTGAATACCATACTCTTTTTTAATGTCCTCAGCAATATCCTTGGGCTTGTAGTCTGGGAAGGCTTTCAACTTCTCTTTCAAGATGGTTCTTACCCATCCTCTAGTTGCACGGTAACCAGGTTTGATGACTGCCCTCTCACATGTGTGCCTCGGGTTCATTTTCTTGATACATATCAACTGAGTGGTTGATAGCCTCGCTGCAGTGATACGCCATGGACAACCTTGAGCTTTGCATTTGACAGAGACTCGATGACTGTCATTTTTCTTGTATTTGTAAGCAAAACCATGGGCGACTGAATACTTGTGCAATGCATCTCGGAACTCAATAAAGCTATTAAACCGTTGATCAACACCCGTGATGACGTTTTCCCACTGCTGTATCGCCGTGTGATGCTTCTGATCAACCAAAACGAAATTGCACGGCAAAGGGCTTTCATCAGGCATTGCCAAATCAATTTGATAATCATTAGTCATATCCTCATCAACAACATCTCCTGCAGCAGTAATTACAGGTACCACCCCTTCTGATGCCGTTGTCCTGCTTGACCTGTAAAAGCAATTTACACATTCTTTTACCTAATTCACACCATTAGCGACTAAACCACAGGCCTCATAGCTGCAAACAACTTGGACATAACCGTACAATTCTAGCAATGATCAGCTCAGTTGACCAAACACATTCTACACTAATCCAAAACTTGTTCTATAAAGTTGTGAAAATGGAACAAGAGAATATAGAAGAAAGCAAAATGAAACATGTACCTACTAGCTGGCATGTTGGAGACATTTTTGGCACCACCTTCTTCAGGTATGACGAAGATTTCAACGTTTCCTGCATCGGTAGAGAAGTTAACCATGCGTATAAAATCCTTGTCCTTGGAGATGGTAATAAGGGTCTTCTTGTTTCCAGGGAGAAAGTACTTAAGACTCATCGTCTCCAACCCAAACCCGAAATTCTCAGCCAACTCTGACTTGAAATCGCTCATTGAAGTGTTCTGATCGATGTCTATTGCAAAGGCATCGCCACCGGAATACGATAACGATCCATCTTTGATAGTCACAAACTCTCCTCCTGACTGACATATAGCTATGACTTTGTTGGTGGCCATGACAAAACACCTATAAAACCAAACGAGACTGTATATTACGAAAAAAAACAAAGAAATCTATATCACCTATTGCATAATCACGACTCCTCAATGTACGAAATCGAAACATCTACGAACCCTAATTTCCTAAAAACGAATCCAAACTTGAATAATAGATCACAGTTCCTACAGAACAAGCCGGTAAAAGGAAGTACTAGTCATCAGAAAAAGGGAAAAAAACAAAAACAGAAAGGACCCTACTGATGAATTACCGTTGATTACTCCAGCCTAAAACAGAACGAGCAAGAATTGGGTTCTCGTTTCAGGCAAAATCGAAATTGCCGAGCTTTTTTTTTTCTGCAGACCCAGAGACCCAGAGAGAGAGAGATGGTGAGAGTTTGAAACGTTCACGTGCGGCCCTAAGAGAAAAGGGAGACGCCAATCGCAGCGTTTACGACGAGAGAACCTAGGATTAAGATTAGCGTTTCGCGTCATTACCGAATCGATTAAACCAAATCAAGCCAAAAAAACACCATTAATCCTCGGTTGAACCAAATCAATCTTATGAACCGAACTTTTCGGTTCATCCTTTAGTCCGGTTCTGAAAACATGGCCAAACTAATCATCAATACGCACCGTTTTACAGGCCTTCCCTATAATCAGAATCTTAAGATTATTACACACAGAGGCAGAGAACACGAAGAAGAAGAAGCAGCAGAAGATGGGTTGTGCTACACCAGCGCTTCCTCCTTCACTCTTTACTAATGGGTCCCTATCCTCTCCTCAGAATATCTCTGTAAGCGCCTCAAAAATAATCTCTTCCTCCGAATTTCGACTTCTCTGTTGACTTGGAAATGCCTAACAGAGTTTTTTTTGGTAATTTAATCTGAACTTGTACTTTGCAGATGACTGCATTGAACAGTTTGGTTAAGGTTAGTGACCCTGGTAGTTATAAATGGCGCCTTGTGATTGCCTACGATGGCACCAAATTTGCAGGTTCGTCTTCGACAACTGAACAAATTTCTGTGTCTTTTATAGAACCATACAGTGTATTCTACAGATATATAGAATAGTCCCAACCTCAAGCTGCAAGTGTGGCTCTTTAAGGGGTGAAATTATATCTACAGAGTTATTTCACAGACTTCATGTGATTCTGGTGTAGAGAAATTTCGTTAGTTTATTTTCCTCAAATTTCACTTGAATTGGTGTTAGAGAGAGAGAGGGAAAAGATTGTTTGTCCCACTTACGTCATTGAGATCTGGAGTAATATTTCCGAGAGAATGTTCTCTTGAAATCCATTATCTTTGGCATGTAATTGAAGCATAACGCACTGTTTTGAAACTTTCACTTTGGTTTTGCTCCTAGTTTGAATGCTATCTAACAATCTTGTTTCCATATATCGAACTGAAATCGGCCGTTGGTTTCAGGTTGGCAATATCAGGTGTCACCACCAACGATCCAATACATGTTGGAGAAAGCCTTAATTCAGATAACAAAGCTCGGGAGAAAAGAGCTGCTTCTAGTTGGAGCTGGTCGGACTGATGCAGGAGTTCACGCTTGGGGTCAGGTTCGACTAATCTCTCTCTCAACTCTCGATTCATTCTCTCTTGCCTAATCTTGCTTTTCGTTTTTGCAGGTAGCTCATTTTGTAACTCCTTTCAATTATACTAGCTTGGAAAGCATTCACGCCGCTTTAAACGGTCTTCTTCCTCAAGATATCCGTGTCAGAGAGATTAGTGCGGCGGTTCCAGAGTTTCACGCTCGGTTTTCTTGCCGTAGCAAGGTTTACCGCTACCAGATTTACAGTGACACTTTCATGGACCCGTTCCAGCGTCATTGGGCTTACCATTGTGCTTATAAACTGAATGCTTGTAAAATGCGGGAAGCTGCTCAGCATTTTGTTGGAAAGCATGATTTCTCTGCATTTGCTAACGCTACAAGGGAAGATGGTGTACCTGATCCGTTGAAAACTATATCTCGCTTCGATATCATACAAATGGTAATAATGAAACTCAATTCAGCAAAAAGTTAGCTCAAGTGTCAGACTTTGACCTTTGTTGTGTTTTGGTTGTTCAGGGATCTCTTGTGCAGCTTGAAGTTGAAGGTTCAGGCTTTATGTACAGACAAGTCAGAAACATGGTTAAGTCTATATTCTCTCTTAACGACCCCTAACATGATGAAATATTCTTTTAGTCTGCTGAGTCATATCCACATTTGCAGGTGGCCTTGCTGATTCAGGTTGGAAAAGAAGCATTGGATTCAGACATTGTCCCAATGATTCTGGAAACCAAAGACAGGAGGGAGCTTGCAAAGTATACATTGCCTGCGCCGCCTCATGGTCTTTCTCTTGTGTCTGTCAAGTATAAGGAAGATCATCTACAACTTCCACCTGATTGTCCTGTAACTAGTTTTGGTAGACATCATACTTTAACAAAATGTAAACTTCCCTTCTATTGAAACACTCTTCTGTTTAAGATAGAAATTGAAAGAAGAAGAAAAAAAAAAAGCATCGTCTATTTACTTCTCTGAACGGTTACAATCCTCACAGGATCATGCTTTTAACAATTTGAGTGGATAATCCTTAGGCTATATCTCATAGAATCGAAGCTCAATCATGAATTCTTTCTGTTTCGGGGAATACCAAGCAACAGCCTTGGCAGAACCTAGCACTTGAAGAGCATATTCGATAGCAAATACTGTGTTATTTATAGTTACGGGGTTAGCTCCATTCTTCAGATCGATCTGAATTCCAGACTCAGCTCTTAAACTAAACGGTCCAATAATCTGCAACAAAATCCATAGAAGGCTTATGAATCAAGTAGCTGAAACTTATGAATCAGAGCAGAATATTCGTTTTTTTCTTTTACCTGTTGCTGCAGAGAAACTGATACTTCAGGACAGATTTTCTGAAATGCTTCTAAACTAGGCTGCCGAGAATTCAAAAGTTCTTGTGCGACACTAGTGGCACCGGTAAGAAACCTCAGACCATGCGGAAAGTCTAATCTAGCATGGAAGCGGGTGAGATCAAAGAAGAGCTTCTGGAAGTTTCCATATTGAGCTGTGAGTGATGCGCGTCCTAAGGCATCAGCCATGAATCCGGAATTTACAGATGGAACATGAAGAGAGAACCCTCCAACACCTTCAGAATCCTGCTCAAGTTTCGATCTGATTGAATTTTCACCATATGCTGCAGTCATCACACCACCTGTGGAATTAATGAAAGTTATCAGTAACATAAGAAAGATCATCCCAATGACAAGTGCTTCCTAAGCGGATGGCTCACTCAAACATGAAACTTTCAATCAGATCATTCAGATGAAAACAAGCTCCCACAAATTCACCATTTCCATTACTAATTTTGTCTTGACGATAAAAATGCCACTGAAATGAGTGGAAGAAACTTTATCATACCAATAATTCCAGACACTGAGACATGAGGACTACTGAGTAAGATGTCATAGGGCTTGCAGTTTTCGAGCTTTGGAATGGTACCCCTCCATAGATCCATGTTTGTCCTGTAAGAGACTGCGGATTTTAGAGACAAGCCAGGAAGCAGAGACGGTGGAGGCACTTCCATAGCATCAGAATTCAACTTCTTGGGCGAGCCGCTGTTATGGTGTAAACATAAATGATAACTTGGACCAGACTCAGCAGGAAGAGAAGCAAGATCAATAGCCATTGATAATGGCACATCCCAATATTCACCATGTTTATCCACAAATAGTCCAGGCCAAACCGCTTCTGCGGTCAGATTGTGAAGCGGAAACTGAAAAACGATGGCATTACAAAGTAATTATTCACAATACCAACCACATTGGGAAAATTGATAGAGACAACAAAGCAAACGACGGATAACAAAGGAATTGCCTTGTGATTGAAGACAGCTTTAGCCCTAGGATTCTTCTCAAGATCACCTCTGTAAGTATCATAGCTAAGAAGCAAAGTATCCTCTGGTGAAAGCAACAACTCAGAGCAGAAACCCAGTGCGTACAGCGATTTATCCTTCAAATGCTTGGCAATTGTGTTAAAACGAGAAGCAGCTGCAGACGAAGACCCTCGAACAAAACCTTCACTCTTTTTTACCTCCGATACGAATCTCTGAACATCGAATTGGCCCAGAAGAGATACAAACCTTGGGATTTACAGAAACAAGAGCATTTAGCGAAAGTATCAGGAAAACGGAAGGGATTTTCGAATTTGGTGAAGTACCAGTTGTTGGAGAAAGGGAAAGTGAGGACTCTTTGAAGAGATAATCCACCACCGCCTCCATTGCCTTCAACGCCGGTGGTATGACGGAGAGAAGAGAAGGAAGGGATAAGAGGTGTGGCCATGAAGCGGTGGAAGAACTCAGCCTGCTTAGGGCGAGAGAGACGAGTGCCTCTGGAGAGACCCAGAGGAAGAGGGTCGTCGGAAACAGCTCGTGCGGTGGCCTCGAGTGTCACCGGAGTAGACACATCGAGCTCCCAGATGTCGCCTTCTCCGACCCATCTCAGTCTGTTCATCGCCGTCGTCCGCACGATTTCTTCAACCAGCTGACCTCGAGATGACCAAATTATTCGTTTATTATTACTCATTTACTCTGGATTTGTTCGGTAAACACCTTGACGTTTTTAGGTTTCCATAAGACAAATGCTTGCCGTTTTTTGTTCGGCTGTTGGTCTGCTTAATATGTGTGACAAAACTTAAAGGCAAACGAATTCAATTATCAAATCAAATCTACCCAATGTTGTAAAGGACTATGTGTATCAAACGTGAAAGAAAAAGCAATGCTCCATTTCAAGATGGAAAATTCGATTTGAGATTTACATACGTACACTTGTTGTGGCTAGCGATGAAGTAGACAAATGAATACATTAAAAAAATAATCAAGATATTTTAGTATCGGCAAAAAAAAATTAAAACATAGAATAACATAATGTACAAAATATGTTATATTGATAGATTATGTAGTGGAGACAACAATATGTTATATTGATAGATTTTCCGTAGCGAAACTTTAAATACAAATTTGGCTATATAAACTTTATCAATTCATGTTACGAAATTACTTTTACCAAATACCTGTGGGTTAATAAATCGCACAATATATATAGTATTTTTTTTTCCTTAATAATGAGTGAAAAAGTTATATCTTTTTGGGTTGGTTGGTGTTTCGTGCATGGTTCCTCTCGGATTCCAAATTAGCCAACCTTATTATATATATAAAGAGACCTAGTGGTTTGAACCCTAAACCATCAGGCCTCACATTCCTTCACATGCTTATATGTATCTTTAGATATATACGAACACGCAAAATACATCTCTTTCTCTCTCTCTCCAACATCTTTTCCTTTCTAAAGGATTATAATGGGAGGTTCTTGGCGTTTCTTGTTTAGCTTTTTCGGGAGCTTCAAGGCATGGTGGAGGAGAAGACAGAGATCGTACCCGGGAGGAACAGACGACGAGATGTATGGTGAAGATAGCGAAGCCAACTTCTATAACTGGTATGTCGTCGAACCAGCTATTAACCGGAAATCCACTGATTTCATCAGAAGGTTCCACGAGACTCGTGACTGATTCCAACGCCTCCTCCTTCTTCTTCTTCAGCTTGAGCTTCTTTTAACGTCGTAGCTAGTTTGGAAAAATATTTGTTCTTTTTTTATTCCGTAGTGTGTGTGTGTGTGCGCTATGTGATTCCAATTATATGATCATCATTTATCAAGCCCCGCGCGTTTATTATATGTATTTTTTATTCTCTATTGCAATTGCACACACTAACGATAATATGAAACCCTGACTTATGTTTTGGCAACATAATAAATGATAAATCTTTAATTTCTGGAATATAAACCAAAACAATCCAAGTTGCATGCTTCCGCATGCATATATTGTATGTTCTTGAGCGATGTTATTATTTACATAGAAAATAAATTTTCAGTGAACCATTTTATTTGTAACAAAATAATCTAACGGAATTAAACCATCTAGCCGATCGTATATACCATTTAACATGCCTAATAAAGACCGTCTAAAGTGATTTACCTCGCGCCTCTCATAACTGCATCAGCTATATATTAACTGTTTTATAAAATGAGCTTTTAAGGCGTAGAATGATATTAGTATGTAATTCCCTGAATGAATAAGATGTTTTCCTCGGAAGGAAGAAAAAGCTATCCCTCTAAAACAATTTAGTAAGTAATTCACATGGTGTTTGCATAAAGCTGTCAGTTAGATGATTGATTGTAATACATGTAGAAGTATCGAACGGTAGCGGAATGATATATCGTTCTTAAATCATTATTTACATTTTATGACTTCACTAAACAAAGTTGAGGGTAGGTAGTTCGCCAAAAAATCAGTCCGTTCTTATTGTATTATGACGATATGCACCTAAAAAAATGGAAACCAAAACTCACTTCTTTATAAAAACTTTTGGAAAAGAAAAACGAATATATGTTAGAAGAAGGAGCATTTGTAGGCACGAATCGATACAAAAGCAATGAGAATCAGTCAAAGAACGATATGCTTATAATCGAGAAGGAGAAAAAAGATATCTGTTTCACTAATACATGTAACTCCTTTGTTTTTGTATTTTGTGTCCCAAACTTTAAGACAGCTTTAAAGCACTGCTTTGTGATAAAGTATCCAAATTCTATATATAGGCTTAGTCACTTTGTTATCTTTCTAAATTCTTACCTTCTTGGAAGCTTCTCGCCTTCGTTTTTTTTTTCTGGGAGCATGCCTTAGCCCTTTAACTTTAACTTTTTCTCTGTTTTTATTTTGTAAGATTATGCTGGTTATTGTATTGAAATGAAAGTTTGTACTTCGTAACGCTTAATCACAGGACCCTTTCCAATTGTATACACACGTATATATGTATAGTGTGTGTTGGTAAAAATCGAATATTGCTTTGTTGTAATTATTGTCAGATTCCAACCAATAAAAATATAACTGTTGGGTGAATATATAGTACATTTGATTGAAATTTGAAATCTCTCAAATCTATAGGATAAAGTTTTCTTAAGACCTTTAGGATTAAACATGTTTATCGTACACTGTACACATTTTGTATGTTTCTAAAGTCTTTCTTTAATTCAACATCTTTGAATTACAACAATTTGAGACAGAAACAAAAATATAGTGTCACATAATCATATATTCCAAATGTTACTTCATTACTTGTTTCTTGCGTAGTAAATATACCTTTAAATTTTTATTTTGCTAATTTTACCTATGATACGTATATTTATTTTTTTGAGTTCCTGAAAATTTTCGATCAGTTTAAAAATTAAAAAATCATGATTTCCGTAGCATTTTGTATGATAGTATCAGATTCACATTTTCTTGTTTTAACTTATTATAAATAATATTTTTTTATTATACGCCTTCAATTCCTCTGTTCAATAAATTACCTATCCACATATATTATTTTTGATTTGGTACTAGAAGTTGGCCTGAATTTTTCGAAAAGAGTAATCCGTCCCGTCCCATACCCGTCCCGAAATTTTTGAATTTTTCAGGAAAGAGGAATTATAATTTCCCATTCGGGATTGAAAATAATATTTGAATGGGTAAGCGAAAGGGTAGGGACGGGAATGAGATTACCCGAACTTCCCGTTGGGTAATTATATAAAGTAAAATTTTAGAGATTTCAGTTATTTGAAATTTTTTTTTATAATAAATAATGATTTTTTCAATTTATTAATAAATAATATTTTTTTTTAAAAACAAAAATTGATTTTAAGCTAATTATCTGAATTATCTGAAATTTTTTCTGTTTCTTTCCCGTTCTTTTCCCGATTATATTTTATTTTGGGATTGTATGGGAAGTATGTTTTGATTCCTGAATTTCCCGTTCCCGTCCTATACCCGTAAATTCCACTCTCATTATTTTGTGGGAATACTTTGGGTAGTATATTCAGATTCCCAAAATTCCCATTCCCATCCCCTATCCGTTAATTCCCGTCCCAATTCCCAAAAAATTCAGACCTACTAAAAGTCTATGTCCAAAAATTATAAATTAGATAGCTCAACGCTTCAATTAGTTCCAAGATACGTACCAAAGGTCCCAAGTGCAGGCATGATATTGGGGTGCGTTATCGCAACGTACAATATTGTACAAATTCTCATCATGAGAAAGTCATATATTCATAAACTTGGCCAATTCCACCTAATATATATTCGATTACTCTCCAAAAGTATGGTTTTGGACTTAAATTAATACCTCAGAGGCTATGATGGTCCTAGTTCAAGTAAATGAGCAAGAACCGAATCCCAAAGTACATGAACGTACAATTTTTCATATTTTTTAATGTTCAGAACTCCACTTTTAATGTGCGCCCATCAAAAAAATTTCTCGAAAGGGAACCACTCAACTACCCAAAGACAAAAAGCCAATTAGTTAACTCGAACAAATAGAATAAATAAATAAATGACGAGAAACTAAAAAAAACTAGTTAACTTCTATAATTTGTTTTGTTTTCTTTTTGTTGCTAAAAGGGTAATTAGCTACCATAATTTAATACGTAGTAACAACCCATACCATATATAACCCATATCATGTTTTGTTCTTTGCTAATTTTGAGTATTGATTATATCGTGATAAAGTTTCCATCAATCAAGTTCAGTTTTGAACTAAATACATGGATAAACACATGTTTGAAAGATCCATTATTCATGATTATCAATATCCATTGCCTTGCGGTGTATGATGAGACTGAAGAGTTAACAGAAAATCGTTTTTTTTTTTCTTTTTTGGGTTAATGAAAAGAAAAGAGTTTTGGTATAGCTATTAGAAGAAAAAGTAAGTTTGATTTGTAGCATAATCGATCCCGTTCTCCTGTGGTGTGTTTTCAGCTTCTTCAATGTAGCATGACTTGGGGTGGAAACTCAGTTCCATTATCAAGCTGTTCTGTAACATCTGTATCTTGCTTGATGTCATCGTCTTGTCCACTCGTCATCTCTAGCTCTCGATCATCTTGGTTGATGCCATTGTCTTGTTCACTGACCTCTCCTTGTTGATCGTTTCCCTTTTGCTGGTCATCAACATCACTGTCTGTTTCTGTATCCGCCTCCTCGCTGTTGTCGTCGTTATGCGTAGCATCTGCTTCTTGATTGGTCTCAGTGATGTCTTCAAGTCGAACTCCATTATGCGGCGGTGGAAAAATACCGTCAGGAGTGCTCTGTTGCCAATTCTGTTGTATCCCGTAAGCCGAAACATATTGAGAGCTCTGCATAATCGACCGTTAATTAACCAATCAAAGATTCAAAGTGTTAACTTTTAAAATAAAAAGTCAGTAAAACAAAAAAAAAAAACACTGTATTATGGAACATATATAGGTACTTAACCATGGTAGTGGGCAGTCTGGTGGTGGGGTAAGGTCCGTAAGGATAGTGTGGGACGTTATACATGAAACAATATTGTCCATAATTTGGATACCTAGACATTACAAAACAAGATTAGTTATTCACATCATAGTTAACTTTAGATTTAAGCAAATATAAAATAGAATTTACCAGTTTGGTTGAGGAAAATATGGATGTGTGTAGTGTGAATATGGCTGATATTGATGCAGTGGCACCTGGTTTATCCAACCTGCAATTTTGATGTTTATGAAGATTAAGAAGCTGTTTGTGGCAAGTATTGTTGCAAGAAAGAGAGAGTTAAAAATAATTAATAATGATTTAGAGATTGAAACCGTTCTGATATTGATGCGATGGTCCCGCCTGATGTTGTAAACCTACAATGTTAATGTACAGTATATGAAAATTAAGCTGTGAAAAAAAAAGTAACAATAAAGAAAACCTGAAAAATCTCTAAATAACTAATAATGATTTAGAGATTGAACCGTTCTGATATTGATGCGATGGTCCCGCCTGATGTACTAAACCTACAATGTTAAGGTACAGTATATGAAAATTAAGCTGTGAAAAAAAAGTAACAATAAAGAAAACCTGAAAAAGTAAAAGAATTAATTTAGAGGTTAAACCGTTTTGGTTAGGCTGGTTAGTGTTATTCTTTGCGCGAATGTAGGCCAGATTGATATTGGTTGTTCTTCCATAGAAAACCGGATACGGAGGCTCACAAGCTCTAGCGGCAGAGTCAGCATATTTAAAAGTAACCTGAGAAATATCAAAACCCGTAATTAATTCAATCCGATTTGTAAAATACATACATCTATCACATAACGGTGGAATCTTGAAGCCCATTTATAAAACAACACACGAGAAGCTGGATCGATTGTTTAGTTTACAAAAAACAAGAAAGCCCAACTGCAAACAAACATGAGATCTGAAACAATTGCGCCTAGAGTTATGAGAAGCAGCAGAACAATCGTTTGGGGGTTAACCTAATTACTAAAACCTAAAAGCCCAATTACAAAATCGAACAGAACGATCGTTTAGTTTCCAACAACGTAACATGTAGTAATGAAATTGCAATTCACAAGAAACAATTGGTCGCTAATCACAAAGTTTATCATAATAAGAGAAGCAGAAGGAATCGTATATACTACAATCATAATCACACGAAACAAAACTTAGCAAGCATGAAAATCGAAAAAAGAAAAGGAAAGAAGAAACAGGACTTACAAAGCCATAGCCTCTTGATTTTGTAATTCCTCCTGGGAAAGTTCCGGTGACAACATTAGCATGAAGAACCTCCTCTCCCAATCCCTGGAAATATCTTATCAAATCATCTGTCGTTATTTCCCAGGCTAAACCTCCCACGAAGATCTTCGTAAACTTATGATCATGATTATTATTATTCTGGTTTGGCTGAGCCATACTTAGTAATCTCTTAGAGAACTCGAGAAAAGCCAAGGCAGGGTTTTTGGAGGCCAAGGTTTTTGGAAAGAATGAATATATATAGTGATGGAAATTAGTTTCCGAGTGGGAAAAGGAAAAAAGAAAAAAAGGGAAAAAAAGGAAAATCTCTCACCTTTTTTTGTTACTTATTTAATTTGTTTTTAATTAAAAAAGCGAGTATTATCACCACTCGCTCTTATCTCTCCGTTTCCTTCTCCTTTTCCCTCGCTGCTTGAGAAAGTGTAAACCAGAGACGAGACAAGACCAGACGAGACGAAACGAGACGAGAATTTTGTGAGATGTTGGCGAGAGTTCCACCGCCTTCTCTAACTTTCCCGGCGAGAAATAAAGTTTGTAATCGGAGGGAGACTGCACTGCTGTTTCGTAACGGCGGAGTAGGAGGAGTGTTAGCGAGAGCCGGTTTCACTCGGCGGCCACTAGAAACTTCAGCCTCGAGTGAGGTCGTTAACGAATCCACCGATGACGGATTCATCGTAATTAGACCGGAAGGTCAAGAGAATGAGTTCTATCCTCCGCCTTCCTCCGATTTACTCTCTTCGATTCCGTCAGGTATTTTCGTAGCTCTCCACATGAATATTTGATTTTGAATCGTAATTGTAGAATATTGGTATTAGGAAGTGTGTTCGTTGCTTTTTTTTTTTATGGTTTGGTGTTTGATATGTCATCGAGGGATATGACAGAATCTACGAGAAGAAATGGTTCGCGTTCTAGAGGAGTAACTGCAAGTTTTGGAAGGCTAAAGGCTCAGAAAGTGAAAGCTCTTGTTGGAAAGGTAACGCAGAAGAAGCAGCATATGAGTCACAATGCGGAACAAAAAGAGGGCGACGCCTCTGACGAGGATCATTCTGCGGATGAAGGGTTTGGCTCATCATCGATTCTGGATTTGATGAGGGAGAAGTTGTCTATGAAGGCTGCTCGTGGATCAGGAAAATCTGTAGAGCCGAAAGAGGTTAAAAGGTTCAGCAAAGTGCGGGAACATAGAGAGCCAAGAGATTTAGATAGATTGGAAGGACATGATGGAAATATCAACGAGGTATCAAATCCTCCAAAATCTACTGATAATGAGAGATCAGGATCACGGAGTTCATATTCAAAAGGTTCTGCTGCTAACTCCAGGGGTAGAGAAGATAGGCGTTTTGTTGCCAAAGAGTCGGATACATTTCAGCGACGTGATAGAGCTACTGATGAGGTTTCAAATTCTCGAAAGTTCACTGATAATGAGAGAGCAGGATCGCGAAGTTCATATTCAAAAGGCTCTGCTTCCAACTCCAGGGGTTGGGGCGATAGGCGTTCTGTTGTATATGCAAGAGATATGGAGGATTGGAGAGAGAGAAGAGATATGGAGGATTGGAGAGAGAGAGGGAATAAAACCAAGGCAACTAGGGAGACCGGCTTTTTTAGCCGGAAAACTTTTGCAGAAATTGGATGTAGTGAGTATTTGATGAAGGCGTTGAAGGAACATAATTTTGATCGTCCGGCTCATATTCAGGTGCAGAAATGATCTTTTCTCTTGATTATTCATCTAGCTACATATGTATGAAGACAATTCTTTATCGTTTTATCAATTTTGTGATTATGACGCAGGCTCTGGCTTTTCCGCCAGTTGCTGATGGAAAGAGTTGTATCATAGCTGACCAAAGTGGATCAGGCAAGACACTGGCATATCTTGTCCCTGTTATTCAGCGTCTCAGAGAAGAGGAACTTCAAGGACAGAGCAAATCGTCTCCTGGTTGTCCTCGTGTTATTGTTCTTGTACCGACTTCAGAGTTGGCTTCCCAGGTTGATTTCTTTATAATATGAATGCACTTCCTACGTTGATTCATTGTTTTTATTTTGTATCTTTGAATGTTTGATAAGAAGAAACAATTTGTTTAATGTAAATGAAATCCTTGGCAGGTTCTTGCCAACTGTAGATCAATATCAAAGTCTGGGGTCCCTTTCCGTTCCATGGTAGTGACGGGTGGCTTCAGACAGCGAACCCAACTAGAAAATTTAGAGCAAGGTGTTGACGTCTTGATTGCAACACCAGGGCGTTTCATGTATTTGATGAAAGAAGGAATTTTGGGGCTGTCAAATTTGAGATGGTATTAATCTTTCAACGATGCAAACTTTCACTAATTTTGTGAGAAAACTGAAAAATTGATGGGACACAATCTTGGCAATATGTCTTGCAGTGCCATCTTGGATGAGGTGGATATACTCTTTGGTGACGAGGAGTTTGAGGCAGCACTGCAAAGTCTGATCGATTCTTCCCCTGTCACTGCACAGTATCTATTTGTTACAGCAACCTTGCCCCTTGAGATATACAACAAACTTGTTGAAGTTTTCCCTGATTGTGAAGTTGTGATGGGACCTCGCGTGCACCGTGTTAGTAATGCCCTCGAAGAGGTTGGTATTTGATAAATTTATAACGGCAACAACAATATAGCGGAATTTATGTTGTATATTCTTTTCATCGTCCCTGAAATGATAGACTTCGATTTCGCGGATGACCAATATTGAGTTGCACTGTTCAGGTTCTTGTTGACTGCAGTGGAGATGATAATGCAGAGAAAACTCCTGAGACTGCTTTTCTGAACAAGAAAGCTGCTCTTCTTCAGATTGTCGAGGAAAACCCTGTTCCCAAAACTATCATCTTCTGCAATAAGGTGCCATGGTCCCCCACTTACTGGTTTTTGCTCTTACTTAAACATTTTGGAAATTTCATTCTCATGTTGAAAGTTGTACCCACTCATTTTCCAGATTGAGACATGTAGGAAAGTTGAGAATATATTTAAGCGGTTTGATAGAAATGAAAGGCAGCTGCACGTCCTACCGTTTCATGCAGCACTCTCACAAGAGTCAAGGCTTACAAACATGGAAGAATTCACCTCATCTCATCCCGAAGATAATTCACTGTTTCTGGTTTGCACAGATAGGTATTTCATTTGGGTTACAAGTATCCTTTCGTTATGCTATATTTCCTGAACATTGAAGGTGTTAAATTTGTTTCCTCTTTCCAAAACATTGGCAGAGCTTCTCGTGGTATAGATTTCTCTGGTGTTGATCATGTGGTACTCTTTGACTTTCCACGTGACCCGAGTGAATACGTAAGACGTGTTGGAAGGACAGCAAGAGGGGCTAGAGGAGAAGGAAAGGCTTTCGTCTTTGTGGTGGGGAAGCAAGTATCACTGGCACGGAGAATTATTGAGCGAAACCAGAAGGGTCACCCGGTTCATGATGTCCCAAACGCTTACGAATTCACAACCTAACTTAGGTAACTTTTCATCTTCTGCTTTCCCTTATTACATTATCTGTGTGTTGAAATTGTTTACTCTGCCAGAACTTACAAGGTAAAAAATACTGTGCGTAGAGAAGCCAAGTCCAAATAGATCTTTACTGTGTCTTAATGTTGTTGATGCCATCTAACCTCCATGCTCATGGAGTTTGTACTGAGCTGATGTCTTAAATCAAGATCATACGCTATTCCATCATTAGAGTAGAAAATTTTCGGAAATTTAAATCTTTTCAAAGTTACAATGCTCTCGACTTTAGTACCTTAATAGAATCCTTCAATGGTAAGGGTCTAATAGAATTCATTTCCTGCTATTTACACAATCTTCTCCTGTAATAAAACAGTGCTCGTCGTCTAGCTTGCTAGCACAAGCCAAGAACATGGTCTCCCTTAGAGAACAGAAGTGGACAACAGATGAAGAATGAACATTCACCTCCGATTACAAAGCTTTGGTTGCTTGTTGATGACACTTGTCAATATATCATTTGGAACCCAAGATTGAGATTCGCGGGGTTAGTATTGGTTGGTGTGGAGACCTTGAAGAGAAAGCTTAGTCTCCAAATCTTCCATGGATTGGACCAATGTGTTGGCTGGGACCATCCTGATGTATGTTGTTGCAACTAATAAACTCCACAACTACACATTATATTGCATATCTTAATTGTTTTGAGAAATCATCATTTATAACACATTAATAAATATCTATGCTTGCGAGCTTTTCACAATTTTGATGAGCCTTTTTCTTTCTTCAAAACTGAGAAACAGAAGCTTTTATTTATCTACTATTGTCAATGATTTTCGTGAAATAAGATATGGATGATGAGTTATTGGGTGTTGAATCATAGAGAATCTGATTTAAGCCATATATTGTATAGTGGCATCAATGCATAGTGGTAAAATGAATATTGGCCAACGATAATATGTTATTGCTTCTCCAATAGAGCTAATTTAGATTTATTAAAAACAACATGATCGTTGGCTAAAAAACATTACATGACTAAAAAAGAGACGCTTCTTCTTTAAAGCACACTTTCATTATTTCATCTTTTGTCATAATATGCAATCTCATGTGCTTCTTGTCTCTTCACTGTTTCCTTTTTGAGTTCACATGTCCCCAGCACATTTACTTCCTTCGTTTCTCTCAACCCAATCACACCATTTAATTACTGGTTTCTCTTGGAGTAATCCACCAAGTACTGAGCTTTCATTTTAGTGCTTTAAGACCACTAAATTAAGATAACGACCAAAGAAACAACTTTATACCAATGGAGGTGAAAAGAATAATCATACAACTTTATATTACAGTTGAGACCGTTTAAATTAAGCCTCCACATCCAATAGGAAGTGTATATCGCAAGAACCCCAAAAGACTTTTTTTAAAAAGTGAAGAAGAAAAACGAGAGGAAGTGAGAACGTAATCTTATCGACTTGTTTCTTCAAAACCAAAAAAAAAATGGTTTTTTTTCCTGATAGTTGATCCATTAACATCGGCGACCAGCTCTGCAGTTAAGAGCACCTGAGTAGGAGGTCATGGTGCCGACAAGAGACGATGATTTGGCTGATAAACTCGAAGCTCTGGCGTAGCCGGCTCCAGCTCCAGCTCCAGAACGTATAAAAAATGCTCCGTTTAGAAAAAGATCTCCCTCTGATCTCCAATTCCAGTGCTTCCATTTGGATTCTCCTGTGTACTCTCTCTTAGTCACCTGACATATCCCCAATTTTGAACAATTATCAATCTCATTGCAATCAATCGTGTTTAGAAAGATCAATGGGGACAGTTTGTGTGTTTCACTGCTACACAATAGATAAGACCTATTCCTCTTGGCAAAAAGAGGGAATTACACACCATCAATATGATTCAGCATCAGCAGCATCGACAATGTCAAAAACGAAGATAAAGAAGGAACCTTTAAAATCAGTCAAAAAAGAGATACCTCCTTGGCAAATCGGTTTGTTGGGGCAAGAAATCGATTCCCCTGACTGTTGATAGTGGGAGCAGCACTACCACCAATTGCATACATTTCCCAATGCGTGTAGTCGTTGTTTACTACATGGAAGTATCCATGCCTACACCTGCAAAAACCAAAGGTTTCTTATACTGTATTACAATCGACACACAACTTCTCTAATCATACAAGTAGCAGAGCTTTGAGGTTTACGAGGATCGTTGGTACCTTGGCATTCTCTGGATTAGACCCTCGCCAAAATGGTTGTAAGCAATTGTGACTTGCATCACTTTGTCCCTTGTGTAGGAATCACTGTGCCCCAACAGCATCACCTAAATAACACAACCGTTACTAAGCTCTTAACTAATTCCGAAATTCCAGTTCTAATTCCAGATGCTTCAAGCCATCAATCGAGAAATTGCATACAGATTGCAAATTTGGTTTTACCTCATTGTGGTGGGTGAAGAAATTGTTTGAGACGGTAATGGCGGTGGAGCTCATTACGGCGTCGACGAGCCCATCGGCACAGTTGGAAAGCGAATTGTGATCGATCCAGATATGGCTCGACCCGAAAATCGAGATCGCGTCACCGTCAGCCATCGATCGCCACCCGTAATGAGACGGAGAGCTTCTAACCATGGCGTTACCGGTGGGCTTACAGTCGTGTATGTGGATCCCATGGACGATGATGTTCGTGACGAATTGGATGGTTAAGCAAGCGCCATTTGCGATGTGAACATTGACGCCACGGCCATCGATGGTCTTGAAGCTGTTCATGATCAGCTCTTGCTTCAAGGTTATGACCATATCGCGCTTGAAGATGATCCAGAGTGGCTCGTCTTGGATCACGGCGTGACGGAGAGTTCCTGGTACCGGATTAACCGGATTATCGTCTCCCGGGTTGGTCACGACGTAGAAACGGCCGTCGCGGCCGCCGATTGCGTTGCGGCCAAATCCGATTGAGCAATCGGCGAGACGCTTTCGCCGGAGCTGCCATTTGCGGTCACAACGCCAGCAATCGTCGATTGGATTGCCGGTGGCGCAGGAGAAATAACCTAATCTTCTCCGCTCTGTGCTGTTGCGAATGCTCCTGTATCATCATCAAAATGCGGAAACCAAATTATGGAAAAATATAAATATAATTTTTTACTGTATAATCAATTAATCATCAAACGTTACTAAACTATTGATTATATATATATATATGATATATCAGCCGAAATGCTATTCTATGAGCTCAAATTTATCGACTAATACAAAAAAACAACTACCACATATTTTTTGGTTAAATAAAAACTACCACAAATTTATTATTAACCTTCTTTGGTTTTTTTTTTAGGAAAAAGTATTGAAAATATACCTTTTTAAGATACATAGGTTAATCAATAGTATATTTAATAGTAAGCCTCTATACACTTTTCAAAATATATAGTATGATTGCATTAAAAAACAAAATTCAATATTTCCATGGTGAAATGTTTTTACATTATATAGTATGATTGCATTAAAAAAAATATAATATTTCCATGGTGAAATGTTTTTACTTTAGAACCGATATAGAACAAAGTCATCAAAGGTTACATAAATCCCACAAAAAGACAGAGTCAAACTCACATGAAATCATTTCAAAACATGGCTAGGTTAGCCGGTTAGATGATCTCATTGATTGGAATTTCAAAAAGTATGTAATTTTTGCTAACTTTTTGACCACAAGTTTTCTTGTACTGAAGATTATAACGAGTAAAAATATCTTTATCTCATGAATAAGCTTTTCGTACTATTGAAACTGAAACTCAAGATACGGGATAAAGAAAAATCCAACTTCAACAATTTAAGAAGAAGAAAAAAAAACAACAACAAATGTCATGAAGTGTACGTATCACTGCATGTGGCATGAGCATGTGCATGGGCTGGCAAATCATTGTTCCAAAGATTAATATTGAAACATTACACATGTTCTCGAGCCTGGACCAATGCCTCAATAATACACAACATTTTTCACTACCTAAAAATATCGGATTTTTTTTTTTAGAAGTTTATATTGATAGAAAAATGCATTATTGCCTTTAATGAGGAATCCACCAAGGACTTACATGTGAGCAGTAGGAGAATAAGCAAAAAGTACCTCTTTCTTGCCAAATTATACGATTATATATATATATATATATGTAAATTAAAAATGTACGTTTATCGTTTAATTAAATCAGGTAAGTTTATAACCCAAAAGAAAACTTATTGAAGTTTCATTGTCCTAAGGAAACAGAGTTAACGTTTATGTTTGATGAGAAAAGATAGGTACTAGCAAAATATATCAAGAAATATCATCAAGAATAAAGAAAGAATGAAGAAAGAGGGGAAAGAAAAGGGAATAGTAAGAGGAATGTGGTAATTGGTTGGACCCATTTTGACTAGAATATGATAGTGACTTGTCAAACTGTTTACAAGAACTTCATGTGAGCTCTGGCTTGTCATAAATTCTACTACCTGTTTTTTCTCGATTAAATTTAAATATACTTTTTATTTTAGAAAAAGCATCACGAGATGATGTACCCTTGGACTTGGAGTAGGGAGTCCTCTTTCTCTTTTTGATTAATGGAAGTTAGAGTTTAGTAAATTTATTAATGGGTAAAATAAAGTTAAATACATCTATATTCTTTTTTTTTTTAAAGAAAAAGAGAAACTCACATGTCCACCATGGCAGCTACTTCCTCTGGGTTCTCAACTGCATGTTCATGCCATGTTTCATTGGACCTGGAAATCATTAGATAAACAATCTTACAATTATTGTCTCATTTATAACATAATATACATATACATATAGTACAAATTACTACCAATTTTTTAATTCTCAGGATTGGAATAATTATACAGTATACGCTAATATCATAGTGAATTAGTGATGATCGATCTTTGTTTTCAGAATTTCCATCGAACCCTAGTTAAACCCCTTTACGTTTTAGATTTATGAGCGAACATATGTTTTATTGAAAACTTAAGCTTAATTGCTTGGTTCCACGAACCAGAATACGTAGAATTAAGCTGCATTGAGCAACAAAACTTTCAATGGGTATCTAATTAGTCAATGTACAATCGTAACGATTTTATATTGATGAGAGTTAATAAGTGGTACCTGGATGAATTAACGCCGATAAAGAGCGTTGTTACAAGTAATGTAGAAGCAAAGAGGATGAGTTTTGTGACAGCCATTGTTATGGCTGTGTACTTCTTGCTCTGTTCTGTTTCGTTGTCTCTATCTGAAGCAGAGACTTTTCTCGAAAGAAGAGTTAGGAGAGGAATAGATTAGGAGAGTAGAGAAGGCTAGGAGGGTTAAAACACGAAGCGCAAAGAAGGCTGCGTGAGCGTGACTATATTCCCATTATCTTATTGGCCTAATTTTTTTTTTTCTTTCATTTCTCATGAATCTTCCATTCCGGTTTTACCAATAGAGACCCCTTTTAAAGGATTAGACCAGCAAGTTACAAAAACTATATCACTGATGTCACAAGTGATTTATTATGCAAAATACCTTACCGACAATTTTCTTTGGTTGCTAATCGAGTTAATCCAACTCGACCGACGAAAATATCTGGTCTTCCGAAAAAAAAAGTAGGCAACCTTAGTCTGATTAATCTTGATCCATATCGTAGTTTGGGTTGATCCGAGAATAATTCTGAATATTGTTACTTATGAGAAAGAAAGAATAAAATGACTATGGTGTATATTTGTAAGCTATCAAGCATAAAACAAGTTTTTCCTTAAAACTTGTAACTGATATAGGGGTTTAAATATATTATAATAAATTACAAGGTTAAAACCCTGTTAAAAAGGATTAGATTCTTAAAGCATTTTTTTTGTTTCTTAGAAAATGCAAACACATGTGTATGTGTACTTGCATAAATTTAAGTGTTTAGTGATGCCCATAATAAGTTTGGCTTGGCCAACAACGGTATCATGTCATGTGATTGGGATTCTTTCATCCCTCTTCTTCTCTAGCAAAGTTATTGGATAATATAATTGGTAAGAGACAATGAAAAAGGAAAAAATAAAAACTTATAATAAAATCATATAAAGCTATAGACAGCTAAGTGAGACTTGTAGGTCTCATACTGTCCGGATTATTTTTAGATCCTTAATTCAGCACATTGACTTTCCACATGTGACTGTTGTACCTTACTCATTACAAAGTTAATCATTCAATTTTTAACCCCTAGTAATGTTATGATTATGCAATAATTAAGTAATCATTGTTCGATAAGCGGACAATCATTTAGAAGAAACTAAGTTACATATACAAATATTCTTGTTTGCTCATACATTCCATGGTTAATGTAGGTTTCATCTAGTTGATTTTCGGTGAACTTGTTGATACGAATAAATTCATGTGGTGCAGCCCATTTATGAGTTAAAGTTTTCCGATAAACCTTTTTTATTGATTGACATTAATTAAGTTTTATTGGAAATGCTTTTATTTAGTTCGTCTTCATTTATTTTTATCGTGATTTCAACCATTTTTAGTACGCTAAAACCTAAATTTCTACGGGATTCAGAAGATTAATACTCCCTCTGTTCAGAATTATTTGATGTTTTAGAAGGTTTTTTTTGTTTAGAATTATTTGATGTTCTCACTTTTCAATGCAAAATTTAATGAATTTTTATAGTTTTTGACCTTTTATATTCTGCAGATTGTATTCTTATTGGCTGAATGATATTTAAATGAATTATAAATAATATTTTTAGTATAAGAAAAATAAAAATTAAATGAATCCTTAAACTGTGTGCAAAAACCTTAAACATCAAATAATTCTGAACAGAGGGAGTATAGTTTTCATTATGGAATTCTTCCCGTTAATTAAAAAAAAAAATTGAATAAAGAATGCACTCTCACAGGTAATGGTCTAATGGAACTTGCGAGCATTTACAAGAGAAAAAAAACAATCTGTATAATTAATAATTTATGCTATGTATTAAATAAAGAATACACTAATCTGTGTATTGCTCTGTTCATTGTTCTATTGCTCTGTTTTGAGCTTCGTATTCTCTTCTTTTTTCAATTTTTAAACCTCCAGAATCTCAGCTTTGTAAATATTTTTTTCTTTTTAGATTTATAAATTTCACATTTCAACAAAAACAAATAAACTTATACTAATGATGCAAGAAATAAATAAACAAAATAGATCCCCACATTTGGTAATCCATTTTCCTGTCGTAACAGTTATATCACAACAACACGCAATCAAGCATGCTTTTACATAGATCAATTAATGACCCAAATATAGGCAACAAGCAATCATAATTTAATAGAAAAATAGAGATGTGTTGTATCTGCACACCATTCCATAGAAGTTGCAGCTCAAGACACTGAAACAAAATGTGTCATATGATATTAAAAATCGATTTCACAAAACTGCACATCTTAAGAACTTCCCACTTTTTGTTTTTGCTGCTTATAATAACATATAACAAACTATTTGACAAAGAAAAACAATAAAAAATTATATGCATCACCTAAACATTAAATTCCCAAATACTTCACAAATGATGAACTTTTCCTAAGTGAGTTTGTTGTATAATCAAAACCAAGTAACAATAAGTGAAAACAGACATACAAGAGATAACAATGCACAAGAGAAAAGAGGAGATTCTGGGGGAGAGAGTTACGAACAGCCAAAGCATCTTCTGAAAGAGAGAAATCCAGATGGTTCCGGGATCTGATCTGGAAGATTCTGTTTCGTACTCGGAAGGTGTTTAAAGAAGGCCTTCACGGCTCCAGCCACACCATCCTCGTCCTTCATCGCCTGTGCTAGCGTCTCTGCATTGCTCTTCACCTACGCCCACTTAAATGCTCAGTTTCATTTGTAAACCCAATGGCATTGCCATGCATGTAAACCAAACTGAAATGCTTAGACCGAATCCGAACAAAAATGTGTTTCAAACCTTATTGGTTTCAAAAAGTACTATTTACCTTATCGTCGAGCATAAAATTTATGGCATCTTCAAGCTTATGAAGTGAAAATTCGTCCACTGGGATTGGTGCAGGACCTACTCCTCTAGCGTGCACTCGTTCTCCCCAAAAAGGTTGGTCTCCAAAGAAAGGCACGATTGTAGTTGGGCACTGTGTGTGTTTAATAAAAAATCAAAACGCTTACATGTTAACTACTAAAGTCCCATCATCTCAAGAAACAGACTTTTTAGCTTATACTCAAATTAAACTTACCGCTGCTTTAAGACCTGCAGCCGTTGTTCCAGCACCACCATGATGAACCTGTAAGCAGAAGAGCAACAATTTCAGGCTACGATCATGATTGAAGATGAGACTTAGAAAGTACTAATCCCAGATAAGCAAAATGTGTGACTGAGTCTTAAAAATGCAATGAACACACAGTGCCAAACATCAGAAAAGGGCCTATAAGTTTCCAGAACCAAATAAAGCAACAAGGTGATCAGGAACTAAACTACGAGGAATTCCAGATTATTATATACATACCACTGCCTTGCATCTCGGGAATAACCAGTCATGTGGGACATTATCCAACAAGTAAACGAAGTCCTTAGGTTCTTTCACTGTATGAAAACCACATCACGCATATATTATAGCAATATACCAAACAGGGAAGCATCCAATAAAGGGAAGGTACGGAGTATAGAAAGGGTAGACCTACAATTTCCAAGACCACCCCAGCCTTTGTTGATGATTCCTCTCTGTTTGGTTCTTTCAAGTGCTTCCACAATGATTTCAGTCATTTTCTCTGGTGCTTGGACAGGCTTTACCAAAATAAACACAGAACGGTAGAGACAATTAATTACACAGCCACAGATAAAAGTTTGAGCGTTAAGAGGATCATCTAGAAATACTAATCAGGTGAAAAAAAGTAGAAAAAAAACTCACGAGACTACCAAAGCCGATATAAATAGGTTTGTCACCAGCTTCTAGCCATTCCACAAGTTCTGCAGGAGGCTCATAGTTTGATGCAAGATCAAGGAAGCAAAAACCCACTACATCGATTTGTGGCCCCCAGTCTGAAAAAAATATTAGGCATAGATTTAAATTGCGTTTCATCTAAAAGAAAAAAAAATTCATCAGTAAGCTCACTACCATACTACCTTTTGGCTTTGGGACAAGATGAGGACTCCACATATATCCATGTGGAATATTAGAACCAGAGCCTTGTGTGCCACTTAGATATGTAACAGGCCGTAGCTTCAACTTCTTTTTCCTGAGGTCGTTTACCATGTCTCTAATTCCAAGCCAGATCAATGAGTCGACGATTTGATACGAAAGCTGAAATTGCATTAAGTCGATGTTAAACTAAGAAGTCAAGTTTAATACCAAACACCAATATGAAAATATGTCAATAAACAAGTCTCACTCTGTATCCTGCTGGCTGTTTGACACGTGACAAGGGGTGTGGAAATTCACTGGTTGGTCTGGATCATTATTTAGTAGAAGAAAGATAGTGCATGATTCAGAACAAAAATAATTAAATAGGAAAATACGCTTAAAGTTCGACCAAAAAAAAAAAGGAAAATATGCTTAAAGTAACATTCAATCGGCCAGAATCTGTTGCCAATAGAAGACTTACGTCCAAGGCATGGTGAAAAATACGTGAATCGGTATCTTCAGTGCTTCTGCCACATGGGTGTGTCCTGAAAATGGGGATTCCCAAGTTAGTTACCATTCGAATTGAATCTATGATAAGTCAGGAAGCCAGAAAAAACAAAAATCTCAAACTAGCATCTCAAACATATTTGCTGCCAAGATCTAGGTCTGCCAACGGCTCTGTCCTCAATGGTGCAGAAACCAAGCAGTGAATGACATTGCAGATATAAAAAAGTGGCCAGTAATTCAAAGTTGCTGAGACTAACCATATGCTGGAGGATTGGCAATAATTGCATCAGCTTTAAAGGAAATCCCAGAATCTGGATCAGGTTCTTTGCATGCTGGAAGTAGAGAATATATGATATCCTTCATTTGGTTTCGTTGGATTGGAATCTCTGAAGGGCCTGATGGTAAAAATCCCTTGTTCTTAACCATATCTGTACACAACATAGCAAGGAAAACCGGTGAATTGCTATGACTTTAAAGCTAAATAAGATAGATTAACTAACAAGTAACAAGGATGAGGAAAGAATGGGAATGTTTGGTAGATACATACAACCGGCTAGCACTTTTGGATCTCCGCCTAAAGGATAGAACTCCAATCCAGCAGTCAAAACAAACTCTTTAAAATTTGCATGAGTTGCAAGTCTAACTCGATGTCCATAGTCCTGTATAAGGAAAATAAAAGGCAGTCAATAACTTTCTCCCAAACAATTTCAGGTTCAGAGTACATCATCAAAATGAAGAGACATACTTAAGGTTGTAAGATATCTACCAACCTGAAGCCGTTTGGCTATTGCAACAAAAGGTTGAACATCTCCGCGTGTTCCAACAATTAGCATCACAATTTGCATAGGAGGAATGTACTGAAGGTCGACCCCATCAATAGACTCATCAGGGCAAACACCATTTTTCAATTCTTCACGGTCCACAACAATAGGCTGGGGAATAGCCTCTGCTGGTACATTAAATTCAACTGTCCCATCATGTTTCACAGTAGCTATACGGTTCAGCAATTTAAGCTGCAAGATATGACATTTGAAAAGAAGAAAAAAAAAAACTATTATCACGTTGGGAAAAGGGAGTTTCCAATTGTAAACTACTTTCGTAAGAGTGAGAGTAACATTACACAGAAAAGTAGGAATCATAAGAATAATAGAGAATAACTAAAAATAGAACAAAATCAAGACAAGAAAACAACCCAAAAATAGACGTTGTACCTTCTTCCCTGCAGAGATTCTGTCATCGAATATCTTAGCGGCGTCTTCGGCAAGCATATGAGTAACTTTCTGCTGCCTCTCAGTCTTTGATTTATCTAACCTGGGCTTTGAGGATGATGATGATTCAGCCCTTTCACTGCTCGAAGAACCCTCCACCGGCATTGTCCACACTCGGGAAAAGCTTTTATTGCCAGCACCTGAAAAAACCCAAATTATCAAAACCAGGCAACGAACTTCAAAATCATCCAATTGGATCCAAACCCGAGAAAGATGGACATACAAACGAAAAAAGAATCAGCATTTAGCCTAAAACTGATTCCAATCCAATTTTGCCTTGTCTTCAATCGCACGGAGAAACTAAAATAAAAACTGACCTGAAGATTCAGCCACAGCGTTGTCGGCAATGGAGGCAACAGCAGAATCCGGTTTGGTCTCCAGTTCTTCAGAGCCATTGACGACGCCGCCTTCAATCTCCTCGATTTTCACCGAAGCACGGTCGGAGCTTGAAGAAGATGAGGAAGAAGAAGAAGACGAAGAAACCCTGTCAAGTTTATCCGGCGATATTTCCGGCATCGTATTCTCTATCTCTTTATCTCCACCAGCAGAAACGATCTGGATCCTCCCCTTTTTTATAATAGACAAATCTTCCTCCTTCTCCTCCTCCTCGGTGTCTCTCGAATTTGCGTAAGCGTGTTTACGAATCCCAGAAAGTGAAGGGAAAATAATGATACGATTCTTTCCTTGCTTTTCTTGTATTTCTTCAAAATCGAAATTAAAAATGAAAATGAAAAAGAAAAATTTCGATTGTCGCGAGAGACAGAAGAGAGGAGAGAGAGAAGCGGCACGTTCGAACAAAGTGGGGATCGATGGCTGCGTGATGGTTCGCTCCGGTTCAGGCTACGATTTCGCAATTAACTGTCGGAGTGATAAATGGATAATTAATTTAATTTAATTGGGTCAATTTATGGCCAGAAATTAATATTCATTGAAACGCTGTCGTATGCAATTGACAGCGAACCTACTCTTCTGTCATTTCGTATTTTACGTCCTTGTCGTCTTTTCTCCTTTTCCATACCCCTGGATATTTATTACTTTTTCAACATTATAATTTCCCAATTAAGATACTTCCAAATTTAAGCCCAAGAAAAATATCTGAACTATAAAGGAGCGATTGATTACTATTTTAACATTTTTCCTATTTTTCCCCATTTTTTATTTTATAGATGCACTTTTGTAATCTTATAAATGGTTCACAGACCGTGAATCACAGTTATTATAGTCAAATGTTAAGATTTGAGTCATTTAACTGATGTTTTGTTTCCTTACTTACATATGGAGTTATTTAAGGGTAACGGTTATAAAACTATATCTTAATTATTATATATTTACTAGCACTTAGCTATTTGGAGCTTTATAATTTTAAATGCGAAGCTCATCAATGTTGGAATTGGAACAGATATAGTTTATGAAAAAAATATATGTCATTCACCATTCCAATTTTGTTTTTTTTTTTAATCGTTTGTTTAGCTTTGAATAATGATTTAATTCAATAATTTTCTTAAAAACGCTAGTGGTAAGGCAAAACTAGAGAATGTTTGAAATTAATAGATAATAAAATTGATAGCTCTTACTTACTTAAGTTGCATTGTACTCTAACTGATAAAGTTTTCTAATTTTAATTCTTAATTTCATGTTATAACAACAAGGTGCTGTGGTGTAGTGGTTATCACGTTTGCCTTACACGCAAAAGGTCTCCAGTTCGATCCTGGGCAGCACCATTTTTGACTTATCATTTGATTTAAATGAAAAAAACACCTGATGACCTACAAGTAAAACTTTTCGTCCTGGCAAATCTTTACTAAGATGAAGTCATCCACATTTTGAGTGTATCTAAACTTATTCAACAAGACTTTTTGGATTGTATTTGTAGATGCAATCACGAGGGAGTGCAGCTAAGAGTGCATCTAAACTTATTCAACAAGACTTTTTGGATTGTATTTGTAGATGCAATCACGAGGGAGTGCAGCTAAGAGTACAGCTGTTTAATCATTATTCTTTTTATTCCAGTCTTGCACTAAAATCCCTTTCTCCTTTAAAAAAAGCATTGAACTTGATTTCCTCACAATTGTTAAATTGAAATATATGACACATATAGAGATTTTGACAGCCATAATAATAAATTACAAGAAGCAAACAACGGTCTTTATGAAACAAAAAAATTTAACTCTAAGCCGATATTTTTTTTTGTGAAAGGGAAGAGATATATGTTGAGAAAATATCCCCTTTACATAGCTTTTTTTTTATAAATAAGTTTCATATTGAATCCCCAAAAAACAATTTACGACTACAGGTTTAAAAGTAAAAAAAAAAAAGAACAACTTACTAACTGAAACAAACAATCTGATGTGGCCCTTAATAATACAAACAAATTAAGTGGCCTAAGGCAATTAAACTAAGTGGCTATTGCCTTATTGGTATCGAAGGAGGCCCGACTCTGCCACCATTACCCATCCTTCCACGTCCACGACCATAGCCTCTTCCTCCACCATAACCTCCTCGACTTCCCTCATAACCTTCACCTCGGCCTCCACCATATCCGCCTCTGCCCCCGCCATATCCATCATCTCTGCCACCACCATACCTGTAACCTCTCTCGCCACCTCGACCACCACGTAACCCTCCTCTTCTTCCGCCAAATCCCTCCTCCCTGCCTCTACCGTGACCATCGTCTCTTCCTCCTCCATACCCTCTCCCTCCACCATATCCGCCATCTCTTCCACCACCATACCCACCATCCCTGCCACCACCATATCCGCCATCCCTGCCACCACCATACCCGCCTCTGCCACCCTGATATCCAGCACCTAAAACAAGTCCGAAAATTGTGTGTTTCACGCAAAACGTACAGAATGAAACCAAAGGAGGATAACACTTGATACAGAAGAGTGGAACAAGAGTTATAGTATCTATCATCCATACACCTTGTCATATTGCTGGCTTTTGTTAATTGACAATGTTGACTTACCATGATAGCCATAGCTCCGGCCACGTCCACGGCCTCCGTGGACTCTGCCCCAGTTTGCATACCCGCCATCATTTTCTAAACATATCACGGTAAGGCAACGAGTCAGATACAAACTAACTAAATAGGAGCGCGTGTTTACCATTAGTCTTAGAAGTAATGTTATTGAAAAAAAGAGATCAGTTTCTAAGAAACACTAGATTACTAAAAGTCCCAAGTTAAGGAAACGGAATGATTTTCTTTTATAGCATATCAATACCTTGATAATCTTCTTGATAGTTCCCTTGGTACTTTCCTTGATAACCCCCTTGGTAGTTTCCATATCCACCCCTTCCCCTGCCTCTTCCTCTGCTCCGTCCTCTCCCTCGACCATACGAATCTACATTCCAAATTTTCAAAAGGTGTTATAATGTAACTTGGCAGTAACAGCTTTACGTTCTCAAAAAAGTAACAGGCATCACCTTCACCATAAGCATTGTACGGAAGACGGGGTTGTCTTCCTTGTTGTGGTTGATATTGAGGCTTAGACTGATCTATCTGTGCTGGAGCTTGGTACCTGAACACATTTTATAAGCCTTTATTGTAGCTTTATCTAACAAACCGCGAGACCATGCTAGGTAAAATCCCATAGATATGTGATTTCACCAGATAATAGCAACTGAGATGATTCTCTTAAACACAAACGATTTAAAGTAAACGAACTGTATGAAAGCAGGCTTTCCAAGATCGAAGGAGAAAAGAGATGAACAAAAGTGAAACTCACCCAGGAGAATCTTTATTTAGCTCAGTCAGCGACAATGTGATTGAAATCATGGAAACATGGCGCGTCAACTCCACCCTGCGTCATACGTTAATTCGCTTGAAGTCACCTAAAAAAAAAAGGAAGAAGCAAGGGCCAGAGTATAATGCAAGATACTCACGGTACAAGACCCTCTTCAATAGGCTCCCAGACATCAGTAATGCTCATAGAACTGATTGCAACATCTTGATGCAAACCTGGAATTTTATTCTGCAGTATAGATTACAAAATCTTAGCCACTTGTATGAATCAGAAAAGCAAAAATATATGGTATTCTTCCAAGTTATCAAGTGAGCACTGACTTTGAGTATCTCAGAGATCGCCACCGTCTTGCTGATTGCCTGCCCCATTGCCTTCAACACAATATCTTTCACGCCTTTCTCCTAAAAGCAAGAAAAACCGAAAATTAACACAATAGGCAGAGCCAATATTATCACTTCGCAGAAGGAAAATGCACAATCCGTATCCTCACGTCGAAAATATAGAGCCATATTTAGGATAAGAAGATGCAAAAACAACAATACAGTGAATCGGAGCATGATATCCAAGAAAAGAGATCAGATTAAAAGGCCTGAAAATTGAAGGAAACCATATAAGCACATCTGAAATCTAAATGATCGAAAAGAGAAAGACACACCAAAAAACCTTAGAACAGACCAGTCGAAACACAAATCTAGAGGAGGAAAAACGCATTTGTATTTTCTATGAAACGATATATTTTCCACATAACATTTCGTAAATCACAATATTAGCGAATGACTCGGAAGAAATGAGAACAGAGCGAGAGAGATAGAGAGAGAGGTAGATGCAGAACCTGAAGAAGACTGGTGGCATAACTGATGTAGTTTCGGATAAGGCCTTGGCTGGTGATACGAATCTCATTTTCGTTAATCGGAGAAGCTTCTTTTTGTTTCTCGACTCTCTGGTATCTGTCCATTATACCAGCAGATGGAATATCGAAAACCCTAGCTCTTAGAGCAGTGAACGCTCTGGAGAGAATAAGGGAGATGAGTTCAGATAGAGAAAGAGAGAGAGAGAGTGAGACTGATAGAGAGAAACCCTTAGTAAACCCTAGGGACAACGAGGAATCGCGAGTTTCCAGATGAACAGCATCGGGAAAGGCCGATAATACGAAGGGACATCAAAGAGCCTTGCGCTGTTGACTGGCCCAAAACGGTCATTTCTATAATAAAAAAAAAATAAATTATGAAAAACCGCTTCAAAACGGGTCAGCTATTTTCGGATCTGGATCCGAAATTTAGGCAGGTCATTTTTCTCTCTATGTTTTAACCGCCGCGGATCTTTGGTTATATATATTTTTTTACTCTTCTTTTTTTAAAATCTCCATATTTCAAACGTCTCGATCTTTTTTTTTTATCAGACACCACCATTTTGCGTTATGTATAGTTTCAGATTGTAAGCATGACGCAGAATTAAAACTCACCTGAATTATTTCGCATACAAAATTGTCAAGTGAATCTTTATTACAAATCGGATATGCTTTTTACATCATTACAACTCTTAGTAATTAAAATTTCAATTACTGCTTTTAAGGAAAAGAATCTCATCGTTGCCTTTTTTCTCAATGTGTGATTCTACAGTCTTATTCTTACAAAATCTTTTCTCCTTTAGAAAAGCATTAAGCTTGATTTTCGGGGCAAAATTCGTGTTGAGTGAAGAAGGAATTGTAATATGCCGGTCCGTTGATGATCTCCTTCCCTTTGAACATTGATGCATCGTCCGAACCGAATGTATTTTACCCAAATTTCTGTACCGAAAATTTAAATTAAACACCCATAAACCAAACCAAACAAAACTGAGTGTGGATTGTACCGTTCCGGTTCGGTTTACTATGAAGTTTCTCGGTGATCGATTCGATTGACTCGCTTTTTTGTTTTCACAATCCGGCGACCACATATTGTGCGTGCCTAGGAGATCTGTGCGCGCGCGGAAGAAGAACGCCGAGAAATCTCGCGAATTTGTCAAGCTTGTTTCGTAAAGTATTTGACTTACTGGTAACTAGTCTCCCCTGTGTCCAAAATTTGCGACCAATTTGTTTTTTCATTACACCGTAATTGGGAAATCTCTGTTTTCCGATTGTTGATTTTGTCCCATCTACTACTCTTCTTGCTCCTCTCATCGAAAGAACTTAGCTTTTGCACAATTTTTGTGGCAGAAAGGTTTTGATAGTTGCTTGTCTGGACTTCAGATGGATCTGGAAACTGAAAATCGAATAGCTTCAATTCTTCTAAGAGAAGCAGCAGAATTGAGGAGACAAGCTGAAAAAGATGGTGTCCGAGCATATCTTGAGAAGCCTAATGTAAGGCATCGACCTAACTCAAGATTTCTCACAGCGACTGTTCTTGGTGTTCAGCAATGTATGCTTTTTCTGTTGACCCTCTACTTTTTGTTCTTTTTTTCATCATATGCTCGTTTTTACCGATTGTGGGGATGCAAACTTATTTTTCCATCAGCAACCTATGTATTTTTCTCGAACTCAATTTTATTACCTTGGAAAAATTTATAGTTAGAAGAAGTATCAGCCAAACAAATCAAGTACTTGGCGGCTGTTATCTTGTAGAATGTTTTTTGCAATCCTGCAAGTTGACGCTGTAGGAAAAGGAGAATTCTTTGCATTGCTGTACTTTTTGACAATTTTTTTTTTGTTCGTTGAAGCAAATAGCTGGATTTGTTTTGGAAGAGGATTAGTTTCTTTGTTGGTTAATGATTAAAACACAATTTAAAGGTTGGTAACATGTGAAAGTTATGTATGTCTCTTATATGTATCCTCTGTAATAGTTTCTTGACTAGTTCAATATTATTTTGGTTTTACGAGGGGTTGACTTACGTGTCTGTCTAGTAGACAATGTAGCTTAAAAGGTTAATCATTTTAACTCTAATCTCCTACATGTTCTGTTTCTTGACCGTACAGCAAACAAGGCGGTAGAAACCAATGAAATGTGGAGGGCTCGGCAGAAAGAGATTGAGCTAGAAGATGAAAGGCTGAAAAGAGAAACAAGAGAGGAAAGCAGCAGTAGCCAAATGGAGCGGAGAGGTAGTCTCTCGGAAAGGAGGTTGGATAAGAGATGCAGTTCCGGAAAGATAACACATGCATCATCATCATCAGACAAAAGATGGTACTCGGAAGATGACGTAGGCTTAGGAGATGACGAGATTGAGTCTTTTCTCCATTCACGGTATGTCCTTTCCCACTCAGCATAGCAGCTTCTATTACCTTTGAGTTTGCTAGCTATCCTCATCTTCTGAATCTCTTGTGAATGACAGGATCAAACGTGGCAGAGGCTCCATCGGTCCTAGGATGGATGAAACTGGCCCTTATCTTCCCGCCGAGAAGGTAGATAAGTTGCAAAGTTCTGATGCAGGAGAACGGAAGGTGGTCCTGGGCCCAGAGAGACCACCTTCACTGAGACAACACTCAGATGATAACGGGCGTGGTCGGACAATAAGAAAGGACTCTATGAAGAAGCGTATTAAAAAAGAGACGAAAATAGAAAAGAAGAGAAAACGAGACAGGCGCTAAACGTTTTCGCATGATATTGATATTATATTAACAGTTCATGCTATTGCTAGCGGATGTTCTTCCTCCAATTGTCCGAACAATTTGTAGATTATATATGACCTGATTTTTATGAAATGACCTTTTCGCAGCAACACTTATACGCAGAAATTTGTCATACGTGATCGTTTATTCTCTTTATTCAGTTGTTCGGCTTATATATAGAGAGATTTATTGCATAAAATTTTCTATGCCTGGTCAAGTGTTTAAATGCGCAAAGAACGATTATTCAAGTCCAGCAAGTTTTTTTTTTTTCCAAATTGGCAATGTCACAGTTTCTCTATATACTAAAAACATTAGGCTTTGTAAATTGAGAGAGTAATCATTCATCATATCTCGTTTTCTCCTTTTTCATTCCTCACGGCTCACACAGATTCCTCGAGATGTCAACGTGTTTTCACTTTACATCATAGCGACGCTTTTTGGAAGTAGCTTTGCTGTTTCCTTTTGCCTCCTGCATCAGGTTGCTTGATTTTCAATAAACTTGAAACATAAGAGCACACATGTGTAGATCTAGCTTCTCTAGCCACTCACGATGAGAGGCTGACGTAGAAAGAGCCATTGTTAGTTCTGAAATGATGCTTAATGGCAGGAATGTGTTTAACCCTTGACCGGTCTACACTCCCTTCTCCACGAATCCGCTCAACTAGCTGATCAGAAACATGACTCAAATGGAGTTCTTGAAGATTCATAAGCTTCTCAATTCCTTTTGGTACCGACTCTAACCCTCTGCAAGCTCTGACATAAAGTTTCTGAAGCCCAAGCATTGTGCCATCTTCTATAACAACTACTGCAAGATTTTGCATCTGAACTATATCTAGAATCTTCAGATTCTGAAACCCTTCAGCAAAGCACAATCTAGGTCCCATGTATGCATTGTAAAATGAAAGCCATACCAATTTAGGAAGCGCTTGGATATAGGGAATAGCGTTTTCTTGAAACTGAGATCCGCGTAAACCCAAATAGGTAAGGTTCTGAAGAGAACTGAACCAACTTGGCACTCTTTCCAGTTTCCCTGCAAGAAAGAGTTTCTCAATGCTTGCAGTTGCTATCAGTCCGTCTATCTCTAACGGTTCCTCTTCATGAATGGACGTCAGAGATAAGAATCTGAGTCTTTTAATCTTATTCAGTGACTCGCACAAGTCACTTCCGTGTTCTCTTTTTATCATGACAAGGCTTATTCTTCTGAGTTGAGTCATGTTTCCGAGCTTTTTGATAAGCTCAGCTTCTGCGTTGAAGCAGTCCAAGACTTGCAAATCCTTCAACAGGTAGATATTAGAAGAAACCTTTGTACCTAAAACATAGTTCCAATTGGAATCATGTCCATAGTTGCAACGAAAAGTAATCAGATAACGCAACTTTCGCAACTTCGACATCCCTGGAGGAAGTTCCTCAATCTTGGAGTGCCTAGTGTTCAATGTCTCCAAATTGATGAGTTTATGGAAGTTTCTTGGGAGTTCCTTCACTTGGGTTTTCGACAAATTCAAATACTTTAAGTTGAACAGAGTTACCAAACAATCTGGTAGCTTGCTGATGGCAGAGTCTTCAAGGTCTAAGGCTCTAAGAAGGTTCAGATTTGGTGGTAGTTTAATGTTGTGTTTAGTGCAAACCAAAAGAGAGTGAAGGTTTGTTGTACGTACGGTACCTAATCTCATCTCTCTCTGAATGCATAAATGGCGAGCACCGTAATCCTCGGTTGTTTCTGCATCATCATCATCATCATCATCATCATTGTCGTTACTAGATACATCACAGAACCTCTCAGCTTTGGATATAGACAGAGCGATCTCCCTTATCACGTCATGCATCTTGAACACTTTGGGCCGTCCAAAAGGATTCCACAAGATAACTTGAAGCATGTTTCTGTAAACAAGTGCATTGAGGTAACTATCAGCCACTTCCTCTGCTTTCACTCCTCTGATCGGTTCCACAAACCTTTGTGCCATCCACATCCTAACGAGCCTCTTTCTTTTCATCCGATAGTTCGCAGGGAAAAGAGAACAGTATAAGAAACAACGTTTTAGCGGGTAAGGCAAATCGTTGAAGCTAAGCAACAAAATGCTTCGAACAACCTTGAGCTCAAGATTGTTGTTCAATTCCCAGTTCAAAGAATTGTAGACTTTCTTCCATTCTGACTCCAACTTCTTTGCTGACATCATGCTCCCCAATGAAGCAATAGCTAATGGCAGGCCTTGACATCTCTCTAGTAACTTCCGTGCTATCAGCTCCAGATTTTGCCCTCTGCATTTCTCAAGACTTCCAGAAAACGCTTTGTTGCAGAAAAGCACCCAAGCTTCATCTTCTTTTAAGAGCTCAATCTCGTGGTATCGGCTCCCAACGCCATACGAGAAAGAAGCCACGTTATTGCTCCGAGTAGTGATCATAATACGACTTCCACAAATACCATCCGGTAGAGCGATACTTATCTCCCTCCACAGACCAGTGGTCCATACATCATCAAGCACAACAAAGTACCTCTTTGACTGCAGATACTCCACAAGTTTTTCCACCAACTCTCTGTAACTTAAGGAGTACAATTCAGCTGGAATCTGTGTTTCTGCTTCTTTGTAGAACTCCTTGATCATTGTCCTAAACACATCTTCAATCACATAGGATTTCGAGATTGTCACCCAAGCGTATGACTCGAAATGCCTCCGCACGCTTTGGGACTTGAAGATATTCGCTGAGAGTGTAGTCTTCCCTGAACCGCCCATTCCAACCACCGAGACGACCACTCGCTGAGGTTCTTGATTCAAAAGCCATCCAATGAGCTTTCCCTTGGCTGCATCGATCCCTACAAGACTATTCTCGCTAAAGAAAAGAGATGACTCGCTGATGTTATTCACCCACTTGGAACCGTCATCATCAATAACTGATGATGACGCTCCTTGATGGTTTTCTGAACGAGAGTACCTTTTCATGGATACAGAAATGGACTGAATCAAGACATTCACCATTCCTAGCTTCCGAGCTATCGAGTGCCTCGCCCACATATACCTTGGGAAATGAAACGCACGGCCAAGCTTTGTGCAGCTACGATAACCATGGATGTGATAGGCAAACTCGTCGGTAATGTCTTCCACTTGGTAAGCCAGATCTCTTGTGTTTGCCACAAATGTTTGGAAGAGTTGAGTTGTTGTGGTGGATCCATTTCCACCATGTTTATGGTTGTCCTCGAGAAAGGACTTCATGATAAGCAACTCCTTCTTCATCTTCTCAATCTCGCCATGGACTCCTGACAACAACAAGGACTCGTTTTCTAGGAGACTAAGAATCCGTCCGATCCCAAAATCAACAGTAGCTGAAGTCATCTCTTCTCTGTAGCTTAAGCTCACGGTCTCTCTTAGTATCTTTTTGTGAGCTTCTTGAAATTGAGCAAAGCCAAGCTTGTTTCAGTTCACACCTTACCAAACACGTTTTAATCAGTTATCCTTAACGACCCAAACAAAGTCTTCGTTTGGCTTACACAGCTCGAGAAGCCAAAGCTGCTTTCACATTTGCAACTTCAGATTTATTTGTTTTATAAATTTTCAAGATATAATCCAAAATAATTGGTGGAGCAAAACGAAAGGGTCTACTGTAGAAATCAAAATTGCTTTTAGTGTCACTACTACATCATGAAGCAAATCTATATATTAAATGTTTACTCGACCAAATCATAAACGCAAAAAAACAAAACAAATAACGTTGTTTATATAAATCACTCATTCTTCAGGCAAAAGTCCAGCCATTGGAACTTTAACCTCCAGTTCGAAATCGTCTCCTTCATCCATGGCTGTAGCTTTGTTCTTCGCATAATCTACTTTGAAATCGTAATCTCCGTCCATCAGATCTTCACCAGCTGCTGCTTTTTTCCCTTTCTTTCTCCTCTTCTTCTCCGCTTTCTGCTGTTTTGTATTCAGCATACTCTCAGCTACGTATAGCTTCTCATTCTGCATGCTCTTCTCTGATTTCTTCTTCGACTTTACTGTTTCCTCCTCCTCCTCTTCCCCTCCCATAGACTCATCATCGCTCTCAAGGACAGGCTCTTCTTCGGTCTGAGACTTAGACCCATCCTGTGGTATTTGTGTTAATAATCAAAAAGGTTAAACCATACCTGGATTGAACTCAGTTTGCAAGCAAATGGAATCACAAAAGAATTGATTAACCAACCTCGATCATAGTTTCATCGAAATTGAGAGGACCATTAGATGGAACTTCAACAGGGTTGAAATCATTAACCGACTTCAAGCTCCCAATGAAAGAGGATTCACCACTGTAAACCTCATCGATGTTGAATTCCTTAGCCAACTCGGTCACAATCTTTGACTCTACGTGTTCACCTTGGTCCCTCTTTGGAGGCATTGTAAAGTACGGAATTTTACCTGCACAACCATTCATATTAAATGACCATGATGAGTTAAAACTGGTTTTGAAAAATTCCAAGTTTTATGAGGAACTGAAAGATGATAACCGCTCCGCACCTTCATTCCAGTCATGCAAAACAATCCTTGCAGCAGCTTCAATATCCACAAGACCTCCTTTTTTAAGCTTACCCCTTACGGTGGCAACTTTATAAAGAAAATCATCAACTGATTCGAAGCTCGGGATTTTGTACAGAGTCACCAGCATTTGTGTTGAACAAAGCTTGAGGATTTCCTTCACTAAATTTGCCACAAAGCAGAAGATTTCCAGGTTAGGTCACTGAGATTTATAACTTTAACAAGGCAAAAAGCACAAAACGTCATGCGATTTTATCTTAATATTATGTATTTCCAATTACCTGGACTAACTGGATCATCCAACTTCTCGATTCTTTTACAATTCCTGAGAGCTATAGAAGCATCATTTCCTGAAGATTTGAGCATCACAACTCCAGGACAATCCAACAACTTCACGTTTTTATCCAAGTGAACCTCTTGCAGAGACCTAGTCAGTCCAGGAGTGGCACCGACATTGACGACATGAGCTCTCTTCAAACTGTTAATAAGACTACTCTTCCCAACATTAGGGAGTCCGATAATACCGACTGTAATAGATTTTTTTAACTGCCAAAAGAAAAACATAGGGAGATTCCATCAAAACTAGATAGGATAACTAATTGCAAGGGTAATCGCGTTTAAAAAAATTTGAAAAACAAACCTCATGACTTCTTGAGTAGTTTTTCAGCAATTTGATAAGAGTGTCTGCTCCAAGACAATCACTCGTCTGCAAAAGATTGCTTGGTTTTGATGCCTTCGATGATTTCCAACCCAAGTTTGATCTCTGTTCCTGGGTACTACATTTGAAGGCAACAGCTGGAAATTCTTCCCTAAGGTACTTAAGCCATTTCTCAGCAGCCTCTCGGGGAACAAGATCTAGGCAAAGAGAACCCGTTACAAAAAGTAATGATACCACCCCAAGGAAACAAATAACTTATTATGTCCACAAGCAGAGACTTGTAAAGAACTTACCAATCTTGTTAAGAAGCAATACAAGGTGTTTATTGGGACCAGCTTGCATCACCATCCTCTCCATGTCGGTACAACGCGAGCCAAGGGGATCACGGGCATCAAGAACCTCCAGTATGACATCAGACAGTTCAATGACTTTAACAAGCTCCTTGTAGAAAGCCCTCTCCGAGTTATCTATGAAACAATAGACATCAGTGAATGTAACGGTAGATAGAAATTACATAAACGTGTGGAGAAGATATCCAAATCAAAGCACAATAAGACTCACCTCGAACATTGACAACTCTAGTTGAGTCATCTCCGCTCTTCCCCTCTCCATACCCTTCTTCCGTCTTGGTATCATCATCATCCCCCTCAACCAAACCAAGTTTCCTCTTTTTGGCCTAAAAAGATTTAATCAGAGAGATGAGAACAAAAACAGCACTTAAAGAAAAGTCTTACGAGAAAATCAATCAGCAAAACATGGAAAATGATATCCATTGTCAATCAACCAAAAACCGGAAGACACATGACAAGTCGTTAACAACTGTGACCTAAAATTGAAGTGAGTTGATGATTGAAAAGAACCAGAAGATTGGCTAAATACCGGACGAGATTATGCAACAGAATTTCATAGATTGGAGCTACAAAGTTTGAGAATGAAGATACCCTTTCTTTTCGGGCGACTTTCTTCTGTTCGATCTCTTCGAGGGCACGTGCACGTCGAGCTTCTAAGGCCTTGAGCTCCTGTTCCTTGAAAGGCCAGTCATTGGGAATACCTGGGTCCTTCTCTACTCTTGGTTTACGGTTAAGCCCGAGCTTCTTAGCATCCTTTGCTTTCTTCTTGTGGTGCTCCTTCACCTTTCTCAGGACCTTGTGCTTCTGCTTCAAGGTCACCCTCTTACTCTTGCTCTCTGCAAAACAGTCGCAACATCAAACAATCATTAAAGACCGAGAAAAATCCTGAGCTGATTTCAGTTCATCGGCGAAGAAAAACCCAGAATAGAGATTTGATTGAGGGATTTAGCTTACTTTTACTCCGTTTCACCATTTTTGCCTTCTGAGAGCAAAGCAAAAAGAAAAATTGAGTAGGTTAGAAGAAAAGGGTTTATGGAGACAGAGGGTGAAGATACGGCGCCAATTAGGGTTTACGGCCCGACCCGACCCGACCCGGACTTTGTTGGAGTCAACTATAAAAAAAAAATAAAAGACGGGGTGAAAAAGGTTCGAACTGTCGGCCTTAGGATTACTATTTTAGCTATGAGACCTTCAAAAATCTTAGTTTCTTAGTTGAGCTTAGAAAATTGAAGTCAGGATACAGAATGTCTAGCAGAAGCCTCCATTTGAAGAAAATTTCATGGCTTTCTTCTCGGACTGTCTCAGGTTCGGAAATTTGATCGTCTTCTTCGAGTCAAGCTTTCTGGGGTTTCACTAATTCATGCGTTTTAACGATTTTGTTTTGTTTTTGGGGATGTCTTTTTTGTTCACTAGACAATATTCACGGGGGATTCCGGCGACCCATTACTACTCCAGCCACTTGTTTAGCTCCTTCATTCGATAGAGACATGAACATTGCGTCCAAGACATTGGTCGGTCAATGTTATTCTCGCGGGTAACTCGATTGATTATTTCGAGAAATGTATTCTCTTTCGGTTCTGGGTTCACTTTCTAATTTGTATTGGGCAGTCTCTTCCAGGTTCGCATCAGTTAAACGAGTTTCTCGAGCTTCTTCTTCTTCTTCTTCTCCACAAGCTGATTTACTCTCTTATATTAGAGCTTCACTCGATAAACTTGAAGGTACTGATTGTTATTACTGATTCTGACATCTGGTTTGAAACATCTCTTTTTGTTGTAAACAAAGTTTGGAAATTGAACTCTTAGGTCCTTCCCATCATTGGCTAAATCGTGACATTGGAAATAAACAGCTTTTCAAGGACAAAGGAACTTATGTACTTCTCGCTGGACATTTGCTAAACGCAACTAGTGATACGAGTGGTTTCTTTGACAAACTAAAGTTGCTTCAGCAGAGGTTTAAGAAAGATTTGTTAACCAAAGAATCATGGCAACTTAAGGCTGAGTATTTTGTTTTTTGTGGTCTTTTAAGGTCTCCGGGTGTCTGTTTCATGGGCATTCACTTCAGCGATCAAGCTCGAATCGCTGATGATCGAACTGCTTTAGCTGAGTTGATTGTGAAGGAATACCTTACTTTTCCTGTACTACTTTCTGAGAGAGATTTTCCAAAGGTAAGTATTGTATCTTCAAGAAAGCCTCAATTTACTCTTAATGGCATCTTTGTATATTATCCTCTAAGTTATATTTTCAATATGAAATGAATGTTTTGCTACTTGTATTAGTCACATGGAGAAGAAGTACGCTACATCGTGTTTAAAGATTTTAAGAATCCTTTAATCTACCAAGAGAAGGATCTGGATGTTGCTTCCGTAGCTAAAGGTATGCCTACTTTATCATTCTATTCACTACAATTGTTCTCTAACGATGCCATAGCTATTGTTCCATGTTCACCTTAAATAAAAAGAATATTATATTTGCTGCTCTAGGCTGCTTTTAGCTATTGAATAGTCTTCGTTTCATACCTTCAATCTTCCTCGAAATCTAAGAAGGCGAAAGCATCTAATTCCTCCCTTAATTGTGTGCTTAATTGCGTATTCTGGTTTCTTCTTCTTGTGCTTTGCCGCAGCTCTTGACAGCCTCACCCAAGATACTGAGAAATCCAAGTCTGTCAAAATCTTCACGAACACTTGGTCAAAACAGGCTGAGGCTATCAAGGAATCACATTTCTCTTCTTTCTTGCAGGATTTGTTTCTTTACTTTCCAGGTATATATCTTCAATCTTCTTTCTTATTTTGTTGGTCTTTTCGAGTTTTATCTGGATTTTTGCATCTTTTTCTTTCATGCTACTCTCTAATCTTTTCTTCACAGAACTTTGGTATAGGATTTTGAATTTTTCTAATAATAGTATTCTCAGTGTGTGACATTCTCCGTGACAGGTTGTATCTCTGCAGACGAAGTTGGAAATTGTCTTTTTATTTCTGATAGCAACCATCATCGTATTATTATATTGGATGATAGTGGGAAGATTTTAGACAGTGTAAGTTAACTGGGAAAGTTTAAAATTATAAAGATTTCTTTGTTCAATTTTCCTTGGAAAGTCATTCTTAGAAAGAAAAAAAAGTTCATGTGGCGCTACTTGTTTAACAAAGCTTAACTTCAAGAGGATGTTTTTATTTCAGATTGGTTGTTTCCCAGGTTTTGAGGATGGAGAATTTGAATCTGCAAAAATGTTACGTCCTGCGGCGACCCTTTATGACGAAGAGGAGGATTGCCTTTACATTGTCGATTCTGAGGTATGACTTACTAGAAGAAGTTTCAAAATTGTAATCACTGATTGGGGCATTGAATGTTTTCATGTTAAGATTGCTTTTCCTTTTTGTTTTCTTTTCTTCTCCCCATTCTTTGAGTTAAGAATCATGCCATTAGAAGAGCAAATATAAAGACGCGGGTCCTGGAAACGGTATATCCAAGGGTTATTAAAAAGAGTGGTGGCTTATGGTCTTGGATAATGGAAAAAATGGGTCTTGGGAAAGATGATGATACAACAGTTGATGCTGATGCGAAATCAGAAGAATCTGATGCTCACTCTTTGATGTTTCCGTGGCATATACTGAAGCATGATGATGACAGTCTTTTAGTCATTAACAAAAGGTAAAAAGACTAACCAAAGGGGTTGCTTCATTACATTAGAGAAAGCTCATTCTCTCATTGTTTCTCTTGCTACCCTTTTTTTTTTTTGCTTTTAACCAAACATTATCATATTTTTCAGCTTCTCGAAGTTGTGGATTATTAATTCAGCTTCAGGAGAGATCGAAGAACTAGTGGAAGGTTACATATAAGAATCGGCATCTTCATCCGTTTTATGGTACTTGGCTTGTTGACCTATTCTATCTAACATATATTTATCAAAATCTGAAGGGTTTCCGGGGATAATGGAGATCTGTGGGAAATTAATCACGGAGAAGCTGTCAGTCTTGAAACAGTTGCCTTCTAATTGGTTGCAACAGCAAACGAAGGCTATCAGCTCATGCAAGGAGCTGCCAAGTGCTGCCCTTTTGTCTTCTTTCACTAAACTTGGAGACGACATGGTCATGACAGATATAGGTAAAGAAATTGACGCAGCTTCGTTTACATTGTTTCATCTCTAGGCATCAACTAACTAATCCGTTTTCCTTCTACTTATGCGGATCTCTGCATATGAAGTTGGTCAGAGAGTGGTGAAGCTAAATAGAGAATCCGGAGCATGCTCTAGCATACAGTTTTCAAACATTGGGATCCTTGGGTTGCCTTATTGGTTGTCCATTCCACTGGAGAGAGTTTTCAATCTGTTAGTGATTTCTTTTCACTATTCTTTTCCATTAATTAAGAGCACTACTCTTGTTCGGACACTTGCTAACTGATGTTGTGCACTTTTGGGTTGAAATAAAACAGAGCTAACGGAGTACAGGAAGCACACCTCAGCCATACTCATCAACTCCGGTTATTGCCTGGTGCGATTAGCTAGAACAAGCCCTAACGTTTTGACATTAGGTCTAGCCGAAAATCGAAATATACGGTCTGATATCTACTACTACTTTTTAATTTTATTTTTAACAGGTAAGATTAGCATACGGTTGAACATAGAGCTCCCTCAATGCACGGAGCTTGTTGAACCGGTACAAGAAAGCTGCATATGGCGACAGGCAAGAGGCTCAATCAGTGAAGTCTCGACTTCTGGAAGTGCAGTGGAACCTTCTGAAAAGGTCAAGATCGAACCTCACACCCGACGTTTCCTCTGGTTTAATCCCGAAAGTGGCTCAGAAATTTTGTTTTCATGACTTGCAGGTTGGAGTCTCACAACAATGGTATGATGAATTAGACAGCCTCGCAAAAGAAATAGCCAACCCCGAATTAGCTGATGAAGAGCCAGAGCAAGAAGAAGATATTAACACTTCTGAGATCGAAAGTGAAGACGATGGACGGATACACATCGATTGCACTGTCAATACAAGTCCTGGCACAAGCGAGGTACCCCTGAAATCTTCTCTCGAGGCTCTAATACCATGGTTTAAGCATCAACTAAAGCCAAAGTTTACTCCTAATCATAAAAAATAATATATAATTTTTTTCAAATTTGGGGTTTGTGCAGCTTATTGTTTATGCAGCTTTGTATTTAAGACTGACGAAGAACGAAGACACAGAAGGTGCGAGCCAGGAAGAACTGGCGAGAAGAATAACAGAGATTTTAAAGCCAGCAAGGAACATGACGACTATGGATGAAGATTTGTTTGTGAAACAGTTGTTGAAGTCAAAGAGAGAAATGAGAGACATGGTCTTCGTGAAGCCAATCCATTTGCGTGTAAGGTTTGACACGATGGATCACCCAAAAGCCGATAACTCAAGAGACGTAATCTTGACAGACTCTTCTGCTCAGATCGATGTCACTCTTTGACGACAATAGAGTGCGCGTGCAAATAATGCTGATGCCTTGTTAAATTCTTTCACATCTGAGTACTCTCTTTGTGAGTTAAAGAAAACTCTCATAAGTTTGTGACATTACTACTAGATTAACGATTTGTAAGGTCGGTCCAACTTTGAAATGGGTCACAATTTATTTAACGTGGACCTTGTTTCATCCGGACAAAGTAACCCGTCATGGTCGGATTTCTATATATTTGATTAAAAAAAAATATTTGAGCAAACAAATATATTTGATAATTTATTTTAGTTATTTAATTGCTAAGAGTTTTGAAAGTAAGAAAACAATATTTTTGGCCTTTAAAGAAAATTGTATTTTTGGCCTTTTAAGAAAATAGTAAATAAGAAAATTGCTCCATCCTAATGATGGATTATCATCTCAATCGTATTTGCAAGAGCCTCATGGAGAAAATTGTTTGTAAACAAAAGAGCCAAGAATCCAGACAATATCATCACTACCCAGTCATCATTTTCCAGGTCTCCTATCTTCTATATTGTATTTGTATTCTTATTCGTTCGCAATTTTTAAAGAGATTTTTTGGAATAATAATCATACTCGCAATTTTTATATTAAAATCATATATAGTTCGTGCCACCATTAACATTACATCCATCCAACCCTTTTGTTGCACCTCTTTTATTCAGTTCATGGTCTCCATGTCATTCTTCGTTTTCCCTTTTCTCCAAACCGTACATTAATATTAATAACATTTATATTGGTTTAAAATCTCTAAAAACATTTTTGGTGGAGGTTAGCTTATTTTTAAAAAATACAAATTGCCGCAAACATGTAATGTGAGACACACAAACATGAGAGCAATGAGATATGGACCCCATTTTCGTACGTAAAAATCATTAAATAAACAACAGTTTAATTGTCTGCCTATATTAAGAGTAATTCAGAAACCTAAACCTGAAAAATCCTGTTTTCTCGGAGACTCTTTCGCGCTTCGGATCCCGACGGTTTTGGTGTTGATTTTATTTTTCTTTGAATCTGGGTTTTGTTAGATCTTTGACGACAAAACATATCAAGGTGAAGATAAAGAGAAAACCCTAAGGGTTTCTTTGGGAAAGAGTCAACCATTGTTTATAAGAACGATTCTAAAGGTATGCTCTGCCTTCTCTCAACAAACATGCATTAATTTATTTCCAGATAATTCTTGATTTTTGTTTTCCTTTTTCAATGCAGTCATTTCATTGGACAAATTAACGATTCAAACAATAAAGATCCATATTTGGTCTTAATTTGTGGTCCTCAGATTAAGACCAATTGAGACTTTCTGCACGGTGTGGTTATAGTCTGTGTCATAATTAATCATCTTCAATATTTACAAGAAGCAAAAAAAAGAGAGAGAGAGGGATCGGAGTTTTCTTGAGAAAGGGTTCTCCGCAAAAGAAATGAATTGCTTTTCATGTTTTTATTTCCATGAAAAGAAAAAAGCTCCCAAAGATTCAGATAACAGCCGCCGGAGAAATGGTGAGCTGACCACCGGTAAAGACAACAACAAAACACACCCTGGTAAGCTCAGAAATTAATCTATATTAATGTTTTAGATATATAAGGGTTTAAATAAAAAGTCTAAATTCAGTAATCTATGTGGTGGTTACAGAGAATCCAAAGACTGGAAATGAGCAGAACAAGAACCACGATGCAAACAAAGAAGTGACAAACAACATTGCTGCGCAAACATTCACCTTCAGGGAGCTTGCTACAGCGACAAAGAATTTCAGACAAGAATGTCTGATCGGTGAAGGCGGTTTTGGAAGGGTTTACAAGGGAAAACTCGAAAAATGTGGCAAGGTAATTAGTACCAATCGACTTTAAGATCTTTTCACTAGTTTGATTTCACTAGTTGGTCACATGAAAATTAGGATATATAGTTTGATGATGGAATAGCGAGAAAACACTCTTGCAGATAATCTATAATCGTTAAAAAGATGTCTTTCATTTTTTGGTTAACTTGTTATATACGTATGAAAATGTACATACTAATGTAAAAACTAATTTTATAGAAACCTAAAAAGTTTGATGAGATAGCCTTCATGATCTCTGTTTCTCCATTTCTATACTGCAAATCTCTCAAGAAGTATCTAATGTTTTTTTTTGGGATTCAGATTGTGGCAGTGAAGCAATTAGATAGAAATGGGTTGCAAGGGAACAAAGAGTTCATCGTAGAAGTGTTGATGTTAAGTCTTTTGCATCACAAGCATCTCGTAAATCTCATTGGGTATTGTGCTGATGGAGATCAAAGACTTCTCGTCTATGAGTACATGTCTCGTGGTTCACTCGAAGATCATCTCCTCGGTATAAAATTACTAAACTATGGATCAATATTGACTGATTTATTGGATTATATAGTCCCAATGTTTGATTGCTGATCGCAATGGCTAATTACAGATCTAACACCGGACCAAGTACCGTTGGATTGGGACACAAGGATTAGAATCGCGCTAGGAGCAGCCATGGGTCTTGAATACTTGCACGACAAGGCAGATCCTCCGGTGATCTACAGAGATCTCAAGGCAGCTAATATCCTTTTGGACAATGACTTCAACGCCAAGTTATCCGATTTTGGGCTGGCAAAGCTAGGTCCTGTCGGGGACAAACAACATGTGTCTTCCAGAGTTATGGGAACTTACGGGTACTGTGCTCCAGAGTATCAGAGAACCGGTCAGTTAACCATCAAATCTGATGTTTATAGCTTCGGTGTTGTGTTGCTGGAATTGATAACTGGACGACGAGTTATTGATACTACCAGACCCAAAGCTGAACAGAATCTAGTGACTTGGGTGAGTTTCATTGGCATTGGCTACAGTTGCTTCAACTTTATAACAATAAGGACATGTGCTTAAAGTTTTTCAACATTACAATAGAAAACAGAACAGGCTTGTGCTTTAGCTTCAAATTGTTTAAAACATCAAAATTCTTGTGTGTGTTTTAGGCACAACCGGTGTTCAAAGAACCGAGTAGATTTCCGGAGTTAGCGGATCCAAGTCTGGAGGGAGTGTTCCCGGAGAAAGCTCTAAATCAGGCCGTGGCGGTGGCGGCAATGTGTTTACAAGAAGAGGCAACGGTGAGGCCACTCATAAGCGACGTCGTAACAGCTCTCGGTTTCTTGGGAACAGCTCCTGATGGCTCTATCTCTGTTCCACACTACGACGACGTTCCTCCTCCTCGTCAGCCGTCGGATGAAACGCCCGGTGAGGATTCTGTGGCGGCGGAGGAAAGAGAAAGAGCCGTGGCTGAGGCTATGGAGTGGGGAGTTGCCTCGAGAGCACATTCCCGGAACCCTAGCGCTGCAAATTCCCGGAACCCAAGCGCTGCACATTCTCGGAACCCAAGTGCTTCTTGATCGTTTTCATTTTACATGTTTCCCTCTTCTTGATTTTCATTTTTCGGGTTGGTTGTTTTTTTTTTTTTCTTTTCGCTTTCGTTTTAAGTTTCAGAGAGTTAGTGATAGAAGTTACGTTCTTACCTTCTTCTTTGTGTTGTAATGTTCTGTTTTTGTTTAAATGTATAATATTCCAGCTGGGTTTTCAAAGCTCGAGAATGCAAATTTTCATGGATTCTTATTCTTGGGACTTTATTTTGTAATTAACTTCTTCTTTTTCTACTCAAAATGATTCATAATTTTTTAGCTTTGGTGTCCATGAAAGCTCATAAAGCAGCTAAATAGCAGCGGCACCATATAAATTAACACATACCAACAACAAATCCCTCGTCATTTGGTTTAATCTATACAATAAACCGGTTTACTTGAATACCCGATTCAATTATATTTCTCTCTTGTTGTTACTTATATGTAAGGCGTTTGCCATGAACAAACAATTAATCAACAATAACATCTATCTTCTTCCTCAATCTCTTCTTCCCTTCTTCTCTTCTCTCTATTTTTTCTTCATCAATCACCTTCCCGTCGCTAAATCTCAGATTCTTCGGGGTAATTCTTTACCTCCTAGGCTGTGATTTACCATTCCTCGAGCTCTCGGTGAGTTCTAGATCGGATTTATCGGTTACTCAGCTTTTACTGTCTCACTGATTCATCTCTAAATCGCCATTTATTGAACAATCTGACGCCGATCGTAATATCTCATATATGTGGGTGTGAAGGTATTCATCTTCACGCGGGTGTCGTTTTCTTCGATTCGATCAATTGATTTGGTTAGAATCTGTCGACTCGTTTGGGCTCTTTGTATCTCTGGGAGATTTTCCGTTGCAAGAGATCTTTGATCAATGGGTGTTTAAGCATTCGCTGTAGAATGTATCATTGATTTTTTCCGGTGAGATCGGTGAGCTCAAGTTCTGTTATTTGTTCCCTCCTAATTGGGATTCTAATAGAGATATGTCCAGTAAGGTATGGAGATGGGTATTAGGGTTGATATACATATTTGCTGTTGCCACGATTTGGATTGCAGCCAGTTTTGTAGTCCAGTCTGTGGTGGATGCTGGCGTCTCTCCGTTCCTGATCACTTTCATTTGTAATTCACTGTTCGTCGTTTATCTTCCCCTGTTTGAGATCGGTCGATATCTGGAAGATGCATATGGGAGTTTGTTGTTTTGGAGAAATAAAAGGTCGCATTTACGGGAATTGGTCGAATCAGAGAAGGCTGTTTTGCTTGGAGAAGACGTTGTTTCAGGTGTGAAATCAGATGCACCTGAAGGATCAGGGCTTTTGGCGAGACAGGAAGGAAATAGTGAGGATGGTGATGGAATTGAATCTGGATTGGACAATATAGAGCGTGAGATAGATGCTAGTGTCAGTGTTAGTGGTGAAATCTGTAGCAAAGGATTAGATGAGAAGGGACGTTGGACACGGATGCGAGTTGCTAAAGTTAGCCTTGTGATATGTCCGTTTTGGTTTTTGGCACAGCTCACTTTCAATCTCTCTCTCAAGTACACAACAGTTACGGTAAGAACATCGAAAACCCCATTCTTGTTGCCCTGTTCTGAAAACTACTTTGTAATGCTCGACTTAAAGATGACTTTTTTCATTTTGTGAATTGCAGTCAAATACAATCTTAAGCAGTTCATCAAGCCTTTTCACCTTTCTGGTATCACTAATATTTTTGGGAGAGAAGTTCACGTGGTTAAAGCTCTTCAGCGTTCTTCTTTGTATGTCTGGGACCATAATTGTGAGTATGGGTGACTCAGAATCCAACTCAACTGCAACAGCTAAAAACCCTCTTCTGGGAGATATCCTTTCCCTGATCTCAGCTGCGCTATATGCTGCCTACATCACTCTTATACGCAAAAAGCTTCCAGATGATGATGAAAGAAGCGGCCGCTTCAGTATGGCTCAGCTCCTGGGGTTTCTAGGTCTCTTCAATTTCTTTATTTTCCTACCTGCTGCTCTAATACTCAACTTCACAAAGCGAGAACGCTTCAACGCACTAACCTTGAAACAGTTTGGTCTAGTTGTTGGCAAAGGTATGCGATCCCTTATATTGTCTCAGCTCTGTTGGAGTTATGGTCAACAAATATGGAAACAACAGGATTTGATAACGCAAGCAGTAAATTAGGATTTGATGTTGGAATGCTGTTTTGAATGATGTGTTTTCAGGTTTGTTAGATAATGTGCTTAGTGACTATCTATGGGCAAAGGCAGTACTTTTAACAACAACCACAGTGGCAACAGCTGGGCTAACCATCCAGGTTCCGTTGGCAGCCATTGTAGACAGCTTATCAGGGAACAAACCAAGCTTCACCGACTACATTGGTGCTGCAGCCGTAATGGTTGGCTTTGCAGGCATCAATATTCCTTCAGAGACGTTTTGCAGATCCAAAGAGACAGCCATTGAGTTAGAACCTGGGACTTCGTTCACGGATCCTCCCCAGACTGTGTCGGATAGCATAGATGTAGATTCTTCAAGGACCCTGGTGTCGTAGTAATTGTGTCAAATTCGAGAACCATGATTCTTTCTTATGTCGTTTTGTTCTCTTATTTTCTTTTGTTAACCTCTTTTGGGTTGGTGGTTTATATGTAAATCGTTGAACATGCTAATAGCTGGGAAAATACATAGTAATAAATCATTATCCGATTGGGTTTGTTGCTGGCCTTTAGTGAGCCCAATATTTCCTCAAATTAAGCCCATTAAAATCTGTTATTGGGCTCAAAATTTCCCCAATTTTTCTTTTACTGAAGGCCAAACAGTGGGCTTTATGGACTCGATATCATCCTCGCAGTAAGCCCAGTAAAATCTGTTATTGGGCTCTTAAGTACCCCGATTGTGTTTGCTGATGGGCTTTATTGAGCCCAATATTATCCTCTAAGTAAACCCAGTTAAGTCTGTTATTGGGCTCAAAATTTTCCCGATCGGTTTTTTGCTATAAGGCCACAATAGTGGGCTTTATGGACCCGATATCATCCTCGTAGTAAGCCCAGTAGTCAGTTATTGGACTCATAATTTTCCAATTGGGTTTGTTGCTGGGCTTTTGTAAGCCCACTATTAACCTGACATTAAGCCAATTAAAATCTTTTATTGGGCTCATAATTTTCTCGATTTGTCATCTACTTTAGCCCAATTGGGTTTGTTGCTGGGCTTTTGTAAGCCCACTATTAACCTGACATTAAGCCAATTAAAATCTTTTATTGGGCTCATAATTTTCTCGATTTGTCATCTACTTTAGACCATACTAGTGGGCTTTTTGGACCCGATATCATCCTCGTAGTAAGCCCATTAAAGTAAGTTATTGGGCTCATAATTTTTCCGATTTGTTTTTTGCTTTAGGCCGTCATAGTGGGCTTTATGGAGTTAGAACCTCTTTTGGGTTATATGTATAAATCGTTGAACATGCTAATAGCTGGAAAAATATTAATAAAATCATTCAAGATTCAATACACCATATGATAAACAAAGAGTTTCATCTCTGTTATTAGACTAAGCAGTCGCATTGAGATGTCCATACTTTTGCATGACTCTTTTTGTTGCCATTGCAGCTGCCTCGCTAGCTCGTAATGTGCCTTGTGCCATGAGAGCTGCAAACTCACGAGTAATCTCTTCCTGAATCTTGGTCCTAGCATCACCCAATGGATCCTCTTTAACCTTCTCTTTACTAGTAGCTGACGGTTCAACAACAGGTGCCACCTTTTCACTTGGATCTGAGGTTTTAGCATCGTCGGAGTTTGAAGCATTTTCAAATTTGAAGTGATCTCCGTTGTCAGATGGTTTTGGACCTTCATCTTTGCTAAAAGCACCAAAAGGTTGAGGTTGTGGCCTAAACTGTGGAGCATTAGGAACAGCGCCTGCTCTCAGGGTTGTTTCAAGGTTTTGTATCATAGGCACTGCAAATAAAGAGATAAAAATCAGACCAGTTCAGAGGCGAGCAAAATGGGAAAAATTGCAAGTTATCAGAGACTTACTTAAAAGACCACCCATTGGGCTGTTCAAGACTTCATTGGGAAGTTGAAGAATGTAGTCTGGAATTCCTTTACCAACCAAAAACTGAGCGACCTCATTGCTGAAGTTGTTGCAGTTGTGAGTAAGCAAATTGTAGGAATCAGCGGTGTAACGAGGACTGATCTCCTGCAAGTACATCTCGAATACGTCTTGAGGAATATGTGACTGACCCAACTCTATCGTTCGCACTGGTGTTCCATAGGGAGTTGTTCCAGCTGGCAAGTGCTGTATTCCTCCTCCAAAGAAGTATTCATTCCCGTAGATAACTATCCCCGTATGCCTTTAGAAGGAATACATCGCTCAAATGTTATTATTATACAAGCTTTCAGGACGAAGAAGAAGACTCATACGGAAAGGATACAAAGCAAAACATTTTTAACAATAAGCAGGTTCATATACGAAGGAAAACCACATTTGGTTAACATCAAAAGCAGAAGCTTACACACAGCCAACCAAACTCTTCACTCTTAGCGCGTTCATATCTAAATTGCGTTGAAACTGAAAACCCGACTATCAAGTAAACGTAAGCCTAAAATCCTATGAAACACTAGCCAGCAAAATGGTCAAAGATTCAGTTTTTATTTGGCCTAGATATTATTGTGGAGTGTACCCAATAGATTAGACAATTAAGATTTCACAAATTGTGCAAAGATATCGAAGAGAGATAACTCACCATACACCTTCGATGACCTTTCCCAAAAGTGATGCCGAGAGCTGCCGTGCCAAGCCTCGGCTTAGGTCATAGACATTCAACGAAACCCAATGCGCTTCCTGCCATATTGCATATTTCACCCATTCAATCACAGCTAACAACGAGGCAACAGATTTAACTACGGACCAGAGATGAAGTAGATATCATACCTCAGCCATTTTTAGAGAACAAAACTCTAGATATCCGTCACGCAACTATCTGAAATTATAAGAAAACACAGAGTCAAAACGCCCGCACAAGATTTACCAACGAACAGATCTAAAAAGCTATAATACCACAGGCGATTCCAAAAAACTACAAGACCTCCTCGAAATTGAGCTTCCGCAAATAAGATTTTGAGCTATTGCAGATCAAATCCACTACAAATTCCGTACAACTATAAAACAACCTTTATATGAGTACCCGCGAATAGAAAATCCAAATCTAGAAAATATCAAATCTAGAACCACGATTCTAAAATCGGGACATGTAGCTGGTAAAAAAGATTGCGAAAAAGAGGCAGTGATCACCTACGAAACCCAAAGAAGGAAAATCGCCGCTCTTTCTTCCCCAGCAAGCTCGGAAAATTTTGTCGATATGCTCAAATCTAAACTTCCTTCGAAAGCAATGGTTCAGAGAGGGGGGAGAGGTTTATAAAAGCAAGCGATTGGGAATTTCGAAGATTCTTCTACGACGTCGTATATCCAAACCGTCTCTATTCTATACCCTTCTAGAACGTACTACCCAATAAGATATTGACAACGTTTCTTCTCCCAACCAGACTGTTCCGGTTCGACCGACCAGAATCTTTGAACAGAAACGTTACCGAATTATAGAAGATTATTCGCTTCTTTCCCAATTGAATACAGTATAGTAGTTGCTTATGCACAAAGCCAAAAAAGTCTTTGGTCAAATTCAGACAGAAACGATTTTCTTTCTCGTGAACCTCATAAAAGATTAGAGACCCATATACAGAAGTGTAACATTAAAAAAAAAACCATTTATTAATTCTATATCAAAGAAATGCGAAGTTTAGCCGTTTATTAATTCTATATCAAAGATTCAAAAGAGTTTGGGTAATCTAATCTTAGTCCGTGAATATCCAAACACTACTTTGTTTTGCCAATTCACAATCTTGGTATAAATTATATGTAGTCACTTCTTGATGGAATCAAGATATAATCATAAAATGTACTTTAAATTTTTAACAGAAATTATCATGTTAATATTCCTAAATTAAGACAGATTCATGAACTGTAACTCCCAAAATAAATCCGGTACAGACGCACAAGAAAAATTAGAAAAAAAAAGGGGACAAAGGATAAACAAAAACGTCTAATCTTACGGACAAAACCATTCTGGTTGGGCAAATAAAAGCCTGGACTTGAGATAAGTTCTATCGAAAACAAATGAAGAAAAATTATAAGTAGTGCTTCTTTTTACCAAAACAACACATTATGCCCAAGGACGCAGACCACAATGACCCGGACCTGCTTAAGAAGAAGATTTTGAGCTCACGAGTTCTTCAACGGTTGCAAAGAGGCGCATTTTGGCACCCGAGTTATCTGAAAAAGGAAAAAAAGAAAACCGCTTCATACAATAGCTTTGAACATGACTTGTGGCTCTAAGCATGCACAGTTATGACATGGAATAAAGGTTTCTTACCATTGTGAGCTATTACGCATTTTGTTGGATTTGGCGATGAAGTTGTAGAATCCAATCAACATAACCAGTCGAACCGCCCATCTGGTCCTCAATGAGATTTCTGAGGAGAAGGAAGCCTTCTCGGGGTTGTTCTCCTTGCCTCACCAGAAAACACATGGGATGATATGACGGATCAGTCTCCCTCACTTTCTTTATCAACCTCATTAGTTTCTTTGACATCCCATTCTCTTGCTCTTGCAGTGTAACCTAAGACCCACCACGAAGAAAGACACATTGTGATGTTTCAGAAACTTTAAAAGCAAGGAACCAGTATCGATGCATATAAATCATTCCATGTAAAACCGCTTCATATTTTCATATGTAAGGAAACCAGCAAAAAGAAAAAATACTACTGATGCACATAAATGATTGGATGTCATGCCCGTTCAAAAAATTCATATGTAAGGATGATGCTTGTGGATAAAAGAGCATACCCTTGAGAGCTCTGCTGCAAAGTCAGTCCCAAGAAGATTTTTAGCAATGTCAGGTGAAAGCATCCGGCCAAACCACAAAACCAATCGAAAACCATCATCATAAATGTAAAGGCCTCTAGAATCCAAACTCTCTGCAGCCAAAGGCAATCTCCTTAATACGTCCTTAAGGTCATCATGGTCTGCTGATGGCTGCAAATATGTGAATTTATAAATGATTACGAAATTTTCTGAAGAGATGTCTGATAGTGTACATTTAGATAGAGATGCACAAACCTTTAAGAGCCACTCGTCAACACGGAATAAATTTGGATATAAAAGCTTCAATAGCTTTTTGACAGGCAGAGCCATCATGGTGAAGCCTGCCGCACAGCGCTCATCCAGTGAAGCATCAGCAGCTCCACGTTGAAGAGGAGTAGACTTACAAATTGACATTCCATACAATGGCAAGAACTTCAGAGACTCTGGGTATATTAATCTAGACCCCAACCGATGCTGCACCGCGTGAAGATTACGATATTCTCTGAGAGCTTTAACAATCTTTTGCTGTATTGCATTCCGTGCGTCATCCAATTTCGCAGACAGAGTTTTCTCAATTGCTGCCGGATTAAAAACGGTCATTAAATAGTATCCAAAGTAACATATGATGCTACTGGGAAAAACTTGAGTGTATCTTACCTAATCTAGTATATACAGAGACAATGGAACCAGTGTCTGCTTGTCTATACATCTCTCCAAGATCTGTTACCACTGGTGCAACAGCTGTGTGTACCCTTATACGCCTCTCTCCGCAAGAAGCAGTATATCTTAGTTCTGTTAAGGATTACTAAAACTACATGATGCATTGTACCAGCTGAAAATCAAACTTCAAACTCAAGTATATTTTAAATAAAACTATTCAAGGATACAGTAGAGCGACTTGGAAATACACAGTCGGGGTTGTTAACAATGTCTCTTCCAGAGTTAACTGCATTGCATATGCTTTGTCACAGTCAACAGCAGGAAGAGCAAGCAGGTCAGTAGACCTTAGCATGAAGTTCCCATGGTATGACGAGAAACGAATTCCTGCATGCAAAAATATATAAGATCAAGTGTACCAACGAATTTAGCAAATCTTGAGTGACGTAACAGGTAGCACAAATAAATATTGTATCATAAACTATTAAACCTTTTCCACATCTTATTCGCATAACCGATTCCCAGGCAGTTTCCCTTGTAAGGTCTCTAGCCAGCTCGTGTCTTAACTTATCTCCATGAATAGATGATTGGAAGCCTGGATAATAGTACACCTGTCCTCCAGTGTATTTTGCCAGAGTCCCTACACAAACCAATGCATTATACTACATAAAAATTAATAAAGCCTCCTTATTTTTTTTTTCAAAAAAAGCCTCCTTATTTAAAACAGCAATATTTAAGGGGGAAAAGGCAACACTGTCCATTGACTCCAAACCCCTGAAATAAAACATCAGTGATAACCATGACGTTCACGTACCTAAGGAGGCAATATCAGTGTACTTATCACTGAATGCATAAACATTAATTCCTATCTGGAACTTGGTACAATCGGCAGCCATTTGCTTATAGAAGGGGTCTTCAGCTACCCTTAAAGCATATTCTTTGTCAGTTCCATAGACACGAGGATCATCTCCGCGCAACTTTAACCGCCCAGCACCAAGAGAAGGTATCGAGTTCTGGAAAATTAGCAACTTGCCACCAAGTTGGTTCTGAAATAGAGAGATAAAACAGAGTCAACTACAAACTGATACGAACTTCAGATGAGGATCCATATAGGACACCGACATTAGATAAATCATGTCATTTTCATCTTATATGGCATATTAACTAACCATAACCATGAACGCTGCTCTGAGGGCTGGACCAAAAGCCGATTCCAAATTGACATTATCTTGAAACATCAGAGGCAGACTATCCAAAAAGGCTTCCACCACATTTCTAGATTCAGATAAATTGACAAGGAGATCATCCGGCAATGGGACAAATATATCATCTAGATCCGAAACCACCATCATTTGCGGCTGGCTCAAAGACGACTGCATTGCCAAGGTCCAAAACTAATAAATGCCGGAAGCTAAAGTATTTTAGGACAAAAATGCGTATTCCTAATTCTCTTACCTTCATGTTGTAAAAATGTAAAGTGCTGTCATAAGTAATAAATCCAATTTGAGTTCTGGGATAACCAGGCAGATTATCCAAACACGACTTGATTGTTTGAGCAACAACCTGCCAAAGGAGCAAAAATAGGTCAGTGTAAGCTCTAAGTTTGAGGAAAGCTTGCCTCTAAAAGAGAGAGCGTGTCTAATCAAGTCGATATCAGATAAAATACGGCATGGATTAGTGCTTACTACTAATGCAAAACAAAATTACAAGGTGGAGTACTAAAATCCAACATGCTTACCTCAAGCATCCCACTTTTAGAAGCCGAAATTGAAACATCAATGAGGAAGAAGTAGATTGGTGGCATCGGAGGCCGAACCATGTATTCAGTTGGAGCAATGATTTCAACACTACCCTTTGTCAGCTCAGGCCGTTGATCCATGTCCATTCTTCGGCCAGTAGCATCCAAATGTGAGAAGTATTCACCAGGCACTGAGCAAGAAATTTGACCCATAACTATGAATATTCATCTTATAAGCATATGCCCGAAAGTACTGAACATAGAGCCCCAGCGGTCAAATAATTTATAAAGAGTAAAGAAAGGACATCCAGTGACTAGGCAAAGATTCATATCAGATGCACAGGTATACTGACAAAGATAACATTCCACCACAAAAGAAAAAACATACACCACCAAAAATATTTCCTTTTAGCTTTCACCAGATCCATTTACAATAATTCTATTGATAGATAGCCCTTCCCCCATCAACGAAAACCAGAGAAAAACCAGAACATGTAACTTAAGCACAAACACATTAGACAAAGACAACTGGAAAAAGTGCAAGACCATTAGACAAGGTATATTTAAACAACAATGATGTTCTAAAGCACTTTGATGAACAAACCAATCCTGAAGATGTGGAATAATTACCATCATTAAGCATAGAGCAAATATTACACCGCCACTTTCTTCCAGAATCTGTAAAAGTCACATAAGGATTCACATAGGTACGGCATCTTCTGCAGCGGATGATGCCAGTGGAGCCAAAATCAATAAGTGGTACTTCCTCCTGAACAGATGAAAACAACAATTTTCAAATAAGGGAAAGTTATACGTGGCTCATATGTAGCACGTGAAGAGTTCCAGATTATGAAAACATGAAAGACTTTAGAGACTTGATTATTAGCTTATAGAATACTAACCCCTTCAGGAGCCTCAGCAAGGGGACAAACCACAGCTCCTAGAGGTAGATGCCACCTCGACGCCAGAGACTGGGAATTTGGTATAGCACTAGTTGTCAGCCGTAGATATCTAGAATGGCAATTCATGGGGTACATTTCAGCAAATGAATTTGGCTCCACGTCACCGTCCAATGGCCTTGGGAATGATGTATGATCAAGTCCTGGCTCCAGCGATCCCGGAATATTTGAAAGGGACAGCGAATTAAAATCTTCAACCAATCCTTGAACGTTACTAGGAGGAGGTGCATAGCTTGGATGCAGATTCTGCTGTGCTGCTAGGTTTGGGTGCTGAGGAAAACCTCCTACCTGAGGAGGGTATGACGAGACTGTAGTCGGGGGGCCCTGCGATGCAGACTGGAATGGCATTGGTGGAGCCTGTAATACCTGCTTGCTGGGATAGCCAGGAAAAGATGGTTGTAAACCAACCCCACCAGAATAAGACGGGTTCACTGGAGGCATCGACTGTTGAATAGCAGGGGGAGGAGCATTTCCTCCAGAAGTCATGCTTTGTGGTGGAGGTCCCATTGTTACAGGCGCCATTGGTTGCTGTGGGCGAAGAGACATCGGAGGGGATAGGTGACCTGCAAGCGTTTGAGTTGGTGGTGGACCACGAGGAGGGTTTTGTGCTGCCGGGAAGGGCGGGGATGGAAAACGCTGGAAAGAGCCACCACCAGGAGGACCATACGCCGTTGAAGGAAACGAATTTGATGATGGCGGTGGAGGTCTAACCCCTGGAATCTGAGAAACCAAAGGAGACTGGACAGGCCTCATCGCACCAACTGGTGGAGCCATAGGAGGACCAGAAGGTGTGAAAGGCCTTGTTGGTTGTGAAGCAGATGGTGGGAAAGGTCTAAAGCCAACCGTCTCTGATCCGGTGGCTGGTCCACCGGATTGAGGTGCAGCTCCTGGTGGCGGAGCAGATGCGAATGGAGAGGAGGCAGTCCTAGCTGGAAAACCCTGATTTTCCGTTCCCATTATAGCTCACAAGTTAACAAAACTGTTGTCAAACTGGAATCACGAGACCAGATCAATTACAATCCAAGATTCAGATTGGTTCACAGAAACCTCATATCCTCTGGAATAAACTGATGTAGTTCCCTTTCACAGTGTCGAACTGGACAGATCCGCCTCTCAAAATCCTGTATTTTTCTTCACACAGCTTTCAAAATTGGGAACTTCTGCAATGATCTCTCGTCTGTTGATCTGGCTTAGATCTCGTCTGCCTAATTCCCACTCTCTTGTTTCTATTGCTTAACTTTTCAATTCCGAGCAAGGCGATCTTACCAGGTGATAGATATCCAGTGAAAAACGTATAAGAGAAACTTCCTCTCCGTTGGTGATTTTCCCTTCTTCTAAAGATCAGAAAGATCTGGATCAATAACCATTGAATATCAGCTGAAATATCTAAATTGACATCGATACGACATGTTTAAAGCGCGAAGACTACCTTTAACTTAGAGAAAGCTCGAGAATCTGCGTAGCACGAAACTGATTCCACAGCGATCAGCTATAGATCGTGAGTCGTGACCCTAAGAAGATTCGACACGTAATAGGAGAACCAAGCGCGGCGAAGGAGACGATGTGATGTATTATGGGCCACGAATTGGGCTTACAGTTTTGTATCTTCATCCACAGCCAGTTTAGCTTTTCTCTATTTATCTTTTCTATACAAATATTTTTCATCAATCTTTTCTAGAATGTATAAAATAGACAAATTAAATCCTGGGAAAAGAAATTCGAATGTGACTTGCAGCTCATTTGATAGCTAGACAAGGTCCTTTAAATAATGTATTCTTCTCCGGATGTATATAGAGACATATGTATGATCTGATGATCACCATGTTGGTTAACAAACACTTTTTATGCTGACCTTTTAAATTCAAAGGAATATAATCTATTTTTGTCGAGACAACTAGAAAAAGAAAAAAATAACTAATAGCACTAAAACATTATAAATTTTCAGTTGAATATATAAAATCTCTTTCTTTGAGTAATGAATAAATCATTTTTTTACATTAAAATAAATAATATATTTGTGGCACACTTGAACATCTGTGAGAGATATAACCCATTTCTGCATACTTTTTGAAGAAAAGGTAATGTAATTTTCAGAATTTAAATATAAGATGTCTTGTATAACAATACATACAGATGACTCAATTTCCCAAAACCCACCACATCAATTCTCATGGAGAAGAAGAACATAGAGAGCCAATCCTAAGACTAGAAGAGGAGCAAGATACTGAAAGAACTTAGTCAACAACAACTCAGAGTTCTTGTTAGCCTGATTCTGCTCGGTCTGATTCGAATAAGTTGTAGTACTGGAATCCTTGGCCTTGGTTGAGTGAATTGAGTCTATATCACCCACATAAAACTCATCTAACAAAAATTTTGCAGATGAACTATGACCCACTTCCTCAAATTCATCAGTTGCGTCTTTCCCTGAAAACCAATCTTGTATTTTCATCACCATGATTACAAAATTAGATGAACTCAAGTGATTCTTCTAGCTTTTTTACCTGAAGCAGACAAAAGTACATCAACGCCACCAGGATGGTCGTCCAAGAACTTGGTCACATCATAGACATGTTTCCGTATATTCGCAATTACACAAAACTCGACCAAATCGAAAGTTCCGAAAAAATTCTGATAACAGAAAGGGAAAGAGATATTTTAGGGAGACCTTGCCGTTGATGAGGAGCCAGCAATCTTGGCGGCTTCTGTGCTGAGAAAGCTCTGACAAGTCTAAAACTTTTCCATCTCCGGCCATCTCCAACGATAGATTTTCAAAGTTTCTGGTGTACAATTTCAGGTAAAGAGGTCCTTTTATTTGATTCTCTGATTGTTGAGACTTGAAATCGGCTCTGTCACCAACCGCTCCGATTGTATGGGTTCCAGAATCCACGCTTTGTCAGTTGTCACAACTCACGTAAGTGCATTGCGCATCCCTTCCTCTTTTTCTTCTTCTTTTCAACTTTCACACTTTGACCCCTATACTTTATATTATTTTCTCAACTACCTTTCTGATTTAGAAATAAAGTCCATAGTTTTGAAGACTAACCATTTAATCCCAAATTAATGCGATTTTTGCACTATTAATCAAACTAGTCCCAACCAGAAAACGGTTTTGAAGGAGCCATCATGATATCGCTTTAGGCTTAACCAGAGTAGCTAAATCCTTTTTCCGACCATACACACAAATATTAAATTTTAAAAAACTCTATATTAAACAAAGTAAAAATCGCATACAACAGAACCTCGTAATATTACAATACCAGGTCGGCGCAAAACTTGAGGAAACATTCAAAAACAACGATATTCTGATAAAATTCAGTACTTGACAGGTGCAAGAACGTCCAACTGAGATCCAAGCTTCTCTTCAGCAACCTTCTCGGCCTTAGCTCTGAGTTTGTTAAGTTGCTTCTTTCGCTCATAAACCACTTGAGATCTTTCTTTTCTCTTATTCTCCAGCTCCTGCTCATATTTCATCAAACATACATTCATTAGCTTAACATCTCTCCTTCTAAGTCAAGTAAGTGTATTCGGATGCGCATCTAAGATTCGTATGCCACGTTATATCTATACTATAGATAATCAATTCAGGCACAGCAAGCACCACATCAATTAAAGTGCAAACAAGAGAATCTAAGAGGTGAAGTGTGATATATACCTTGATGGTGTCGTAGTGGTTCCACCCGACTTCAGAAGAAAGACGGCCCAACAGGCAGTATTTGTGACCAGCCTGAAGCCTCAGGACCCTAATAAAGGAGGAAGATTCAACGGTTTAGGAGATGATATTAAACAAAATCGGAAAAACTGAGCGACTGAGAGGGTAAAAGAACAAACTTGAGAGCATCAGGAATGACCATCCTCTTGATCTTGTTATAAGGAGGAGGGACACCTTCAAAGACCTTCAAACGGTCAAGGGCAGCAGCTCCACGCTTAGTCTTGTGCGGAATCATACTGAAAACAATACAGACTCTAGTAAGTTAGCTTCAAGTACTTTCAACAAGAGGATATCTGAATAAATAAGCAGAAATAAAGTAACAATAATGTAAACTCTTGTTCTATATTCATTTACTGTATTTAGTGAAACTAATAAAGCATCCAGAAACCCACTTGAAATGAGAAATTTACAAAACTAAAGGGCAATCAGGCTACACTATTCACAGTACCAAATTACTAAAATCAATAGCGAAAGATCAAAACTCGGGGAATACAGAGAGAGGAAGAGATGGATGTACGAACCCGCGCACGGTGCGCCAGAAGATCTTGGACGGAGCACGGAAGTGAATGGGCCCGTGAGACGGCTTAGTGTTCATACGCTTGCGGAGGAATCTCATGTACTTCATCTTCTGACGGACAAGTCCGCCGGAGAGACAAATTTCCTCGCACCGGACAACCACAACCTTCTGGCCATTGAGCAGCTCCTTAGCCACAATCGACGCTAAGCGACCTAGCATGTGGTGGCGAGCATCCACCACCACGCGCTTTGCGCATATCCCTGACCCCGACACCATTTCTAACCAAACTCCTGATCAGCCGCTGGTTTACTTCTCCGGTGTGGTTACAAGTGCAATAGAGAACTTCTTTTGCGATTTAGGGTTTTGCATTTGCCCTTTTACTCCATCTAATTGGGTCAAGACCGCTGGTCGTTGGGTTTAAGGCCCACCTCTCCTCATTGTTAAGTTAACTACCAAATGGGCACTTAATGAATACAAAAAACATATAAAAAGGTTAAAAACTAAAAAGTTCCGTCAACAGCAGGGTTCGAACCTGCGCGGGCGAAGCCCAACAGATTTCAAGTCTGTCTCCTTAACCACTCGGACATATTGACTTTTGATTAGTGTGATTATATTTTTGTATATAACCTGTTTTATGATATCTCAGGAAAAACAAAACTTATATGGACCAACGTTTCTGTCAAAGTTTAACCATTGCTAAGCTCAAAGTTTAACTGCAAAATTCGACGTTTTTAAGGACCAACGTTTTGGTGACATTAATGATTACCATGTCGGTTTAGACATTAAACTCTATTTATGGATTATTCAGCTGATATTATCCCAGCAGCTACAAAAACCATTGATGAAAGGCTATATTAATTAAATTCTCATGATGGAGAGTTGGAGACGACATATAAAAAGCTTTTCAAGATCAATCCGCATCTTTCTGACTAAGAAACTAAGCGTTATACTAATACGGTAGAATTGATCTCCATCCCACAAATTTCATTAAACCTGTTAGTCCTTAGTCATAAGACTTAATAATTCACACTGATAATCAACAAACAAATAAGTAAATAACTTTTTTGTGGATACTTCTTAATTTAGATCATACTTTTTTTCACCTTAAGACTCGTTCTTCCTTACTCATTGATCCCCATTTCAAAACACTTTTGCCCACAAACTTTCTTACAATTCAAGGAGGTTAAAAGAAAAAATAAGTCTAGATGTTAAAAAGTTAAATACAATCCCAAATCCACAGAAACAAAAAAATCAATCTAATCAAAAACGATGTTCATCACTCTTTAAATTCGATGCAAGAGGTAACATTTCCATTTGTCAACAGAAGAAACAATTCATTTTGAATAAATTTTGTTGAGCGTTATTTGATCGGGTTCCGATGATGGAGAAAGGTTGCGGGAGACGGCGTGGGGTTAAATGTCGGCGTTAAAGAGCCGTAGTAACTCCTTAACCGGATTAACTTTAGACGCTGTTCTTGGTGGCGAGATAGTTATACCATCATCTCCACCGTCGCCACCGCCTTTGCCGCAAAAATCTCTCGTACCGCACCACACAACGACCCAAACGCTTTTCGATATCATACGCGAGGAATACCAAAAGGAAGGGCACAAGGATCGTACCACGTGGCAGATTTTCCGTGAGAAACTCCGTCTCAAACGAACCGGTTCTGCTTGGACCTCTTCTCTTCATATCCCCGCCTCGGATATACTTATCCACCATCCCAAACACCTTGAACCGGCGTTCCGATCACACTCCGCCGGTTTAACCAACGATAAGATCAACGCGATTCCGATGTCGGATCCACCTGGTTCTTCAGGACGCCCGATGTTCACCCGCGGATCCTCGATGCGGGTCGGGTCGAGTAAAATCCCGGACGATTCGGCTGACATCAACATCCTGGGAGATGGACCACCGTCGAGGAGCTTCAAGCCGCAGCTATCACGGCACGACTCCGTTAGAGATCACAGCGACGGCGAGGAAGATAACAGACGCCGTCATCCGATAGTCACGTTCGTGGAAGAAAGACAGATGTCGGCGAGAGAGGCTGTCGCGGCGCAGGAAGCGGCGGAAGCAGAAGCAGCGGCGGCCGGAAGCGACGATGAGGACGAAGACGACAACGAGGAGGATGATTCAGGAGAAGCGGAGGAGAAGAACTCATCAGCAGCTCCTGCGCCGAAGCAAACGATGTCGCTGATGGATCTATTGGAAGAGACGGATCGGCAAATGGGATTAACAGGATCAAGATACGCCATGGACGAAGAAGACGAATACGAAGAAGACGAAGAAGATGAGAATTACGAGGAAGAAGAAGAAGATGGCCACGAAGGAGGAGAGGTTAGTTGCTGCGTTTGTCAGGTGAAAGTGAAAGGCGCGACTAACACTCCTTGCGGTCACACGTTTTGTAAGCTCTGCTCTAAGGAGCTTATGGCTCAGAAAGGCCATTGTCCCGTTTGCAGTAGCTTTGTCCTTGAATTCCTCGAGATCTTTTAGAAACCATTTCTCTTCAAAACTTACTATTTATTTTTGGATACAATTTTGAAAATTTTCCATATTTATTTTTGTTGTAATGATGCTACATAAAGAATCCCAAAACATTGTTTTATTTCTGTTTAAACTTTTGAGCTTAGCAATGGTTAACAAGGCGGTTGTGACGGGGACATCGATCAGGTTCTCTGACAATGTAAATCTGATCTCCGACTTTACTGCTCGAGTCTTGATTCCTATACCATGTCCATAATGCCCATGTCTCGTTCTTCATCTGCGATAGTAAATTAAAAATCTTATTAATTTAGAGACTAATCCTAACTTGGTTTTGATGCGTTTAGGAATCCATATTTACCTCTAGGATTCCATGGCCAAAGCTGCTTTCTCTCAATGCACTATAATCAGGTTGCCGATCCCAACAAAACTTACCAGACGTGGTGAAGTTCCAGCCGCAAAATTTTCCACCCATGGCCGGATCCGGTGTGGCTAATGGTTCAGGACATTTACCCGGTTCATCAGCGTGCTCAATCGCCATCTTTTCACGGTTACCACCATCACCAATCACAATGTAAACCGGACCACACGGGTCCAGTTCGTAATTGTAAACTCTGTTCGACCGTTCATAAGCATGAACCTGCCCAAAAACGTTTTCACACAAAGAAAACACAGTCAAACTAACTTAAATAAAAAAGGCCAAGATAAAAAAAGACAGTTTTATGTTTCGGGTCTTACATGTCCGTTGAAGACAATGTCGGTACCGTAAGAGTAAAGTAACTCCTCCATAGCTTCTTTCATGCATTCGGCTTCTCTGTAATGCGCTGTGTACGAGCTATACCATGGTGGATGCCAAGAAACTACTAGCCATGGAGTTACCGATCTATCGAATTTAGCTAAATCCTTCTTTAGCCACTCATATTGTTCCCCTGCACACAAAAAAACCGACAAAACCAACCCTTAGAAGATAATGCAAAAACATGCAAATTTAGAGGTCAGAGTCTTGAGAATACTAAACCTGATTTGTCAAAGTCGATGTAGGCACCGAGCATTACAAAGTGAATCCCGCCAGCGTTAAAAGAATAGTAGAGCGTAGAAGACGAGCCGCTTTCTTTAAAAGGGAAAGCGAACCTTGAGCTATACGCTTCAAATGTTTTGTTTTCAACTTGCAATTCGATCTCATGATTTCCTTCAACCACCATAAATGGAACTTTAGAAGTCAGACTCTCCATAAATCTACCCCAGTAATCCCACCGTGGCTGATGCGTCTCGTGTATAGGCGTCTCTGGGAAAGAGCAAGAATAACAATCCGAGCTTGTCCCGTTCGTTAGATACAAGTTTGCATAGCTCACATCGCCGATCAATAAAACAAGATCCGGAGAATTGTGAATCAAATGGCTAATTGTGTCGGTTGTGTTGTAAGTGAGACCAAGATCACCCACAACTGCTATTCGGCCGGGGTAACTCGAGGGCCTAGAAATCGGCATTGTCCTGAAATGGTGTATCTTACTCATAGCATGTCGTGAAGGATCCCCACACCGATAGTAATAGACAGTACTTGGTTTCAGCCCTGCGTTTAAACCAAAAAAAAAAGAAAAAAAATCCCTTATCAAGAATCAATTAAACGGCTGCGGTCTTGATTGTTTCAAACGCTAATTGTGTGTTTACGATTGGATTAATGTAATTTTTTTTTATAAAGTAACAATTTTAAAAACGAAAACATTTTCACTCTTTACAAATATTTTGTAGATTAAAAACGCAAAAAAAAGAACATTCGGTTTGCGTTCCCACAATTACCAAAAGATTATTTTTTGATGTGCTAGTACAGGTTGTCATTTCATTTAGAAAATAGACACACCAGGGAAACGCAAACGCAAACTCGAACGCTCAATGGTGGCCTATATCATATGTATAGCAAAAAACAAGAAAAGAGAAAGAAGAACCTGTAATGCGAACATGGTGTATGATTCCAGAAGTATAGTTAAGGAGACCGTCAAAAGGGTAAAGTTGACTATAAACAAGTGAATGTCCTTTGGCTTCATGACTCAGTGAATGCCTCAAAGTACCGAATTGGACAATACTGTCTATAGTTGTCGGATCTAATGGCTTCACGTTCTTGCCGATTTGGAACTCACCTTTCAAACCCAACAAATAATATCATTAATAATTAAATACAAACTTATACTACCAAGAAAGAATCTTATCTTTAGTTCGTTGTCAGTTTTCATCAGAGTCACAAGATCCTAACTTTAGATAGAAGTAACTAGCTAAAATGTTGCCTAAGAAAAAAAAATATACAAGTAACTAAAAAGCGTAAAAGAGTTGGTGATAAGATATTAAGGTTCGTCCTCTAATGTCAGAGTTAGCATTTATTACATGATACTTCAGTTTTTTTAAGATGAAAAGATCTTAAATAAATAAGTAAAGAATTAACTTGACCAAGAGAGTTACAAATCACGTAATTTTCAGTGAATGAAAAAGTGATCAAAAGGTGGAAAAATGAACCTGTGATCCAAGAGACCCAGATGGAATCATGATCGGAGGAGAGAGAAAGAGAAATCTGCTCGGGCTCAAAACCAGTGACGTGGCGGCGGACGCGAGGATCGGTGTGAGGTAAATCGATTGCTTTTCCCCGAAGGGAGGTGTCTAATGGCACCGTCACCGGAACGAACGGACCGTCCAACGTTGTCGGGATATAATCGTCGGAGGAGCTTGCCGGCGAGAGAAGGCAGAAGAACAGAAGAAGTGGAAGTCCAAGGAAGGTGATAGAATCGCAATGAAACGCCATCGTTTTCACGGGGTGGTGGCGGAGCTTTTCATACTAGTGGGCGGCTTTCTTATGTTGTTGTTGGCCTTAACGTGTTTTGTGAAAGTATAGTTTAAAGCCCGATTAATTAGTCATTGTCGTTAAACAACAACTCCCTACACATTTAACTCGCAACTATGGTTGATTATGAGACCGAAATCTTTTCCAACATAATAATAAGAAGTTTTTTTTATGATTTCTCGGACATGTAAATTATCCGTGCAGTTCGAGGAGATTTGTATTATATTTAATTTGTAGCACAAGTAACGTTTTGATTATATAAATTACTTATTCCAATCTTCTGTGGTGGAAAAAATCTAACCATAATGTTTTTGTGCCTTTCTGCTTTGTATTTTTCTGGATACTTTAACAGGTTTTGGTTTGCATTGCCAGTTCTATTATTATTTTTTTCTTGGGTAGAGTAATGTTGGATATTAGTTAGAATGTTGTGTTATTTTATCTTAAATTTTGGATTTTTCTTATTTTTAAAATATGGTGGTACTCATTTCTCAATCTTGATTAAATTTTTCCTTGCATAGGTCGAAAATCATTCAAGTGTAGCATATACAAAACAGATTTGTATATTCTTTTCATCGACATATATATTTATGTTTTTTTTGTTTGTTTGTTTGTTATAAACACATACTTATGTTACTATGATTATAAGTTTTATGAATAGCATTCTACAACCACGAATTTAACACCGAGTATAATTTTTCGTATATGACCCAGAAGCTGTATGTCAAATATCAGCACATAACATGCTTCCTTATAATATTAGCATATTTTTTTTTTTCTAAATGTTGAATTTTTCATCTACGATTTTGATGTTAGTGTGTATGATAACATCGTTTATAACGTTCACAAACGGTGGTCAGTTTGAGTTATCAATGCGCAAAAAGTTATCGCATTAGAATCAACTTCGTTAGTTCCACTCATCAATTAGCCTTTTTATTTTCACCATACAGTATGCTAATTTGTTTATGTTGGCTCTAATAATGAAGATTTGACAAATTCTCTCTACATTTTATTTTTCCAAATATGTAGCTTAATTTGTAAAATAACTAGTAGTAGTATTGTCCAATCTTGGTAGATACCAATTCACAATGTTTGAATAATTTGGTTGAGGAATTAATTGGCCTCTTTTGGTCTTATAATTCCTTAATTCCTTTTTTTTTTTAAGGCTTTCCTATTTCGGCCATTTCAGCGTTTAGGCCTAAAACGCATTTATCCTCGCCGGAGGTCAGCGACCTACTCTGTAATGCTCGATCTCCGTTAATACGTCAGTCACCGACTCCGGCGTCTATCGGTGGATCCGATTATGGCCCGACTTATTCTTACCTGGATCTCTTTGTTAATTTTGCAATCGTATTTGATTCCGATCGCTTTCGGGTCGAAAGAAGTCGAAGAATTCAGCGAGGCATTGCTGTTGAAGCCTTTGCCTGATCGCAAAGTTTTAGCTCACTTCCATTTCGAGAACCGAGCTCCTCCGTCAAACTCACATGGCCGCCATCACCATCTCTTCCCCAAGGCTATTTCTCAGTTGGTAATATAACGTCTTTGTTTCTCCCTCAAAAAATGAATTGAGCTTAGAAATTAAGGAGGAAATGTTCGTTTTCGTTTGCGCTGGAAAGGAAATTTCAGGTGGGATGCGATTAGGTCGTCTCAAATTCGCATCTCTTCTTAGCTTTGATATTCTGCTTGCGAATTGGAGGTTTAAGATCTTGGAAGATTTTATCTGTTTAGCTCTTATGGTCTTGGATGTAGGCTTGACAGCTTCGGAAATTACCTATGTTTGCTAGAGTTTAGACTGTATTTAGTGTAGCTGTTTTAGTTTTCTGAAATCTCTGAAACATGATTTTCTTAAACAGGTTCAGAAGTTTCGTGTCAAGGAGATGGAACTATCTTTCACTCAGGGTCGTTGGAACCATGAACAATGGGGAGGATTTGACCCGCTTTCAAGCATGAACGCGAAGCCTGTTGGGGTCGAGCTGTGGGCTGTGTTTGATGTACCTCACTCTGAGGTTGATACTTCTTGGAAGAACTTAACCCACGCATTGTCAGGGCTTTTTTGTGCTTCCATCAACTTTCTAGAATCTTCCACGTCGTATGCAACTCCTACATGGGGGTTCGGGCCAAACTCAGACAAGCTGAGGTATGGTTCACTGCCACGTGAAGCTGTTTGCACTGAGAACTTGACCCCGTGGCTAAAGCTGCTTCCGTGTAGAGACAAGGATGGCATTTCTGCATTAATGAATAGGCCATCTGTTTACAGAGGGTTTTACCATTCACAGAGATTGCATTTATCCACGGTTGAATCTGGTCAAGAGGGATTGGCTTCTGGCATAGTGTTGGAGCAGACACTTACTGTTGTTCTTCAGCCTGAAACTCTTTTCGTTGGAACAAATATACAGCCAACTTGGTCCATTAACTCCCTCTTCGGGAGAAAAGTTGTTGGAAGATGTGTTCTTGCAAAGTCAAGTAATGTATATCTTCAGATGGAGGGTCTTTCTGGTCACGAATCAAAGAATATGGATACAGAAATGGAAGCACACGAACTCTGGAAGAACGCAGACTTTGAATTGTCCCTTAAGCCAGACAGGATTCTTCGGGAAATCAACAGCTTTCTTTTTATATTTGATATTGACATATCTAGTGACAGCGAGCCATTTGATCTTGGCCTTACTTGGAAGCTTCCCGTAAAGTGGTCATGCCAACAAGCTCCATTACACGCGAGTCGGTTTTTAATGGGAAGCGGGAACGAAAGGGGTGCTATAGCCATCTTGTTAAAAGCGACAGATTCGCAGGATAAATTATCGGGCAGTGATCTCACCAATGGATGCTGTACACTAAAAGCAAACATTTTCCAGATTTTCCCATGGTATATAAAGGTTTATTATCATACTCTTCAAATCTTTGTGGATCAACAAGAGAAGACAGGCATGGAGGTCTTAAAGAAGATCAATGTCTCACCATCTACGGATAAGATGTCATCTGGCATGATGGAGATGATGCTGGAGCTACCATGTCAAGTGAAATCGGCAGCCATATCCATAGAATATGATAAGGTGATATTTTGTTTTTCATACTTTCCATGTGTACTTTTCTTCACTTATCATAATCTGATCGCCAAATCATTTGATCTTAAGTGTCAGAAGACTATTGTGTTTACTAATTTGTTTCTGAAAATTTGGTCAACAGGGGTTTCTACATATAGATGAATATCCTCCTGATGCTAACCAAGGATTTGACATTCCATCGGCTTTGATTAGCTTCCCCGATCATCATGCAAGTTTAGATTTCAAAGAAGAACTCAGCAAATCGCCCTTGTTTTCAAAATTAAAGGTAGAGAAACGATAGAACACTCAAAAGAGTTAAAAAGTTTCTGCGTTTGTGCCCTACTTCAAATAGAATAACTTCAGTTGTCCTCTGGATTGTCGCAGGAAAAATCATTAGTGCGCTCTTACACAGAAGTATTGCTTGTACCTTTGACAACCCCTGATTTTAGCATGCCTTACAACGTAATCACGATCACATGCACCGTTTTCGCATTGTACTTCGGATCATTGCTCAATGTTCTCCGTAGACGAATAGGTGAAGAAGAAAGGTTTCTCAAAAGCCAAGGTCTGTCACCAAACGCTGCTGAGAATCATTTGAGGCTCACTTCATGACAAAACTTATCTTGATTCTAACTTCAAGTTTGTGATTTTTTGTGTTTTGTCCAGCAGGAAAGAAAACAGGTGGGCTTAAGAAAATGTTATCAAGACTCGTAGCTAAGATTAGAGGGAGGCCAATTGAAGAACCATCATCATCGACTGAGTCACCTGAAGCTCGATCTTCAGTCTTTTCTAGTAAACTTTTCTTCAAATTCATATTAGTTGCAGGAGCTGCTGCAGCTTGGCAATATTTTTCCACGGACAAGTAGGCTCAGAACTTTGAGTAGACACCAGTTGTACCATATGTATAACAAAGGTAATTTTGGACCCTGTAAAATTTTTTCTTAGAGTTGGAATTTTGCATTTCGTTTTTAGTCAAATACTTGAGAGGCCCACAACTATTACAACAGCCTGCTCTATTTCTACATTGTCTTTCTCATCTTATCTTCTTACAAGTAGTAACCATATCACTATCTTCTCTTATCCTCTTCAGACATCACTAATGAACTGCATTTTAATGGCGTTTTGCTGACTCCAGTCTCTCTTCGTGCAACATCTTTAAGTCCCCAAAGTACATCAAAGAAGAGACCCTACTGGAATTTTACCAAAGGCATCATCCATGTTGAGTTTTAGTTTCTTGAGTGAGTGCGTATCTTCACACAATAGCTTTCTCTTGTTGCATCTAGAGACCAGAGGTTCACCAACTGATGAAAATGATAAGTCAGATTTAAACTCACAAGTCAGAAGTAGATATTCAAAACCACATGGTGTAACAAGGTGTTGATACCTGAACACGTATATTCTTTCAACTTCTTGTTTCTGTTTAAACCAAGATCGTTGCAGGTTAAGTCCTCTTGAGGATCAGAGTACGCTCCTGAGAAATAAGTCACGTATCAACAAGAAATATAACTGACTAAAAAGAGGGATTCGAAATCTTCTTGGGAAACTAATCAAGAAAAGAAAACACCAAGATTTGCCAAACTCACTTTTGGTACCGACTTTAGAGAGCTTGCCGTCGACGAGGAGAGCATCGGCGTCGTCTTTTCCAGTAGACAAGCCTTTAGCTGAGAAGAAAGCGAGCAAAGACTGCCACGTCACGGAAGAAGCCATTAGATCAATATCTCTGCTTATGAAGTGACCATTGAGCTTCACCGTCGACGGTTCGAGCCCAAACGCTGCGGCTATGGACCTAAAGTCCAGTTTCTGATCGTTCCAAGCAACCCAGTCAATAATCTTCGATAAAGAGGGACACAAAAGTCTGACCTTCCTCCAACCGTCGTCTCCCGCCATCACTCTGCTTTAGAGGCTCCAACGAAGAGGTTTCCCGAATTTTCTCGTATGGCTAACGGTACCTTTGTAGATTTCTCTGAAACCTTCCGACTAGAACCTTCTGCCTCCGCCAGCGATTCTTTGCTGCGTTTGCGAATTTCTTTATCAGTTAATTTCTTTATCAGTTAAATGGGCCTTCTGCAAAATTCGTGGGCTTTTATTTCGGCCCAAATCGTTTTTTTTACGACAGCTTGACCCAAATTACTTTTCGTCAATCTTGACATTACAAATCAGTTAAACGGGCCTTCTGTTATAAGGGAAAAACTTTATCAGTTAACTGGGCCTTCTCCGATATTCAGTGGGCTTTTGTTTTGGCCCAATTTTTCTTTTTAGTGACAACTTGGCCCAAATCACTTATTTACGGATTATTTCGTTAATCTTGACATTTCAAATCAGTTAAATGGGCCTTCTGTTAAATGGGAATTTCTTTATCAGATGGGCCTTCTGCGATATTAAGTGGGCTTTTATTTTGGCCCAAATTGCCTTTTCAACGACTACTTGGCCGAAATCACTTATTTACGGATTATTTCGTCAATCTTGACATTTCAAATCAGGGACGAATAATTATGAAAAAAATACTATTCTTCTGGGTCACACACAAAAATTCACTAATTATAGCAAAATCAGTCCGACGTTCGCTTCCGGAATGTTAGAACACAACTACGTCGTGATGAAAAGAGAAAAAAATAATTTAATCAGATTTGCGACATGTATTCTATAATGACATAATATTACAATCGTCTTAAACTGCCTAAAAATTACAAAGGGGCTCTCATAATTCGCTACTACTACACTCATAACTCATAAAACTAATGAAATAAAAACACACAAAGAAATGTATAAGAAACAGAAAGAAATAGATAGATAGCAGCCAATAATGAAATTTCAAAGGCCTGAATTGGGGTTGTTTCCAGCGAGGATGAGAGAGATCTCGAGACCACGACTAAACGCTTGGTTAAACATCATACGTGTTTGAAAGGTCGAGACAAATGGGAACCACGAGCAGAGCGCAACGGGAAGAAATATGAGCATTCCCATTCCTGCATCATACAGCCTAGCTAGGGACCGGACCGATTTCCACATCCCAATTCGCTTCATGACTGGTTTCCAAGCACATGCAATCTACAACCAACAAGTGAAACATACTCTGTGAAATTGGACTCTGCAGAGATTAGAAGGTAGAGGTATCTGACTTGAGAAAGAAGAAAACTTACAGAAAGTACTCCCCATCCTGTAGGTATAAAGGCCAGTACGCAAGCAAATATGTCCGTCACTGACAAGTTTGTGAGCACAACCGCTACGACTATGCCAGCTAGAGCCACCAATAAGACAAGTCCCTGTACAAACCTCAGCACAAGCTGGAAATTGACAGAGATCTTTTGGCTGAAGGTAAAGACCTATTTCAAAGTACAAAAACATGGACATACATCACATCATGTAAATACCATTTAGTCAGAGAATCAAGGTTATTCGAAAACAAAGTGGGATGTGGAATAAACCGACCTTGAAAAGAACAATACTCATCGCAAATGCAACCCATGACCAACCATAAACCTGCAAATGAATAAGTACTATTCTATTAAGCAGCTGGTTCAAAGCAAATATTATATAGAAACCCTTAACAAATTCATAAATGATAACTGCTACCCTTCTCAACTAGTTTCAGACTCATTGTCCTTTTTAAACGAGAAGGGTATTGTAAGCAAGAATGGTGCTCTTTCACTTTTGGCACCAATGACAAGCGATAAATGTGTCAGCTGTACTATTACAGTATGTAGGAAATGGCAAATATTGCGCAAGGACAAGACATGGTATTTCTTTCAAGATAAGTTATACACCGAAACTAAGAATTACGACCACTCCTAGCTGGGATAACAAAATTCATATAACTCCTATCTAATCCCACCAGCCAGGTCATACCCCACACATTCACACCATAACCTTTCTACCCTCACAAGTAGTTAATTATACAAACAAGTAGTTAACAAAGGGAAACACTGTACCGCAAATGATGTATCTGATCCTTGTAGTTCCAGTTTGTAGACAATACCATACTGGAAGATAAAGAATCGTAGACTCAAAATAGTCTCCATTATCCTCCCGCTCAACGTCCGAATGTGAGACTGTTGACGCACAGATATAATTATTATTTGCCAAAATAAGGTAGGAAAAAGACAAGCAAAAAGTTCTCAAAACATCTACCAAAGGTGTATTGTTACAGCCTGAACAACATTAGTTGCCAGGATGAGCAAACTCATACAATCATAAGGATCCAACAAGCGTTAAAAATCTACAAGAACATGGATTTCTATTAACTGAGTTTCTTGTCAGTCCATTTTTGCTTCAAGAAATTATCTAAGAATCCAGTTTCTCTATGTACAGAATTTCCACATTTACATATAGTGGGTCAATTTAAGACTGGAAAATTAGATGCCTTCCACTAAAAATTTAAGAGTACTAAAAATTGGCGTTCCTAAATCAAAGCTCAAATATATTTTGATATATATCGGAAACATGTTTGCTCGAATTGGATTGTGGTTTACCAGAAAGTATCGCCATAGGTATTCAACAAGTAGAATTTGGATAAAAGGAGTTATAAGCAAAAATATTTGCTGGGAATTGGAGTTCTTACCAGTTCTTTTTCCCACCATGCTTCCCAGCTTTCATCTCCTTTCACACCGATTCCACCTCTGTAAAAGAGCCAATTTGTCCATTCTTTGAAGTCTTCCACGACTCTGAAAGGAGAAAACGAATCTTGCTCAATGATAGAGCATGTTACTCAACCGTATATAAACAAGATAGCACCCCTTACTTTTGCCACTCAAATCCTGCAGGGTTGAACAGGTACGGAGCAAAAAGCCAAGAAAGAGCCAAAAACCAGCTGCTAACCGTCAGAAGAATGTAGGAAACTGCACCAGCCTCATCAGTTCCATAAGCAAGGTACACAACCAATAATAGAATAACCTCCATCCTAGAGAAAGGGAAAAAAAATGCATACCAATGAATTTTCCATCCTTCATTATAGGCTATAGCTAAACAGGTACAAAAATATATATATGTATATAAGAAACAACGAGTATAATAGGAGATTACGCTTTGACAAAATGACTTCTGGAGTAAAGACGGTAGTTTTCAGAAAACTTGATATGCTTGACGACAAACCCTCTTCCAGTGGCTTGGTACTGTTGACAAACACTGTTTATCACATTCCAGACAATTAGAGAGATTTAAGAACTGAGGATGAGAATATTACCCCCGCACCACCATGGAGAATGGTCCGTCCAAAATAATGGGTTCTTGTGCCAAGGGAAAATGTGAAGAAGACAGTACATAGCTGAAATTGCATTGTTGTAAAACTGACAATGGCCTGCACAATGAAAGATGGTGAAAGAAGAATAAGTTTTATTAACAAACAAACACAAGTAAGAAATTCATTATGAACAAATGACTATATGCCCGTATCCATAAAAGATCTCCTTTTAGATAATGGAGCAAACGAATATGATAATTCAGAAAACTATAGTCCGTCTCCTGGAATACAGTGCATAGCTGAAACTTACAATGTCTACACCACGAAAGATGGTCCTAACTAACAACACCGATCAGAAAAAACACGTGTGGATATGTCACCATAAGGCAACTTATAATCCAAGTGATAATCAAGTACATGAGCGAGCTAACTCAGAATACGTGTCAACCTCCAAGGAAATTTTAAACACACGCTTCCCTGTCAATCATATCAAAAAACATGACATAACATTATGGTATGACTACAAGGGTGGAGAACCAGTACCTGAAGAAACCCCTGTTCCAAAATAAATCCCAAAATCATTGGCACAGCAGTGAAGACACCAATCTGAAACAGAAACTGAGCATTCAGGGCGGCGTTAAGTGCAGTATCGTCTAGAATAATAGCTCTTTCTCGAATAGTAGCTCCAACTCCAGAAAGTGCCTATAAAATAACACAAGTAGGGGATATAAAGACCTTCATCCAGCAACATGGGTAATACGCAAGAACAGTCGTACAATAATCAGTAATGAGGATAGTACATGCGTCATAGCCAACATCAGGTAACAACTCTTACCAGATATGCCCTCCCATATAAGAAAATATACACCGTAAGCACCGTCAACTGCAAGAGACCATGCAAATGTCAATTTTTCACCATTAGTTCCTGGAAATCATACTTGTAGAAACTTGGAACTTATCAGTAACAGCTCCAGATACAAGGAACAACAATAAAGTGACCCAGAGAAATTAATAATGCAAGACTTTGTCTATAAACATCTTTTATAGTGTTTAGAGTTAAGTATTGTTATGGAGGTAAAATGGGAAACCATGACGCTAAGACACAATTTAAGACAAGTATTCTGGATGCAGGTGCCAACTTGAAAACTATGGTGAGAGGAAAAGAAATCCCTATGACTCATTTGAGGATTGACTTACCATCGTACAGAAATAGAAGCCAACAGTTGTAAAGTAGAATGACATCATTCGAAAGAAATCAAGGAGCTGGCCAAGTCTGTAAACATCCCGACTAAGAACCTGTTCACCATTCCCACCAGCAACCTTCCCTTCAAATAGAGCTATTTGGTTGAGCCCCACATCTCGTCCTTTGCCCACCTGTAAAAAAACATTAATGCATATATATTGTTTATTCCTTTATTTGTAAAGAGTTAAGATGTACGAACCTGAATATACTCATGATGAGTGATATTCCCTTGACGTAGGGTTGAGTTAAAACCTGAAAATCATACCATTATAGAATGGCTCATTAAGGAATTGCAATTTCATCATTTGTGTGTTTTTATTGCCTTGATAACTGTCAATTAACGAATCGCCTTTACCAGCAAAAATATCTTCGCTAATGTTGATGACCCGAGAGGCCTTACTGATACCACCACGTGTAATATGGAAAACTCTGTCAAAGACATCTGGATGGCCATAATGCATGCGGATCCTAGAATTCAGAAATGATAGAATAAGGATTTCATATGAGTTTCAAGTTGTTCACGGAAGATCAAACATACTGGTAGAAGCTTACTTTAAGGGTTTCGCCAATACTCGTTGACCAAGAGTCACAAAGCTGGTTTCTTGATTGGACATGAAAGAGGCCAATGAGGAGACACTGCATATTGTCAAAAACAATTATGTAAAGGGATTTAAATAAATTAGGAAAAAAGATGTACGAATGTCTGGTTCACACCTTCCAGTAAATACATGTTCCCTAACTCCAAGAATGGTGGGTGGTCTAATTCCATGGTCCCGATCGAATTCCTCCAAAAGATTTCTCATCTTCAAAGCTTCTTCAAAGTAATTGTCCTAACAAATAACGGAAAATAGAGGTTGGAGATGCATTTAGCCCTCGTATAAAAACGTAAAGAATGTAAAGCAGGCATGTGTACATGATAGAAGATTCACATGTGATGAAATGCCAAACTCCAAACTCAAATGAAATTAGTATGTGCTTTTCAGTTAGTAACCATTCTCTGTTAGTGAAAGAAACTGAGACATTCCGACTCCAGATTTATGTGTTTAAATTTGAAATTCTAACTCAAATAGAAGGATGGGAACCGCTCATTGTTAGTGAACTCCAGATTGGATGTCCTTGGCAAAATTATGTGTTTGATTAGATTTGGCAAAATTTCACTTGGGCATAAGGAAAGTGAAAATTAATAAATCAAATTCTAGTGTTGCATAGTGACAATAGAAAATTTTAACTAAGTCAAACTACAGAAACATATGATATGTTTAACCGGGATTATCCAATTCTCATAAAATCTACAGTCAGATTTTTCCGCAAGACGTGTGCATGAGCTATGAAGCAATGTTGTTCTCACAGCCTATTTTCACTTTTAAACATGTATAATTTGACACTGTTATTCTTAATACTCTGTAGAAAGCATATATATCTTCCAGAGAAACTTCACTACAGCAAACCCACACAAGATCTCGCAAGAAGGCATTTAAAACAAATTAATGCCAAGCGAAGAAAAAAGAATTGCACTCTAACCTGATTCATATCAATAGTTTGGATTGCATTTCCGCGAGTAAACACAATGGCGTGGTTTTGATTCTCAGGTTTGCCTTCGCCAAGTTTTGGGTCCCCAGGCAACTTTATGGAGTAAATTTCCTGCATGACCAGAAAAAACATCGTGGTCATTCCAATTCCATTTACAGCACAATCATAGTCTACCCATCACTTCAAGCGTGTTTATGTTTCGAATGTTATGTAAAAAAACACTTGTTTACGGAAAATCACAGTTTACCTTATCCTTTCCACTGATATCGGCTTTCACAAGCTTTGAATAATATTCTGTATGAGATTTACCCTCTTTCGGAGTATCAACAATATCAATATAAGCAATGCGAAGGGCTTCATTTCTGACAATAGAATGAATGAGATTAGCTTGGTAATACTATATTTATAACAAAATAATAGCCGATGCCATTGACCTGAATTAGAGAGATACAGAAAGGAGTATTCTTACCTTTGCATTAGCAATGCAATGTCAACAGCTTCAGGTTTTTGATCTTCTTTCTGTCTTCCATATATTTGGCATGTGACTACATATGTGAACTTTAGATCTGCTTGGGCCCTTGCTTCAGGAGATAATTCAAATCCTTCAGCATCCATTGTGTCATTACCGGAAAGCGCGGGCTCCACATCTGTAATAGTGAGAAAGACCCTAAGGAAAAGCTTGGCCAAAAATGATAGATCTAATGAAAGCTCTTAGCTTCGTACCTCTTCCAGCCTTTCTTTCCAGATAAGACTGAAGCATGAGAGCTTTCCTATAATACATCATCCCGCGAACTGCAGGTATAATGCCAGATAACATGTAAACGAAAACACTGAAAATATATGCAAGGGAACAGCTGAAATTTAAGGCCCTTTTCTAGATAGATACCAATACAACTTGCACTCTGAGATCTTGAAGTGAATAGTGTATCCCCAAGGAAAAAGGTGTAGTGATTGGTTTACTTTACCTGTTCTAGCTAGTGTTTGTCCGCGGTAAGAAGCCCAGAATCGAAGTTCAAGTATGTCTCTCTCATTATGTAGATCGCCTTCTAACGCATTTTCATCCTGTCCTATTCGTGCAAGAAAATTTCTCCACTCATCTGCAACATATCAAATATCGACAAAAAGATATTAGGCACCTATCCATAAAGGTAACAAAATTAAGCACAGAAAGCATAACATAAGTAACTTATTAGTAAGAAACGTAAAAGCTAGTAAAATATCATTAATCTGTTTAATGAATTGGCAAGGCCAATATACCAGGATATATTTTCTGAAGGTAAAACAAGATTGATATCCCATCCTCATTTCTCTTAGTGAGTTCAGCCATGCTGTACAGCACAACCTCAGAATAATATGGAGTGAAGACACTGAAAACAAAGTTCAAAGGAAGACAGTAAGTTTTGAAGAGCTTGTTGGGATAAAATGATGAAAGTATGGAGAAAAAAATACCTGAAGGACAACATCTCGCGGACAGACTTTGGTGGTGGCACATCCATGAAAAGAGAATTGGTGAAGAATTGCAGTCTGCGTCTGGCCTCAAGATTTCTAGGAACATGCGCAGCAGAATCTTTAATAGTAAATAGAGAGTACAATCTTTTGACGAGAGCTTTCTGCAAATCATAGAGAATTATCAGACTGACAGAAAATAAAGGAGAACACGTATAGCCTTGAGAACAAGAATCATCTTTATACCAGCTCAGGATCTTTAGGCCATTTCAACTTTGTAAAAAGCCGACCTTCATTCCAGGCTTGAGTTAACATGTTCCACGTTTCATAATGACCCCTACACAGAGCAACATATTTTTGGAAAGCTGTTAAACAAAGAAAAGAAAGTTTGGATTGTTGCACTAAACGCAACCAAATCATAATTTTTGTATGTACCTCATATTAAAAGTTAATATGTCAAGCCGCATAACATCGTAGAGATCCTGAAGTGCTTTGATAGCCCCTTTTGCATGCTCCGGTGTTTCATTTTCTTTCTATACAAGGAATTGAATCACAATTTAAAATCAAATATATCCAAAAAAGAAAAAGAAAAAATAATCTCCATATAGTTGATAACAGTCGAGAAACTACGGCACCCTTCTCCCACTAATAGATTAGGAAGCCTATAATTCACAATCATGAAGACTACTACTATAATAATAATCAAGGCATAATTAGCACTCGCAATGCAAATACCAGGATTCCCAAGAGTGCCGTTACTCTCGTGATAACAAGGGAGAGTTTGTTCAACTGAAAATCATGATGTATATTTCTATTCTTTATGCTGGCCTGGATGTCTTCGTAGATTCTTTCCACCCTACAAAATTCACAATATATATCATCCTTTTATCCAGCAAATATCTGTGCAAGCCAATTGCTGAAAAAAACCCATTACCACAACTTCCCCTCGGCTTCCAGAGTTTCTGTTAGGACAAGTTTAAGAGTGTAATAGACTTCCTCAACAGCATACTTCATATAGTCATCCCTTTCGATCCTCTCCACAATCTCCTCTTGAGAATTACTTTCAGCAGCAATCTCTTTGGCCAATAATATCTACAATAGATTATAGGAAAATAACTTTCACTACGAAATAACCTCAAATTCGATTTTTATGGAAAGCAATGAGGCTAAACAGATAGCCACAATAAAAGGTTGAATTTAAAACGGAAGCAGGTAAAGTAACAAACTCACCTTGCTGGAAAGAAGAAAGAGTGGCCACTGAACCAACTGGAGCCTACCAGAATTCTTGGGCATCAGGAGCAAGTCCATTTCACTAGAAGATGGTTCCAAATGAGAACAATGGGTAAAAACGAAACCATAAAAAAAAAAGGCAGAAGCTAAGACCATTAAACAGACAGCATAATCATTGTAAAGCATAAGGCACTTACAAATCAGTGATGTAGTCTTCCTCTCGTAGACATTTTATTATTTGGTTCCAAAATGGAGCAAAGTGTGCTGCATCTACTTTGTTCTTATCAACAGCCTTTGAATTGATAATCACATGCAAATATGAACAACAGCCGTGAGAAGAAAACTAACATGATTCATAAATATAAAACAGGCCAACAGGTACGAAACCGAAAAGAGAGAAAAAAGCATCACTACCTGATGAGAAGGATCAGAAGTCCTGCACATGATTTTAATAATACGCGAAAGGCAATGAAGACGAGAAAATGTTAGTATTTAACAAAAATAAAAGGAAATGTGCAGAAGTTCTTAGCGACCGATATAAAGGAACCTAACCGGTTGGTAATGGGGACATGAAGAGCCCTCATAAAGCCCCCTGGAAACTCCTCAAAGAGTTTGTGAATTGCTTCCAAAGATCTTATCTGTAAAAATTACAAAGAAACGTAAGCACATAACCTCTTAAAAACAGTGTAGTAGCAGTTTTATATATCTTAATTTTGACATTTGTAGGACAAAGAGAAGTGTAACCACACATACCTCCCCCAAACGATCTCTCGCACCAAGCAAGAAACCCAAAAAAGCAGAGACAAGGGTGTAGAATATATGGATGTCTAAAAGGTATATCTGCATTATATGAAAGAGAAAGTTACAATACAATGAAGGACAACTTAACTGTGAAACCCCAGCGGCAACATTCATCCTAATCAGAACAAACTTCACCAAAATTGGTGAAATATTGTCAACAAGATCCTCCCAAAAACTGAAGTGATTCTATAGAGACAACTACAGCTACAGCGACAACAAAAGTGATTGCTACCAACAAAACCTAGAACAACACAGGTGCAAACCCTCATGAAAAGACCATTGAACTTACAGCGACCACAGGAGCCCATAAACTGGCAACAGTCAGAGCATTATAGTTTTCTGCATCCAGATAAAGAAATATTAGAGTATGAGAATCTTATAGAAGAATATTTTTTTCGAGATTTTTAGAGCTAATAACATCCTTAGAAAGCATAGGTGTACGATTCCAGAGAGAACTAACATAATACACTACAATCCTTCAAGCAACTAGGCTTACAAACAATAAGCATCGTCCATGAAAAAAGGCCATCTCTCTGGTCACCTCTACTCAGTAAACAAAATCTACAAATCCCATACTTACTTCTTGACACAAAATCATGCCAGGAGTACAGAATATTATCCTGTTTTACTATAACCCTTGTCGGACCAACGAGCGGCTTAATCTGCAAATTCATCACCAAAAGAATATAAGTAATACGACTCGCACTTTAACAGCCAAACAAAGCAACTTTGCGATGTTTCTCGAATAATTACTTCAAGATCTGACTACAAGAGATCGCAATGAACAGAAAAATCTATCAAATGTCAGATGAATACTTTTCTTTCTGTATAAATTAAGTGTACGGCTGCATTATATTATTTCTAACTTAGAGTTCACTATATAACTTACAATCAATATTGAACACAATGGGAAAATTTTAAATAACACAGAAAAGAACCACTTTTGGTACATAAGTAGTGTTTTATGATGTACAGATATATATTTCACATGTAACCACAATCTTCAGTGCATCTATTATTAACATATCACAATTATGCTTCCTGCCAAAAGAACCTACCTGAAGAAAGTACGCAAATGAGAACTTTGCAGACAGAACGACAAGCCAAAACAGCAAGTACCTGCGTTATACAAATGAGTTAGTACAACCTTACAGATTAAAAACAAAAAGACCATACGAGCCGAAGTTCATTGGTAATTTGGTATCAGTCAAACAAGTACAAGTACATCTCCTGCTTCTGCCACACTAGTCAAAACACATTTTAAATCATTACAGTTTATCAAAAGTCAGCCGCCCATGTACTTTCAGTACCAGATATACCTAGAACAATTTTTGAGGTCCCCAGAATACAGATAACTATAAGTAACTAAAAACATGTAACAAAAATAAGGTGAAGAGACTACTTTATATAATCAGATGTCCTTTCATACATGCCACGGCCAACATAGTGTCTCTCCTGAAAATACGATCAAGCATCAAAGGTTATTATTAATGACCCAAATATTAAGCATAAAGAATGAAGAGACACATGCGGCTCAGAACCTGGCGCATCCACTTAAAGAATCGAATCACAGGAAACCGATCACATTTATTAGCAATGTTGTGACATGTTGGGATACGCATCAGGATACTAAAAAAGAACTGAACACCACCATAGATGGCTATGACAATTACATAGAGCTTGAACATGACTGAATCAGAATTTGGTTTGCTATCTTCTTGAAGTGCTCTCCTGCACAAATGAAGCCATCAAGTAAGGTAATGTAGGAACTACACCAAAAAAAGGAAAACCTGTAAAAGCAATATGAAAAATGACAGTACTATAAAAGAAAGTTTACATACACATAGAGGAAAGCGATGAAGACGGAAGCAAGGCCAAACCAAATGAAACGGAGAAAAATGCGAGAAACAGCAAGCCGTCTTGTCGTAGAATAGGCACCATACATCATGATGACATCCAGAACACCTAGACATTAAGCATATCCCTTTTCTTCACTAAATCATAATATTAATAAAAATAAAAGTAAAAGTAAAAGTATGAGGTGTAAGACTGACTCTCAGAAAACTTCATCACAACGAACGTCGGACCCAGACTGAGAATTTCACGCAAAGTCTTCCGGGAGGTAAGGCTATTTTTATTGAACGCAATTATGGCTAGTGCCTGTAAGGAAGTCTGTTAGAGTGTAGTAGCAGGAGAACCTTTTCTCGAAACGATAAAATTCATACTACCCATGATAGAGAAAGACCAGGTCAAAACCAAACGTGCTTAATTAACAATGCAACTCTCAAACAACAAAAACCCAAACCACCAAGGATAGGCGTTGACTACAAGCATCTTCTGAGGAACATCGAAGATCACAACAAATAAACGGAATCCTGAGACGGGATTACAAACCTGAAACATCATTACGAGGAATATCCATAGCCGATGAAAACTGTGGTAGAGATGCAAAAATGTACGGTGCTCAACGAAGGAAGTCTTTCCTCGATGTTTTGCCCTACCGGTTTTAAGCTCGTACTGCAAGGATAAGACCAGTGTTAGTAACATCAGATATGCCTATAGGTGAAAGAAGATGCCAGTATCTGGATATTAAACGAAACACAAGCGGATTGAATCTCAAACAAAAAAAAAAATTGGGAAGCTACTTAGCAACGAGGAAAATAAATGAGTACAACAGCAAGAGTACACGCTAACATGACTTCAAGATCGACCTCTAACATATAGTCTAGGAGCATAATCATAGACGTTTGCATACTGCCATCAAGACGGTAACAAATCACTTCTTACCAATAGTATGGAATACTAAAACTTTATCATTTGATGATCATCTCACCAAAGAAGCAACAACCCAGTAAGAATACAGTATTTCTATTAAAAATAAAATAAGAGGGGCCACTGCAGACCTTTTGTCGCGGTATAGGTTTCTGAAAAAAAGATGAACTCGTGCGCCACGGCCAACCAAGCTCGAAGGAGTGAAGCGACCTCGAAAATCAGAAACGTCAGCCAACAAACAGAGGGAAATTAACCCAACAGACAGATATTAAAAATTTACCAAAAATACTCGTTGAAGTCATCATAGTTTCTCCAAGCTGAATGAGGTGCTCGGCCATTGTCATTGTTAAAAGCTTCCTGCACAAACCAACATTTTATATCATGGAATGTAGCACGAGAATACTACATTATTGATCATGATGAGAACATAGAAAGGAAACTCCCTAAAAGTCAAAGGGTGAAAAAATACTTCAGAGAACATACCGCTGAGACAACATCATAAATCGGAGCAATGACATGATCAAGGAATGATACACCATCATCAGAGCCATGACTATCGTCTGGCATACAACTCTCAGCTGGGCGAGCAACCTGTTGGCGTAAGATCTCATCCATTTCTCTTACCATCTACAGAAAATATTCAACATAAGAACATAATATAAAAGGAACAAATATCAGAGAACCAGTAGCAATTCGGAAAGTTAGGAGATTGCATTTATAACAAAATGCATAAGAACAGAATCATGGAAGAGGTACTAAAGAATCCCGGTAACATAGGCAAACATATGGAGAAAAATAAGCATTCAGCATAAAACTTACATGGTGGAATATGTAGCACAAACATTCTGGAAGAAACCGTATGTTGGCAGCTTCACCCCAAATCAGGAAATACAAAGAGAGGAATAATAGTTTCTTTTCTCCACTGATTGTCTCTAAACTGCATTTTACAAAATCGGAGTGAGCATGCAAAATGGTTGCAGGAAAAGACAAGGAAGAGGGGATAATTTACTTGCTCCATGCAGGTTGAATGCACAGGTAATCACACCACTTAATGTAGTTGTCTAGGGACTTCATAAACACGTTACGCACTGCTGCGTCATCCAGTTTCTGAGAGAGCAGAATAGAAAAGGTTATTCACGATATCTTAAAATCTAACTCACTGCTTTCTAACTAAAGCGGCAGACAAGCTAAAATCACGTGCATGCACAATCACCACGCATAAATTTCTAGAATGAACAACACTACTCTACTTTTAAGCTTCGTCAAGTAGAAGTCCCGACAAAGACTAGCTACTAAGAAGTTTTTACTAAACAAGATGAAGAAAACCAAAATCATAAATAATCTACGTCTAATCCTGAAGCTTCTGCGAAATTAATCATATGATATTCAAATAAGCTTTGGTACTTACAGGTTCTGTTTCTTCTGGAATATTTAGGCGGGATTGCTCATTAGCGAGAAGAAGAACTATATGTTCACGTTGATTGGAGACGCTGTCTTTCTGAGGCCATAAGAATTGATATATTAAAAATGAAAAAAAGCTTTGCGGTGCTATATGAAGCTGTATCATAAGTATGGCAAGGAAGGGAAGCTATTAAAATATCATGAAAAGCTTTGTTTTGGAAACCGAATACTTCTTTCAATATCTAGGCGTAGCAAGTAGAAGACTAGCCAAAAACAGATCATACCACTTATTTAAATTTTCAATATTCTAATATTTCAAATTTTTAAGGTAAAATTTAGAAAACACATACAATACATAAAAGAATATTTTATAATGCAAAGAAAGCTTCTGAGATAGACAAACCTGAAACCCGAAAATATAATGGAGAAAATCAAGCATATCAGCATTCCTTGTTGCGGGAATGGGAAAATCAGCAGGCAATTTTGGCAGGCCTGGAAAATACTTCAATGCTGCAACTGCCGCTTGCACCTGCCCATATTTTAGTGTCATACAAGCCACATATCATACATGCATGTGGAAAATAAAAAATATCTCACCTCAGGGAAAGCCGTAGTGGCATTTGTTGTGACAGGAGCATCAAGAGGAATAATGTTGTAAGCAATTGTGTCCTCGCTCATTGCAGCATCTGAATCAATAACATGCTTCAGCTGTAGAAGTATAATCGATGATTATTAGCTGCAATCTACAGAGCTAATTTGACCAAAATGGATTGAATAATAGGAGTTCGATTGTATGGAAGAAATCTACACAACCTCTTCAGGGATCTCTTTTGCAACCTGCTCCAACACATTTCCCAGAACTTTAAGGGTTGCAAAAACTCTTTTCCTTTTTACTGTTTTCCGCTCCAGCCTGGAAGCCAATATTAAACCGTTTGGACAACAATTAAGATTTCTGAGTAAATCTGGGTTCAACAACTATAGCCAGAACATAAAAATTCAAAGATTATGTGTTTCTGTTGTTTATATACGTACTCGTCAGTGAAAGCACCCGACTCACGGAGCTGCTTTTCCTCCTCCTTTAATGTATCAACATTGTTCTTTTCTCTGTACTGCCTGTAGAATTCTTGCAGTCGGATAATATCCTGACTTCTGTCTATGGTCCCAACCTCTCTTTTCGCTAATTTTTGCTGATATAAAACAAGGCAGAAGAAAAAGATATTAGGATGCAAAATATGGGAAACCAAATTAAAAAATTCAACGCAGTCTATCATATTATCTACTAGCATTCAAGTAGCTGCCAATGAGATAACAAACATATTCAGTGAAGTGTTAGGATCGAAAATTATGGATCACCTTATCAAACTTAGAACTATCAAAAACGTACAGAAGAGAAACATACCTTAACAACGGACATCAATCCGGTTTTGAATTGTAAAACACCTCTGCCTTCACTATTAGGGTCAAGATTCTGTGCAAGTGAATACGCATGCTCACACACTGCAGCAAAGATAAAATCGTTAAGAAAAGCTAAACTGCAAAAAAATGGAAAAAAAAAACAAGCAGCGGCTTACAGATCCTTGCTATGCTGGGGTCTTCATCTTGGAGTTCATCTGCAGCTCTGAGAATTGCATCTATGTCCCTGTTGTTCGATAAAGATGAAGGAACATACTCCATAATACTTCCCTGAGCAGGACCACCACCAAATCCTCCTGTTTTATCCCTTTGTAAGGCGGCATTTACTAGCCGCTCCCATGAAGACTCCGCTCGAGACATTTCGGACAAGTGACCTAGCCGCAACTGAAACTGCGAATTTACCGACCGTAAGTTACAGAGAAGAACCGAAACGACCTTCTTTCTCCTGGGACTAATTCTAATCAATGAAACAAAGAGAAAATAATATAGAAAATTTTGGGATCCCGAATCTGAGCTTTTCGGGTCTAAAACTTTCGTCGAAGATCGAAACAAGTAAACAACAAAGACATAAGAGAAAAAGAGAAAAAGAGACCAAACATCTTAAAAAGTCATACGCGGGAGTTACCGAAACAGAAACGTCGAAAACCCTAGATATGGAGTTTAAGCTGAATTGGATCAGTCATGGAAGAATCAGCGAAGAAAGTTGAAAGCTAGCTCGCTATTGTCTTTCTGAGTTTCGAATGTTTTTTTTTGTTAGGGATTTGTAATTTGTTTTTTACAACGAAGGTAGCGATGTTTTAAAAAAGCGCGTGTTGACAGGAACAAGAAAAAAGGAAAAGCGTTATGAGAAAAGGAAAAAAGCAAGCGAACCGCGTTAAAGAAAAATAGACGAACCGCTAAGTCTTTTGGATTACCGAATTAAACCGGATAAATGCAGATCAAATAGATTTCAAGAATTTTCTATTTCTTTTGTTAAAACCTATAAAAACCAACACAAACAACGAACAGTCAAACCGGGTTAAGCGTTTCTTTATTTTGGATCCGACCCGACGGACCCAAGATGACCCGGTACTTGATTGGATGATAATTTTCCGAATTCTCTTAACGTAGATCCCCGTCGTGAACCAAAACCTGTCGAGTTTTTACATTAATGGATTGTTTCTGTGCAAGAGCTCTTTTCTTCTCTGTGATTTCTGGATAGATTCTAGGGTTTATATTTGGGTCTCTTTGAAACCCGGGAGCTTGCTAATTAATCAGACGACTACTTCGCTTCGCTTTCTCTTTGGGTGTTTTTTGTTGTGGGTTTTCCTGATTTAGGGTTAGGATCAATTTCTGTATTTTTCTTCCAAGAAAAATAAAGATGTACGCTGATAGATTGGAATCTGAGTCGGGAAGGAGGAAAATGATAAAGGATCGTATCAATGGCGGTTCTGGCGATATCTCTACTCGCGTGCGACAAGTGACTGGGAAGAGGTTCTAACTTATCTCCCTCTTTCCATCATCTATCGAGATTTATTTTGCTTTCCTCGAGAGTTCTTCAATGTTGTTAGCTGGTACTAGGTGTTGGGTCTTTTTCTCTTGTGTGTAAATAGCTACATTGTGACCTTGCTTTGAGCAGCCTAAGCTGAGTCTTGCTAAGCTCTCTGAATCCGCTCTTTTGTTAGCTTAGGAAGACTTTCTGAATCTCTTATTTGCCAATTTTTTATTTGGTAATTTTAAACAACTTCACTGATTTTTCAATTAGATCAGCACAATAAGCTTCTCTAATGAGCTCGAGTGCTTATTAAATCTAGAAATGTTATCAATCTGAACTGTGGACTGTGGTTTTAAGGCAATTAACTGAATCTGTGAGATGAAACTATTTTTGTTTTTGTGTTGGAGAATGGTTTATGAATTTTTTCTTCTGTAGTCTTCGTCATCAATCTCGTATCACATGTTTCTCCTTCCTCATGCTTCCAGGCAAAGGCAGGACGACAAATGGGAGCATGATCTTTTCGATGATGACAAACCTCAACTTTCAAGTATGCTTTTTCTCTCACCTGTTCTTCTTACCAGAAATTAAGTATGACAAACATTATTTGGTTGTTGATTCACTATCGGATGACTTGTTAAGATCGCAGAGTTGATCCTAAAGATCTTCGCCTGAAACTCCAGAAGAGACATCATGGCTCTCAAAGTGGGCGAGAAGCTGGTTCAGGCGTGCGGGATTTACGAGAAAAGCTCTCTGGGACAATGAATCCGCAACCGAAAAACAGTGACCCGCCAAAATCTAAAGTGGAGGCTGCTAGACCAAGTATGAAGAGCGTAGCGACTGAAACTGCAACAGAGACTAGAAAAACTTCCAATCCAGCTACCAGGAAGAAATCACAGCAGGCAATATGATTTACTTTTCTTCAACTTTATTTTTCCATCATACTTAATACCTTGGGAGAAAACCATTCTTCTGATCGGCGCGAACATATGGATACGTCCACCTATTGTTTCTTAGCTTGTCATCTTTTGGTTCAGGCTGGTGCATCGGTTGATAGCTTTCTGGAATCATTGGGTCTCGAGAAATATTCGACTGCTTTTCAAGTAGAAGAAGTATGTAAAAATATCTGCTCGTAGGTTGATATATATGTTACGCTTGGTGTCATCTTGTCACAGACACATGATCTCATTCTCTTTGATCTTTCCCAGGTTGATATGGATGCTCTCATGCATATGACAGATGATGACCTCAAGGCTATGCTCATACCAATGGTAAGCTCCATGTTAAACTGATACAACATTTACTACCACTATGCTTTATAATCAGCCTGGCCTACAGATTTTGGACGAAAGTCATTCTCTCAGTTTTAGTTGACCTGTAACACGAAAAGCTATTGAGAAGACTACATTCAAGCTCTTTGTTCAACTTCTTTATGCTCTCTTTTCACAAGCTGTGTTTTTGTTTCAGGGCCCGAGGAAGAAGATACTTCTTGCTTTGGGATCTAAACGCGAATAGTTTAGTGTCTTTTTCATGATGGCTTCATGAACGGCCTCCGGAAGTCGTTACATTAAGATGTTGTCGAAATGACTCCGGATTTGGCTTACTTTTTCTCGTATTTTTTTGTTACTATATCTGCCCATTTCAAGAGCTTAGAGTTTTGGGGGTCGACATCTGTAATCTTAAACATAGTGAGACAAACACTGCCGTTTGCACCACTTTTTATGTGAGTTTAGACCACAATGAAGATGCTTAAGGAAACTAAATAATTAATCCGCCGGAAATCTGTAGTTTCTCTTTCATTACAACGTCGTTGCGAAATTTTATACTCATGCAACCAAAAACTTGGAAGTTACATAGGATCTGTAAATCCGCTAAAGGGTTACTATGGTTTTCAACGTGAATGCATAGTCCTAGGCAGTCTTCTTTCTGGCGAGCCATGTCGAGTACTTTGCCTTCTCTTGTTTGTATCTTTTCCATTCTCGTAGTGCTGCAAGGACAACGTGTCCTACAACAGGCAGGAAAAACGGCTGTCCCAGAAAGTAAAAAGAAGAAACATGAGACTCGGAGCAACGAGAATATGCTAATAATAAGAGTGATAACAATAGTAGCGACAACGAAACTAACCGAGTACACTGCAAAGCAATGTTCGTAAGAGAAATAGCTGACGGACATGATGGATGGATGGAAGAAGGCATTCTCGGCTAGGGACCTTGCTTCTCTTGATGAACCTTTGTGAAACACAAAACCGCAACTTCTCGTTAGAATTTACCAACATTAAGGTGTACAACAGAGCATATCGAGTATAGGTTAAGTGTAACACACTGGCTGAAGAACTGTATCCTCCTGTAGAAGCATTAGACTGAGCCAACTTTGCTGCTTTCATAGAGTATTTCACCTGGTTTGGGGGAAACAATGGAATGGTCAGAGCATAACAATTTTCAGAAAAAGGTTCAAGATGAGAAGCATACTTGTTCTCCAATTTCATCCTTGATTATCATCCTGGGGAGTGACTGAACCTGCAAGAGCCAAGTGATGAAGATTAGAAAAATTGAAAAAGGAACCACCAGAATGCAGCCGAACGTGCAGCGGAATGAAGAGTTAATCACATACCAATCTAGAAAGAGAACCGAGGGTTGTTGAACAAGAGTGGAGATTGAAACACGTGTGTTTCCGTGACAAGACATCCAATTCCCTGCAAATGCCACACCGGAAAAGACAACACTCACCGACAGCCAATTCTCATGAGCATCCTATGCTTTAAGTATAAACCTTAATGGTCGATAAGCATCACAGGTATTGAGAGAAGAGTGGATCTACACAGAGACCACATCAATATTGGGATTTATCATATTCTTACCACTCTGTAAAGCCTCTTTCACTAGGTAAAATCTTGTAAGAGCCCAATCCACTGGTATAAATGGCTTCAGACTTAAAACCAAAAAGTTGTCGGAATTGCCCCAAGAAAACTTCAACTATTCGCTCGAGATCCTGTTTCAGAAAGTGCAAAAACAGCAATGTTGCTTCAGTGATCTTCTTCCAAGGCTCTCCAAATATTCAATACAAGAACTCAACATATGTATGGTGAAACGGACCTGAGGCGATATCGTGTTCCTACTTGGGCGTTCAGAGTCATTTTCACAATTTCCCGGGTTCCACACAATCACACCGCCCCACATCTACAGAACAAAATGATAAGATGACATCATTTCTCACAAAGGTCTTACTAACAAATCAGAAGAAGGAAAGCAAATGCGATGAGTGGTTACTAACCGGAGATATGAAGCCATTTGTTTTAGATATCTCCCCATTTGGCAACTGCAAGTGAAGAGGGCATTCTTTTCCAGATGGAATATATCTGACAATATGAAGAAACATTATAGAGTTGGGTATTTCTGTGGAAACATTCCTGCTCAGTTTATAAGGAAACAATATAGTGTAATCAGAGCATCAAGCATCATAATAAAAAAGCATGGGCAGAGTAGAATAATATACACCACAAATTGCAATATTTTGGACCGACCACTGGCTCCAGCAGAAGTATCCAAGTGCCATTCGTTCGAGTTCACCTGGCGAAACCATTTAAAATAATGTATAAAACAATCAGTTGTGTCCAAAATAGTCATGCAGATCTTGAGAAAGGTTACGTACAAAGAAGGGAAGATCACTGGTCTTAAAGATGTAGCTCTGAATTTTTTCATCCCAAGATGAAAACGAAGACTTAGGTGTATGATACAATACCTAAAAACAGAGAAAGCATAAAACAACAGCCTGAGAGAATAACAAAAGATGCAAAAGATTTTTGTCTGGTGGTGAATGGTACCTGACTTTCAACACTTATATTAGCTATAGGTGCTAACGCCTTAGTCACTGGAGCCAACAATGCCTCGTCTATCCTCTGAAAGTCCCTGTCACACAGACAACAGGTCACTAATAAGTACTTTGGCAAACGAAACAGTAACCTCTGGATTTCCTAAAGGCCAAATGGTGAGAAAGCATAACACTTTGATCATACCAATCGTAGATCCAATCACGTGGATTGGAATTTAGTAGACTGAAAGAAAGAACAATCCTCCCATCTGATCCCACAGGCATAAACTCCCCGTGAATTGAGCCTTCTTCCATTCCACCATTCATAAACACTTTGACGAAAATCTCAGAAACTCTAGCCACCACGTCTCCATATCTCTCTTCCAATCCACTCCCAACAATCCACGCATGCCTTCGCTTGCCCACCACAGCTTTTACCTCATCTTCACCATTGGCATTTTCTTCATTCACCACAACGACGCTGTACATTTTCCCGCCGTGCCCAGAACAGCCACTAAACACATCAGCCAGTGACTCATCCACTGCCACGTCCGATCCAGCACCGAAAACATTTCTTTTTATCACTCCACAACGATAGGAGCACATGGAAGGATCACTAGTAAGGGTTTCTGAGCAGTGGTCATCTGGGTTTTGAACGGTGACAGAGAGGGAAAAATCGCAAGAACCACATTGTGAACTTGGTTGAGTCAACTGTTTAATACCGTCTTGTATCTCAGATCGCAATTTATCCGGATCCGTCGATTGAAAACCCACGAACACCGCGTGGAAACTGCAGGGGAAACGCAAAGGAGTCGACTCAATTTGATTGGAAAGTGAGTCGATGTCGTGGAACGGTAACGGAGAGCGATATATTTCCACTGTCTTCCACAGAAATGGCAGACCTGAAACCTCCGAAATGGGAATGAGATAAAGCAAAGGAAGAAAAATCTAATAGAAGTCGAAAATCAGAGGATGAAGAAGAAGACCAGAACAAATACCTAAAAGGAATGAAAAGAGCACAGTGGTGGTGATGAAGAGGCGCTTCAAGCCAGGTTTGGAAGAACGCATGGTTTTCGGATCAAACTCCGGCATGAGTCCCGAAGTATCGCTCGTCGGATTCAGATGATCGGATATTTCTTCCATCGGCTTCCCCAGAGCTAGAAGATGCCACAAAACTTGCTCGACTATTGCGTCGATCTTGTCATTTCGTAAAGCGCGTGGCTTTTATTCACGTGGCCGTGGGTTCGATTCTCACAGACGGCGTTACACATTTCTTTTATTTCGACACTGAAGTTCTTTACACAGCTATGCTCAAATTACAATTTTTGTTTTTTAGATAGTTTCATTGTTCAGATGGCTTTTTTGCTGATGGAGTGATGGTAAAGCTATAGAATTTCTCTAAACAACATTACATCCACTCTGCATAAACTGTAAGGAGACACTCCTATGTCGTTACAAACACTCTCAAACCTCATCAACAGGCTCTAAAGAATAATACTCTATAAGAAAATCTCTTATATCAGTTGAGGTTTTTGGTTCCAACCAAAATCTGGCTTTGGAGAGTCTGGTTGTCTTCTAGCAATCTGTCATATTCCAACAATAGCTCTGAAGACTGCTTTTGGAGAGCTGTAACATGGGCTTCAGCTGTTTCGAGCTTCGTTTCTTTCTCTTTGGCTTCCTTCTCTACTGTCATCAGGTTCTCTGAGACAAATGACAGTTTTTGTTTCAGCTGTTTGATTTCCTTGGATGTCTTCTCTTCTTTCTCTTTCAGCTCGGTTCTCTCCTTCCTAAGTCGTTCGAGTTCTCCTTTCGATGACCCGACATTGCTTCTTAAAGTAATTAGCTTTCCGAGGTAATGGTGTGTCCGGTCTATAACGAAGCCAAGAAACAATACAACACCTGCAAAGTCATGAGGTCATCAGAACAAGTTTCGCTACTTCAAGTCCAGAGGAAGTTCCCAAATTTGGTGAACAAAAAAGCACGACGATGGACTCATTGGAATGGAAACAATCATAGAGATCCTGCTTGCCAAACGCAAATCAGTTACATGCTAATGGATCTAGGAAAGATTCCAACATATTGTTCTAAGTTTTCCCGGTAACTAAAATCACAACAATTTCAGCTGTTGTTTGCTTCTATTCATATCATCCTCAAGCTGAGAAACTCAGGCAAAACTTTTAGACGGGAAAACATAGAAGACTTAAACTTTCTGTTCACAAACCAATGCTAATATCTTAGCTAAGAGCAAGAACTGAAGTGTGGATTAGGATTCTTAGTACACGAAAAGAAAGTAACAGAATTCGCCCCAAATTTTGTTTCTAGAACATATATCTACACTGGGATTCAATCAAACAAAAGGGAAGAAAAAGAGATGAAACGAAATCAAAAACTGACCCATTAGAGAAGCCTCGAGCAAGTGGGTTCTCCAGAGGACCTGATCCATGGGAGACATTGTCCCAAGCTTCGCACCCTTGTTCTGGATCTTGATGATATTCATGAGATTCGACAAGAGGATTACAGACATGGTTCCAGCGATGGTTTTGACAGTAGCAGGACCTTTCCCCAATTTAAGCTGCTCCAAGCACTTTATTACAAGCTCCCTTAGAGGACCAATCTTCACCAGCAGTAAGAACGCAATCGCACCTTCGATAAACAGAACGAAGAACAGTAGCTGAATCATGTCTGATTCCCTCCTTTCCCACCAATAAAAGTAAAGTTTATGCTTTTTTTTAACCAAATGCACGCCCAATTCAGAAAAGAAAAAAACCTAAATTCGGGTCCTCAGTATCTGTTTATGGGCAACAGTCTTTTGGAGCAAAAACCGAAACCCAGATCGGCAAACGCTTAAACGGAGACACAATTGGGAGCTCTCCAAAACTATTTGATTCCCAGCGAATTTCAGCTGCTAAATCATTGATACCACCAAGAAATCATGAAACTGAGAGGAGTATGCGGAGAAAACAATCTCTAGATAAATTGAAGAAGACGATCGGTTTCAAAGTGTAGCTTTTTCTTGACCTTTCGAGTGGTTGATAATTGTGTTTACTGGTTACTGACATAAACACTGACTGTTAGTCAAAAAGAGGAATCGGAAGAAGAAAAGAAAAAGTCATGCAAAATTTGCAAACTGTGTATTCACAAGTTCACAGCTAAAAAAAGTAAAATATCATTCTGTGTTTTATGATTTGTCATAAACTCATAATCGCTTTTTATGGTAGCCTGAAAATATGAGTACTGGATGCAGAGCAGATATTTAATTTCGGTATTGTTGTTTTTTGCCATCTTTCGTTCGGATCGGCATTATTTGGAATCATCAAGCAATTTGGACTGATCTCGTTTAGTTTTTGTCAAGATTATGTTAACTACAGTATGATTTTATGCAACATGCGAATGTATTCCAGAAAATTGTCCCAGGATGAATAACTTCAGAAAATTGTTAATTATGTGTCCACATTATTGATCAAGTTTAAGAGTGTGTAACAACTAACAAGACTACAATGCACCATCCCAATCTCGAATACTATGTTCTATGTACCTATATACATTTACTATTTCAATATTAAAAAAACAAGTAGATTACATGTGATGGACCCATTGATCAAGTCAAAACATTTATAAATGTGGTGGTTTACAAGTTGGGTTAATTGACAGCCATTGAAGTCGTCGTCGCTTTAGAGAGACAATTTCTCTTATTATACACCCACAATCAAGTATATGTATATGTCCTGTGGTAATTAATTAGATATATTAATATAACGAAATAATGCAGTTGTAACCATGTTGCAACTCACCAGCTAACATAAAGACGCCAAAATTAACTAATACGATACTAATTGTTTTTTATTCTGTACATGCAATAGTTTATTTAACGAAAAACTTTGCAACAAATTGATTAAGCTGCCATTTACAAACAAAATAATGGCGAGTTGCACGACCCTCCTTCATATAATTTGGCTTCTTTGTTTCCCCCCACCCATCATATATAATCTGCTTTCACCGTGTTAATTATTAATCAAATGTTTAAAATCGGATTAAACATTCCGAAAATAATCAGTATCAAGATACTTATCGATGTTCACAGCCTCACAGGAAACACAAGAGTTCATAAAAAAATACGTGATAAAAGATTTACAAGACAAATACACTTGAGGGAGAAAGATAATCATATGCAGTCTCTCTGGCAATTGCCAAAGAGGAATTGGAAAAAGAAACTGCGAAGCGTGTGTGGCTTTGAGACGCGGTGAATGCCACGTCATTTCGTACGGCTTTGAAGAAGTCGCCGTAGACCATGAGAGAAGAAACAGAGACATTCAAACTTTCCAGAGTAACAAGAGAATATAAATAATTATATATACAAATCGTCAACACCTTTATATATATGCACATACATTTATGTACCCCTCTCTCTCTCCCTCTCATCGCTTCTCTCTTTTTTTTTTCTCTCTCTCTCTCTGTTTCAGACATAACCATTGAAGCCTTTCTTCATTTCTCTCTGTTGAACGAGAAATATGGCAGTAAGTTGTAAAACACTTTTGTATCAACACACATGTTTTTTTCCCTCATTTAATCCCACCTCAAATATGCATATCAAACCATGATTTTAACGAATCCATCAAGCTTTTCAGGAAACTCAGCTTATTTGTTTTCCCATGATATCTTTAAGTAATTTGTCTGGTAGGCAGAACAGAGACTTGGGTTTGTTCCGACCAGTTGACTTTCGTGTTTATTCCTATTCTGAATTCTACCTGTTCTGGCTAGTGTCTAATGGGAAGTTAGCTCCTCATAGTTCCGATTATGGCTCACATAATATATATATATATATATATATATGTTTCTTACACATCAAGTTTGATCTTTTAAGTAAATCTAAACTCAACCTTTTGACCATTTTCCCTCAAAAAAAGTCACGTACTCGTTGAATGATTTGATTGCAGAACCGTCCACACGTCCCAAAGTTTGGGGACTGGAACAACCAAGACCAACCATTCACGGTCGTCTTCGACAACGCGAGGACGAACAAAAGAGCGGACTTGTACGAATCTTTAGAGAACTCAGAGATCAAAACTCAAGCAAAAGCTCCTCCTCCTCCTCCTCAACCTGCTCCTAGAAATCCAAGACCTGAACCACCAAGACCGGTTAGGGAGGGCACGCCAAGAGCGCCTCCTCCACCATCCGAGAGAAACAAAGTCAGGGCTCCTCCGGCGGATCAACTCTACGGAAGCGGAGGTAGAGGCGGAGGCAGAGACGGTGGAGGAGGAGGCGGACTATACGGAGGTTATGGAGGAGGACCAGGAAACCAGCGGCAGCCACAAACTCCTCCTCGTCCCGCGCAGCCTAAACCCAATCTTAGAGGCGGCAGCAACGGAAGGGTATGTATATATATATATATATATGACAGACTACACCTCATTGATTGTTTGCATTTACATAATTTATCACAGACGTTTTTTTGCTAAATGTTTTTTCTTTGGATAAATGCTTTTTCCTAATTAAAACCACAACTTTCAGCATTCTAAACAGATAAAGAAAAAGTTGATTGTAACTGTGAAGCATGGAAGAAGAAACTTCATTTGTGTTTTACATTTCAAGAAAATAAAAATAAAAAAATGTTTAATCACATATAGGAATATTATGAAATGTCTTTGATTCTCGAAAAAAAAAATGTCTTTGATTTTTTTATTTTTTGGGGTCATTTAGCTTATTATAATTGTGTGAATATATATCTATCTATGTTAGGGAGGGACGACGATTCCGCCATTTCCAGGATCAGTGGGGTCAGGGGAGAACGTGAGTTACACACACATTTTCGACCAAGTCAAGGAAGAGAGGCGAGAAGGTGCCAGATCTTACGGTGGATCAACCGGCAACACTCCATCTCGCCCAATCAACGGTCAACATGAATCTCCCGCCTCAAACTCCTCCAAGGTACTACTACACATATAATCATCTTATTAATATGTATTGTGTATTAAATTTACAAATTAAAATACTTTGATGTCCATCATCTTATATATATAGAATGTGTAATTAACATGAAATGGGATCTATGCGCAGGTCTGCTGCTTTCCATGGTCCCGGAAGGGAAGTAAGTATTGAAGACAATGTACATATTTATCAACTTAATTTTGAAATTTTCTCTATTCCATTTTTCTTGGATATTTCCTTTTGAATTTCTTTCCTTTTGTAACAAAAGGAGTGATTTTTTTGGTTGACATTGGAGCTGCCACTACCAAAAAAAAATAAAAAATTAATTTGTTTCTCAAATATGGTAGTGTGTTTGTATTGTGTAGTTTATTTTTTGTTTGTAGATTCTCAACGAAACATTTGCGTATGAAAATAAGTGTGCAGTTGACTTTCATTATATATGCATTATATATGATAAACAGTTTTACTGTTATAGCGTCTTCATCATAATTCATAATCCAACCCATATGCCCGTGAGCCCGTCTACTTACCTACCTCCAGCGAGTCAACTACCAATTTTCTCCTCATGTGAAGATGTATACAAAAAATAACATAACATTCATGAATATAGTATGTTTTTTCTTTCTTTCTTTTTGGTCAGATATTTAGCATGTTATTCATGAAAATAGTATGATATTATTCACTAAAACAACACGTAATGTTTGCGAAGCTAAACCCTTTAACTAAAAAAGTAATGTTTGCGAAACTAAAAAAATATTTTTCTCTCAACACTGAAAGTGAAAGTTACATTTGTTTTCTAAAGTTTCACAATGTAGAAAAACAAGTTATTAATCAAAAAGTGGTATTTGCAAACATTATCCAAACGTTACACACATCAGTAACTAACTACTGTATTTGTTCAAACATGACTACTTCTATAAATAAAAAAAAAGTCATGTACTAGTACTATACTCGTTGACTTGGCAAGAAAATATTTCTATCTCAGCAAAAGCCCAACGGGCCTTGGTATGTGGAGTAGTAAACTAGTTTGAGTTCTGTGGTAAGATTCAGTAAGAGTCGTCAAACAAATAAAAAAAGAGAAGAGTCAAACAATAATATTTTCAGTAGGAGTAGTACGGTTGCATGGAAATAAAGAGCAAAGTACAACCTTTTCCTTTTTTCTAAAAAATAATAATAATTGTAAGTGAAACAAAATCTCATATTTCCAAAGCAGTGATCTTGTGCGCCACCATTAAAGTAAAAAAACCCATTGGATTCTAATCCTTAAAACTCCTTCGTTTCTCTCTACCACTTCAGTCTTCAAATTCCACTCCCCAACCCCACCTGCTACATCGTCGAGTTCTCCTTCTCTGTTTCAAAGGTACAAACTTTCAACTTTTTTTTTTGTCCTAATCTAACAGTCGTATGCTTCTCCATTTCTGGATCTGTCGATTGATTTCTCGTTTTTCTAGTGGGTTTAGTTTCTAGTGGGTTTAGTTTCTAGTGGGTTTGTTTACCGCCTTAAAACCTGAATTTGACCGTTTCTTGAATTTTTGTTGCCAAGTTCTACTAATTTAGATAGAACTCTTCTGAAATGTGACAAAATCTTTGATTTTTTGTTTTGTTTGTTGTTGTTGAAGACGGACTAAACTTGAGAGAACGGAACCCAGTTCAGTAGTGACTCAAATTGAGGTCGGCTTAACTCTCTTGAGTTTTGAAAATGAGTTCTCGGAGGGAGAGGGTAAATACGAGGAGTTTTAGGAGGGATCAACAGGTGAACAATGTGAATGGTACACCTAGCGAAAACCAACAAAGCACTGTACAACCTCCAATGGTTTCTCAGATTGTGTCTGGTCCTCCAATGATCGATGTAGATGCGATTGAAGACGATGATGATGTTGTTGAATCAACTGCATCTGCTTTTCATCAAGTCCGCTCTCTTCTTCTTTATCTCGTCTTTTTGTTTCCCCCCCTTTACAAGACATGGTGTTTTTGTACAAGTTTATTTATTCTGTTTCGTTTCCTGTTCCAGGCTAAAAGACACAAATCGGGAGGCGCACGTCGAGGAGCCTTAGTAGTTGATGTAGAGTCAGGTGATTTAGAATCTATCTTTTTTTATTCTCTCTTGCATAGCTACCATAATATATATGATACATTTGTGTTGCAAGAAGGGTTTCTTTGTTCACTTTGGTTAGTGTATCATGGTATGAGTGCAGGTGATACTACTAGAGTAAGCGAAAACCGCAAAAAGCTGCAATCTGATCAAGCTAACAAATCGGTATGTAGTGTTCTGACTTTCTTTTCTTTTTTTTTTTGGTTTGGTTTCCGTTAGTTTTGCTGTTGGGACTTTAGTTCACCAATTTGTCAATGTGTTCTTGTTCAGAGAAAGTCCAACAAGGCCGTAGCTACTGTAGAGGAGCCTAAATTTAACTGTCCAATATGTTTTTGTCCATTTACCGAGGAGATGTCAACGAAGTGTGGTCATATATTCTGCAACAAGTGCATAAGGAACGCGATATCTTGTCAAGCTAAATGCCCTACGTGTAGGAAAAAGGTCACTGCTAAAGAACTCATTCGAGTCTTCCTTCCAACCACCAGCTGAATGATACAGTGACATCGCCAGTAAGTTTAGCTAATGGAATCTGGTTCGTTCCTGATACTGTACATTACTCGACGACGATCTTTTGTTTTTTCACACAAGAATCATTCATTGTTTCGATTTCTTTTCTTGCAGGGTTAAAATGGTCTATCGACTCTATCCTTAGAGATATGTTTAGGAACAGTGAAGAACAATGTTGTTCATGAGTTGTCGTTTGTAACGTGCCTTAGTGAGAGAAACATTTAGGAATCATTGAAGATCTGTTTTTTTCATTGGATATCATCAGTAACTTGATTATCTGAGCGACTCTTTATTGTTGAGATATATATATATATATAGGGGAAAGGTAATGTTGAATCTTAAGAAAGTATAAGGAAGGTATATCTGTTAAGCCGGTATAATCTGATGTAGAAGGTAATTTTGTGACTAGAGTGCAGTAGTAGCCAGATAACTAGCACACTTGTCGTCTTGTTGACTTATGCTTCATACATAGGTCACTTAACTTCTGCCTTATGGCCATGTTTTTTTACCTTCACTGGCTTGGCTCTTGATGATGTTTGTTTTCAAAACGCTCTCGTTGGATTTTGTTGATCTATCAACGGCGACAAGAAGAGCAATAAGCATCTAATTGTGTAAAAATAGCAAAAACGAAAGTATTTAAACTTCCCAGGAACTCAAAATCACGGATTGCTTTGACCCCCAACAACTGATATATTGTGTGTATATATATGGTTTCTGTTTCAACAACATTCTTTCAGTATCCACTCTCAATCTTACTTTCCGTTGAGCTAGATTTGAGAAGTGTTGTGACACAAAGCAAACATCAGCAGCGAGGACAGATTTCAACGGTGCCTCAGATTGTGTCTGGTCTTTCTATGATCGCTATTGAAGATGATGTACTCGAGTCAACGGCTTCTGCTTTTGCTCGAGAGTCTCATCACTTCTTCAGCACTTCCTTTACTTTCTTCTCATCACTTTTAGTTATTAATGAGGACTAAATTGTTATTTAAACAAAATATAAGGTACATCTCAAATTCTTATAAATTTGGCTGATAAAATTGAGTTTATAGGATCAACCAATCCCCAACATAACGGAAAATTCATAAATTCAATTTATTTACTGTCATTTCATTTTTGGAAGAAAAAAAAAATTCATAAGGCAACTCCGACGGCGATATCTGATGCCCTAGACGCCGTCACTCTTTTCCCTTCCACCGCCTGCTGCCTAATCATCTGACGTCGTCTCCGTCTTCGAGCTCATCAGGTACACTCGATTTCTCACCTTATGCGGTTTCTGCAATCTGCGATTATATTTTTGTGAAATCCTTTGATTTATTTTCTACTTTGCGTTGTTTCTCAGTCATTCCGGTCATAATTTCATAACATATGTATTAATCATTTTAAAGGATTATTTTTAAATTTGGCGCGTATATAAATGTGTGTAAGCAGATTTGTATTTTTTTTTGGTAGTGATGGAACATTTGTGTTCTTATAGTGGTGAAGAACTTTTGTTTTACTACGGAATTATTTCAATTTCTTTTCATATACTTCAACATTCTCTATATATGCTCTTTGAGTTGATGAAGTTATGCTCTTTATTTTGTTAGATATGGCTTCTTCAAGTGAGAAAAAGAAGTATCCTTTGCGACTTTATGAAAAAGGGAAAACACCTATTCAGAAAAAGAGCATGAATCACAACTGCCACTTGAGCAATTTGACAATGGTGAAAGAAGCAATTGGACAAGATGTGTGGAATGACATACGGGATTCATCGGTTGGAGTGATTATTAAGCTTCATCAAATGGATGATTACATTTGGTGTGCCAAGACCGTCCACTACTTCTTAACGAACCAGCTAGCAATTAAGAAGAATCATGAGATATGGTCATTGATTGATGGTCAACCAATTAGGTTTTCTTTGTATGAATTTGCAGATATTACCGGTCTGAAATCCGATCCATTTGACGGTCAAGACAAATGTGATGTTGATCATAAAGAGTTTTGGGGTGAGCTGGCTGTTTCTCCAGAGCAAGGACCTTCTTTAAACGAACTGAAAATGGTGTTGGCGAGATGCAGGGACTGGAGTTTTGCTAAGAGAAGAATGTTTGGTTTGTTGTGTGTTTTGTCCATTGGGATATTTGGCATTTCTCCAAATAGTAGAATCCCTTTGGCATGTGCCAAACAAGTAATGGATCCAGACGCCTTCGATAGGTATCCTTGGGGTCGGTTTGCATTTAAAAGCCTGATGGATTCGATTAAAGTGGTCACTTTTGGAGCAAAGAATACCTACATAATTCGAGGGTGTGTTCATGCCTTGCTCATATGGGCTTATGAGTCAGTACCTGCTTTAGGAAAGCTGTATGGGAACAAGAAAGAAGGGCAAGAAGTTCCTCTGGTTTCATGGGGTGGATCCCGTAGGCGATTCAATTTTGAGGACTTGTTTGCAGAGGAGAAAAAAACTTACGATAAGGTATGATTTCTAATTCTGTTTAGTGCTGAGTTAGCTATGAAATTAGGCTGAGTTGTTTTGCTTTGATGTGTCGGATTATTGTTGTTTAATGTGGCTACCTTATATTAACTTGTCAGGTGCGTGTTAGGCATTTAATTGTAAAGCCAGAAGAAGAGATATATCCTAAGTGGATTGAGGATGAGGACGATCAAGATTTGGACAACTTGATCAAGGATATCATTCATGATCGTTTGGAGATAAATGCTTGGGATGCCGTTGTTGCGAAAGATCCAGTTACCAATATGAGGAAAAGGAAAATACATGTCAACCAGAGTGACGAAGATAATGGAGCCGAGACGTATACACAGAAAAATAAGAAACACTCAAGAACTTCAAAGGTGAGTAGAAAGGATGAAACATGGCTATATGGACATATACAGATTTTACTAATAAAAAAGATGAAACATGCACTCTAGTAACAAAATCTTGAATTTGAGTCATTCTAGCAATCCCCCATTCTTTTTATTAGTATTGGTTTCCTGTTTTGAGTTAGCCTGACCAAGTTTCATTTGCTTGTTCAGAGAAATTCCAAGGCCGTGGCTCCTGTTGAGGAACCAAAATTTTACTGTCCAATTTGTATGTGTCCATTGACTGAGGAGACGTCAACAAAGTGCGGTCACATTTTCTGCAACAGTTGCATAAAGAAAGCAATTTCTCATCAACCTAGTTGCCCTTCATGTAGAAAACATGTCACTGCTAGTGACCTGATTAGGATTTACCTTCCAACCACCGAATGAGCATGTTACATAAACTTAACCATGTAAGTTTAGCTTATCAAATATGGTTTGTCTTCAATTCTAGAAATTGCTTCTCTTCAATGTTTATTTACAAACCAGATCCTCATTGTTCCCTTTTAATTTTCCTTTCCTTTTCCTCTCTTGCAGGGTTAATGGTCTTTAGGAACAATGAAGAGATGTTCATCAGTTGTAGTTTGTTATTGAATGTTTTTCTGTATTGTGAGAGAATTAACTACCTTTCCTTCTAATGGATATCATTAATTGGTGATCTGTAACACTGTTCTTGTCTAGTGTTGTTGAGATATTTTTGGGAAGATAATGTTGAATCTTAAGAAATCATCTTTACATCATGAGCCTCTGGTATGCGCAGTTACGTTTCTCACTTTCCTTATACTTGTGTTAGGTATATCTTTTAAATCAGTTTAAGCTAACAACAGCAACTAGAATGCATTGAATGGCATGCCATATGCATGTTGCTCCGTCGCTCCTACAGTTTCCTTTTAAAATTCTGTGCTAAGTTTGATCTTATGGTGTCGTTACCTTTGAAATCATTGACATTTGGTTGATCTCTATCTTAGCTGTTCATGATTTGTTTGCAAATTGCTCGTTGGATTGTTCCTCCATGGCCTTAAGTAAAAAAATAACCAGCAAAAAACAAAGGTATTTTTTAGCTTCCAGGAACTTAAAATCACAGATTTCTCTCGGGCTTAACCCCGAACGCTGCAAGTCTGTATGTTTTCTATTTGTTGCATTCTCTTCAATATGTCTGCACAAGAGTTGAAATCAAATTAGTTTTACAAGAATGCAAGACATCAAAATTTAAACAAAGATGTCTCTCTCTTTCTATGAAGGTGTTTGGTCTGTATCGGTCTCAAAACATCCATCTCGGGGAAGAACTAACAGCCCTAGGTCTAGGTACCGGTTTGAAAATCGGTTGCTCTGAACTGTTATTCCTTTTCTTCATGATTGATGAGACCGTTGGGCTGTAATAGTCATTACTCCTCTGCGAGGTTGCTCCTTGTGAAAGCATTTTCTTTCCATGGACGAAGCTTCTCTGTTTCTCCAGCATAGCTCTTCTACCGCTCAAACTCTTCTGCGGTGTTCCCCACCTGCTGGAGCTCACACAGCTTTGGCTCCTTCCAACTCTCTCATGATGAAACTCGCTTTTTATTGGAGGAGTTGGATAGTTTCGGCTCTCAGCTGTTTCTGCAGAGTACATTGTCTCTTCCTCGCTGCTGTATCCATGATTGTTATATACATAGTGTGCTTCTGGTGGCGGTGAACTTGAGATGACCTCACTGAGAGCGCCGTTTACTGAACCTGTTGAAGCAATCTGCGCATCTGATCCCTCAGAGGCAATCTCAGCCTCTTCCACCACATGATTACTCTGTGGAGAATTGTGCTGAGGAAGAAATGTTGTAACTTTAGGTATTCGTGGAGGGAAGTTGATATCCAAAAGATGTACTTGACCAGCCTCCTTTCTCAAAGGACCTGACGTTAACTTTGGCGATTCATATATCTCAGGAGTCGGGATACCCTGTGCATGAGTAGTAGAAGCAGTTCCGCCTTGTGGATTGTTTTTTGAGGTTTCTTCTTCTTTTTCTTCCTCAGCGGCGATAGAAGAGCTCAGGTGAGTTTGATCTCTAGTGTTAGATGAAGATGGTGTTCCAACATCAGCAGAGTCAGCTGGCTTGAAAACACGGCGCATGGTGAAGGAAGTACAAGAGCGCTCGCTCTTCTGACCAGAAGACATTAACCGAATGAGAGGCAACTTGGGTTTGGTCATATGTTCATCCAAACTACCTTCCCAATGCTGATTCAGCCAGTCACAGATCACTGGTATGGGTATACCAAACTGCATCATCAGTGTCTTGTTGTTGTCTTTCTTCAATGATGAAGTGGAAGATGTGGAGGTTGAGGCTGGTGATGTCGCTAGTTTTCTTGGATCGCAGATCATGAATGCGAGATTCCCTTGAACATCAAAACCAGCAGAACCAGGACTCCAGATCATTTCATCGGTGGATAGTTTGATGAGATTGTCGGTAGCTACCACTAACTTCCCCTCACCAATCTTGAGCTCGTTCTGAGCGGCATAGCCTAAGAGGTACACTACACTTCCTAGATCCAGGTTTGGTTTGGAACATGTCTTCAGGTAATGTGGCTGTTGGGTTTGAGTCTGGGAATTTGAGTCTCCATCAACAAGGTCTAAGCCAACTATGGTGAGATCAATCACGGAACTTGTGATGAAAAACCTGCAAATGCCACCAAACAATGCACAACTGAAATTGATATCGAGCTTGTTCATATTATGTTTGATGCATTCAATGAATTGCATTTTTAGACAATCTCGCACAGATGAGTTTTCAGGTTTCTTGGAAATGCTGAGAAATTTGCGAAAAAATGGTAAATATGCCCAAAGTTGAGGGTTTCCAATAATTACAAGGTGAAATATCAATTTTGCTGTTAAGTTAAAACTTACCAAATTTAGCTATAGATCCAGAAACATTACTAAATAAACATTACTACAGGATAAAGGTCTTCTCTTTAGGTTCTTTTGGTCTGACGAAAAGCTATGGTTTGGTTTTTAAATGTGAATTGGAGCCATTTTAATCCCACTGATTCAAAAATTTCCACGGATCGTGCAACCGACAATACAGGAAAAAAAAAACAAATTGAATCAAACTCAAGAGTGTTAAGAGAGTGGTGAGACCTGTGGGGGAAGAGAGCGGCGGCGACACCGTTCTGAAGGCGGACCTCGGCAGTTTCGGTGGCGGAGATGGAAGGGAGATTGAGGTGAGTGGTGAGAAGAAGATTCCGGTGAATGAGGAATCCGGTACCGGAAGAAATCCCATTTGGTCCGGAGACGGTGATTCGAGCCATCGCCGGAGCTTTGCCGGAGAAAATGGAACCTTTCATCTTCTCGCTTTTACCTACTCCTTTGCAAAAGCACCATGAGTCCAATATGACTCCCATTCTCTCTCCAGATTCTGCTCTGAGATGGGTTTGTCCAAATTTCCTTTTTTGTTAATCTGGGTTTTTGGAGAGTGTTGGATCTGAAAAGGATGGGAATTTATGAGAGAAGTAAGAATTGTAAGAATTGGTGGTGAGTTAATAATAATAATAATAATGGGATTATGGAGACATCACACATGTATGTGTCTGCCTCTGTTTTGGCTGTTAAAGCATCAAATTCTCTGCGGATTTGACCTCGATGAAGACCGAAGAAGAGAGAAAACTCATGAAGAAGAAGAAGTGAGAGAGAAACACGAGACGGGGGAATCGTGAAGTGAGTAAAGAGATGTGCTTCTTTAAGCTGGACTTGTTCTCTTGCTACTTTTATTTTATTATTTTTTAGTCAAAAAAAAAAGGAAAATGTTTTTCTTTTTTTTTGGATTCAAGTATGCATTTTTGTAATAAGAATTAAGGAGAAGCAAAGACGGGAAAAAGTCTTAAGAGTGACAGATATGTCTGGGAGGATCTTGTTCCATGTGATGAACATGGACATTTTGCTTATTATGATTATAGGCATTTTTTCCTTTCTTAACGTTTTCTTTGCTTGTCGCTTTGTCTAATCATAACTTCGTTCGGGTATTAAATAAGTTTCAAAATAATCCAAACTGTATAATTCAGTGTAACACTATTTTTATAACTCTGAGAATGCAAATTACAACAAACAATAACAGAATCCAATCTTTTACCCAAAAAAAAATTGATTCATTTAATTAATCCTTTTTCTTTAATTAATTAGTTGAAGTTGTTTTCACTTTCACTAGTCAGCTTTGAAGTATGCCATGGAGTGGGATTCACACAACTTGCATCTAAACAAGACGAAATTTACATTAACAAATATTATAACTTACATTTTTGCTATTAAAACGTTTAAAACTAAAACTTCGTTAACTATCACGACAACAAAAGAAAACTCAAACTTAAAACATTGTTCAACATCATTCAATGTTTAAATCAGAACCCAAAATTTTACGATTGATGTCAATCAGAACCAAATCTCTATTCTGCATGGACTTAAAAGAAGTCTTTTGCCTCTGCAATATCCTGCAACAGTAAGCAATACCACCAAAACTAAGTAAAGATTCAACATTAGTAACATTAAAAAATGAGAACAAGAATTAAACCAGAACTTAATTTAGCCTTAATGAGCTTTAGAATTCCGAGTTAACAAAGAAAGAAGAGAGCAGAGAAAGTACATGCTGCAAGAAAACTGCAGTGATTTCTTGATATCACAGAATCTGATCCCTTAGGACGCATAGCTTCCACACATCAATAGCAACTTATGTCCAAACCAGAACCTAGCCATCAAAATGAAGAGAGAAAATAATACTTGTCACAGTTAGGAATTCCAAATCAACATAAGCCAAAAGATGTGCATAGCAAAAGACATGCATAGCTTGAGTCCTAAGAAAGTCCAAGCTGCTTAAGACCAAAAGTTATATGATGACAACACATCTTCTAATTAGATATATTGATCTGGTGCCAGCAGACAGTTTTAGAGAAAACAGGACCTCACACGGTTCCCAAAACTACAACATTCAATCCTCAGGAACTCAAAGCCCTCGCTCTAATATGCATACGCCGGCCATACGTTTGGCCAAAGATGAGAAAACTGCAAAAGTAGCTAAGAGCGAGATCCGTTCTTACTCTAATTCGCATCTCTGGCAAAGAATGGCAAGTATATCATATTCTGAGCAACAGAAAAGCTAACTTGAAAGAAAAAATATCTGATTGTGACAATCCAAATCAAACCATCTAGCTAAAACTCCAAACTCTTAACACTGATCAGCTGCCATCAGACTGAATTATAAGAAAATGGTTTTCTCATTGGTTCATTCAGATCAGAGTATCCTCCAATCTTCTGAAACTCAAAACCCTTGCGCAAAATTTTCAATCATCATCTGGCAACTTAACGATCAAAGCCGAAACGAAAATCAACACAGAATACTTCTGTCAAACGAGAATACCACAAGCAAAAGTATACAACAAACCGACCCTATGCTTTACAGAGAATGAAACAAAATCCAATCAATCAAAAAATGCTCGAACACATCTGGTAAAGATCGAATCTTTAACCTCACAGATCTCTCCGCCACTCTCAAAGTTTCAACCTTTCGGCTGTTAAAAACTCGACCGTGTCGCTAGGGCTTTTTGTTCACGTCTTAAAATGATGGGGAAAACAGTCATTTCAGAAAGAAGCGTATATCCTACCTGGACACTGGATAAGCTAATCCGGTTACCCAAACATATCTTTCTCGTTTCCGAAATTATTACAATTGCAATCCCTAATTTGACATTCCCCGTTCCTCTTTGATCTCTCCGGCTTCATAAACGATCAAATTAATCACCGGAAAATTTCACGAGAATGGCTACAGCCATTGGAGGAGGTAGGGACGTAGAGGTAGGATTTGCGAAGCTGCAAGGTGAGGATTTCGAGTACTATATGCAGTCATACTCCATTATGCTCGGCCGGAATTCTAAGAAATCGACCGTCGACGTCGACCTATCTTCTCTTGGCGGCGGGATGAACATTTCCCGAAACCACGCTCGGATCTTCTACGACTTCACGCGCCGCCGCTTCTCCCTCGAGGTCCTGGGCAAAAATGGCTGCTTCGTTGAAGGCGTACTCCATCTCCCTGGGAACCCTAACGTCAAGCTCGATTCACAGGACCTTTTGCAGATAGGGGACAAAGAGTTCTACTTTCTTCTACCGGTTCGGAGTATCCTAGGCGGGCCGTTGGGACCAAGGCACCACGTCTCAGGGCATACTATTGCCGGCACAGTTGTTCCCTACCAAAATTATCATTCGGGTCCGGGTTCCGGGTCGGGTATAAAGAGTGGACGGAGTAGAGAGCTCTATGAGTATGATGATGATGACGAAGATGACATTGACGATGACGATGACGAAGATGTCAGGGGCAGTGGGAAGAAAACAAGGAGAGATGGACATGAAGAATATGCTTCCGGTGGTAAAACCAGTGCACTCATGATAGTTTGAGTTCTTATTAGCTTATTTTCATTCTGAGACTAAATAGGCTTCGGGTTTCAGTTGATCAGATCATGCTTGTTTAAAGATAGGTTGTAGTGATTTTGTTTTCTTTTGTTGCGCACAACTTTTGGCTGATATTACGATTTTAGAGTTGGATTCCTGTGCATGTTACTGACACCACGACATTGTCTCTGCTTCATGTGTGCAGAGAAGAAAAGAGAGGGAAGAGCAAAGGTAGATCGTGAAGCTGATGATCAACAAGTTTTGCAGCTAGAGGAAAAGGATGTTGTATCATCTGTTGCCACTGTGCTTTCTGATTTGTGTGGTCCGGGAGATTGGATGCCTATGGAAAAACTTCATTCCGTGGTTAGTTTTTACAGAACCTAGCACGAGTTTTCTACTATTATGTCTATAACAATCTATACAATATTCATGCAAATTATTAGGTCTATAACAGTATATACAATTTCATGGCAATATTCACCCTTAAATGCTAGCTTGGTATTCAGTAGTTAGTCAGTGATAATATTTTACCTCACTTACTGAAACTTAAGGCCCCTGGCTATATTATTGGTAGTGTTACCATTAATCCATTGAAAGCAAGCGTGTATGGTGTCAATGCGGTCTTACCAATTTTCCTATGCATTGCATAGTTTCATCCTGTTTCCATCAACCAACCTATTTGTGATTCAATATAATGCTAATGTATCATAGTGCTTGGCCTGTGACAGATATTAAAGAAGTATGGAAACGTATGGCATCACAGTCGAGTAAGAAGGTACCTGGCACAAGAAGATTGGGCTATCCCTGAAGCAAAGGGTAAACCGTGGTTCGGTTTGCTGATGCTGCTTAGAAAATACCCGGAACATTTTGTAATCAACACAAGATCAAAGGGAAGGGTTACGCTAGAATTCGTATCCCTCGTCTCCCTCCTCTCATGAAAACCATCATCACCAACATGATTGTGCTTGTTTTACTTAGTGCAGAAAAATTGTTATATCTTTTGATTCGATTGAGTGTAGGGCGGTGTCTATGTAATGGATTGGGAAACATTGTTGGGCTAGAGCCTAACTTTAATATATTACCAAAATAATGTGTGTTTATAGAAAGAAAGAAAAAAATAACGTTTAAAATGGGAAGAGGTGTATGACACGGGCTAGGCCCATTAAAGAAGAAAAGGCCCAAAAAGAAAATGACCAGAATCAGACAATATAAAATGACTAAACGTGTGGTCTTAGGGTTCTTATCATTTTTGTTGCAGCATTTGAGATCGAAGGTACCAGAGAGAGACTTGAGCGAAGATGATTTATGATGTGAACTCCGCCCTCTTCAGGTCCTTCCTTAGCCAGAAGGGAAGCTCTTCCGACAAAAGGTACAAACACTTCTTTTCTCTTTTGTGCTGTTTTGACTGATTTTGAACGATGCTGTTTCTGGATCTCAAGATCTTGTTCTGTCAAATTGAGTGATGTTACTATTCTTTTTTTTTTATCTCCCATCGCATGTTAATTAGGAAATTGTTATTTTAATCTCCCATCCTCTGTTAACTAGGAAAATCGAGGACAAGCCAAGAGAACAGAAGCCCAAAGCCAGCGACAACAAACCTGTTATGAATGAATAGACTTATCCCTTGTTGGTGTGTTCATGTAACATTTCCTTTGTTAGTGTGTCATGTAACATTTATATTCGAAGCAGAATTTTATCTTAATGTTCATTTGAAGTTTTCTTTCCTTTGAACTGCTCTTTTGGGGGTATTTTTATCTAGGATCGTAGCCAGTTTCTTCGAGTCAAGATTTGCAGAAATCCGATTTATTTACCAAAATATAAAGTAAAAGCTTCACATCCATAGATTCACAATAATTCTGACCACTCTTGCTATGACGACAATCATAACGTCTCGTGTTTTGAGTCTAGTCGCATAACAATCAATTGGTTGATTCGATCACTATAATCATATGTATATGCAAGTAAATTTGAAGCCTCTATCTACATAACTAGGCAGGTTCAATTTTGATTCTGTTCTTTTTCTTCTTCGTCGAACTTCCTCTGGTCCTCCATTACCTGCTCGTATTATTCCCAGAACCTGAAGTGAATCTGTTACTTTCTCCAAACACTCACTTCTGTCTGCATCTCGCTTCTTCTCCGTGAGCTGAACAAGACGAGAGTGTAAACTTACTGATCACCTTAAACAAATTAGACGAATATGTTATAATTTGCTTAAATAATTTATATAGTAGACATGTACGTAATAAAAGCTAGAGGTCATAACAAGTCCTGTAGAGATGATCGTCTCACAACTCTTTCGCTTTACATGTGCATTAACAAGGCAAGGCAATGAAAAAGATCAGTTTTATATTTAACTCCACAAAAGAAAAAAGGTGCAAAATGAGTTGGAAACCAAAAACAAAGATTACCAATAGAGTCCCTTTGAACTCAAAACTGCATTTCAGCTAAAATATATACACAAAACTGTGACACAACACAAAGGTATCCTAAAAAAACGAGTAACGTTTTAAAACGTTGACGGAACAACCGTTATATGCCTTAACGGATGCGGGACAGGGGTCCCACCAGCGTGGATGATGAATTCAGCCGGCGAGAAAGACGTACCGTGGCAGACGCAGATGATACTGATCTCTGATTTCGAGTATCTATACAGAAACCCATTTACGGTTTTGCCCTCGGGTCCGTTACCAGTGCTAGTCACGCACGGCATCTGAGCAAACGGAAGGGTTAAAGAAGCGCCCTTCACTCCGTTACCGTTGGGACGCGGTCTTGGAGGCTTTCCGATCTCTTTGGCTACAGGTTTGTGACGCTCTTGGGTCTTCACTACCACCGCATCATTCGAACCGTCTCTGCTCTGCACGGTTTCTCCTGTACCGGTCTGAATGTTGTTAACCGGCGATGTAACCGGTTTTGTTTGGCCAGAATTTACCCCAAAGTCACAACTTCCACCTGAACATGATGAGGACACAACCATAATTAATTCCTCCGAATTATTTGCATGCAAATACCATAATTTTCTCGCTTCTTCAATACATCGAACCTATTCTAATACTTGTTAAGAAAAAAATACTGCTATAAAAGAGACGTTATGAAAATTTCTTTTTTTTTTTTCCATAAATATCAATCAAATTCAATCTCTTCAAAAAAAAACTAGTTTTCTTTTCAATAAGGTAAGGTCTTACAAAAGCTGGAAAATTTTGGTAAATAGAACGATATATACCTTCATGGCGAGAAGAGCTGCTCGGATCAGATACGTCGGGGGAGCTGCAAATGGGTGACCCGATAGTTACGGGTTTACAATTTTCCTTAAATTGACCCGACCCGTAATTGTTACCCATTTTCCTAAAACTCAAGTCCAAATTCACGCCGTGATCAACTCCGTCAAGGATTCCGTTACATACCGTTCTGATCCTCTTGCACTCAGCTTCTTCTTCTCCGCTTCTCTGCGCTTCCCGCCTCTTCCGTGTTCCGCCGTTGAGATCAAAGCCAATATCCTTGGCGCATCTGACGGCGTTATAATTTCCGTCCGTACGGAATTCGATTGGTTTAGCTTTCTCTGTTTTCTTGAAAGGACCTCCGAGAGAAAGACATAGCTCAAGCTCGACCTGAACTTCATCGTCTTTTCCAAGCTTTGTTGCCATTGATTGAGGAGTAATGGAATATTCAACAATTATGTAATGTCAAAAAGAAAAAAAGTGATGGTTTGTTACCGATATTTATACTGTGCAGTATTTTGGTTTGTAAGGGTTTTTGAAGCTTTCGTCCGTTTTTCGGAAAAGGAAGTCTTTGGAACATGACACGTGTCCGAAGAGCATAGTGGACATTGGCGGTTTCTAATTTAAACGTATAATTAATTATAAACCTATTCATTAGTAGAAGGGTTAAGAAACTTGATTAGCGCTACAATCTCGGATTATCCGATTAACGCTTTCCATTTGCATTGTTGGTGTCTATTTTTCAATTGGTTAAGAAGCAGCGGAAACTTTTTTGACGGAGTGTAGAGAGGCCGCCAAGTGCAACACGTGGAACATGCATCTGACACGTGTACCATGAGAGACTGCTGGCGTTGACGAGGACACGTTGGTTTTCAGCTCGTTGTATCCCATATCTGACTCCGCGAATCTCCAGCACGAAGTCGACTCTTGGTTCAACACGTGGCCCTCATCGATTAAAGCTGGTCCCACAGTCTTGAGGTGAAAGCGAAAGACATTGCCGTACCGGTCCAGCTCAGCAAAAGCGCCGTTACGGCTATTCTCATCTGACGTGACGGATGTGCGCCACGTGATTCTTTTTTGACGGACTCGTTCGTCATCATGATTTCGAGAACAAGTGGTTGTAAAGAACTATCTGACCGATAGGTGACACGTGTCTTTCTTCGAATCGTGGAACAGCTTGCAGTAGTTGCTGTATGAAAATGGAAAAGTCCCAAGCCTTGTAGTCTTGCATGAGTTGCATCTGGAAAGTGGAAGACAAGGAATCTTTACGGAATGAAAATATACGGTTTCCTTTTTTGGAATCTTCTTCTTTACATCGTTTTTTGTTTTTGATTTAAACGGAAGATAACATAATATCTTACGTTCGATAATAAAAATTAAATAACTTGCTTATGTGTCCCTCCCTTTCTTTAAAACAATTTTTGTGAAAAACAATGAAGTAGTGCATTTTCCCATTTAAAAAAAAAGAACTAAAATTCTTATATATATATATATACTATTAAAGAACTAAAATTCAATAAAATAGATTTCGGTTTTTAACCAGATAATATATTTAACCTTATTTAATTTTTCTATATATATTATACTAGACGAACGATTGAAGGCGGTGTCTCGAGACATAGCAGCGATTTGAAACCGGTAAACTCAAAAAGATATTATGAAGTCTGTCTCAAAAATAATGGACGTCGGGAATACAGAGTCGGTTGAAATTAATGGGCTAATATTTTTTAGTTCAGGCCCAAAGAAAGTCCATTTTGTTTGTTCATTTTTATTCTTCGGTGTGAGAGAGTGATTGTACACGGAGAGTTTTTGTTTGGCTCCAAGGCCCAAGCTCTTGGTAGTGTTTGGAAACGATCGCGGTGTGAGTAAACTGTTGCGTTAAATTAACAACAGACGCTTAAAACATATTTGGGATCGTGATGTTCTTCAATTCAAAATTTTAAATAGCAACAAATGGTCGGGTTTTGCCGTGATTAATGAATACTTTTACCAAAAAAAAAATAAATAAATGGTATCTAAACGATGGTTCCAAGGTGATAAGAATTTCAAATTATGGCCTAGTTCACAATAGCAACAAGTACGTTTGATGACATATTTTATAATTTTTGAGTTATGATCTGAAACGTTCCAATAACACAGATACGTATTTTCTGTAACGATGTTGGTGGAATTCGTTTCTTCAACTACATTTTAGATAGTATAGAACGATATTTTTTCTTTTGTCTAAAAACAAATTTTTACAACAAAATGCATAATTCACTAAGTTTTCAGACTTTACGAAACACTGAAAACGCTTTATTCAAACCCAAAACACTCTACTGTCTTCCGTTTTATCGGTGGTCAAAATCTAGCTATTGGGTATAATATTTATTAAGTTTTCATTTTTATTTAACTTTTTATTATTCGGTGCTACAGCTAGCACCAACTTGCTTATACTGTATCTGTATGTTTGTTTATTTAACAAACTGGCCACATGCTTAACTGTTTTATTCTTAAATAGTGAACTCCATAAAGAAATTGGTTTTTGTTTGTATAAAATTAAACACACTGCCCAGTTGGTTAAGTTAACCTTGTTCCTTGGTGAAGTCAAGGGTTTGAATCTTTATTTCTTTGTTTTAAAGGTTTTTAATTGTTTTTTCCTTTTGGTAAAGTTGTTTTAAAGGCGAACATGTTAGAAAAAATAGCTTTGAATTTCAGGGTGTGATTTCTCAAGAGGTTTTGAGATTGGTTTTACTTATGAATAAATTAGTTGCACATTAGGCTTGATTCTGAGTAATTTATTTGAGCTGAGATTGCGGAAAACTCATGCTAAAAACTTGTTTATCTTTGTATTAGTTGGATTTGATTAAAATTTCTCTATAAAAAAACACACTATGTCAGTAAAAAAAAATTGAAGTACGAAAACCCTCAAGGAAAAATAGATTCAACTTTTCTTTGTTTCCTTCAGACTGTTAACAAAACATAATTCATTTAATAGTTAAAAAAAATGAAGTACGAAAATCCTCAAGGGACGTTCTTTTATCTCTGTTATATGGAAACAGTAATCCAACTTTAACCCGTATCTGCTTTCAATCATTTGCTGTTTCCAACTTTAATCATTTTTTTCGGGAAGTGTTTTACAGACTGATTACCGTTTCTACTTTCTACAAATCTTTAGCTCAAAACTTAGTAAATATTACCTCCATATTATATATGTAAGTACAAAACCATAACCAGAATTTTAGTGACATCCCTTGTTTTTATTCTCTTCTCTCCTCGCAATTTCCATGCATGTTTCCTTAAACAATAAAAAAAGACAATGTCAATTTTTACCAAAAAAAAAGACTATGACAATCAAAAAGAAAACATAAAAACAATAGAAAAGACTGATGGACTACAATTTTAATATTATATAGAATAAAGAGTCATTGACCGATAATTTTTGAATTTATAAAGGTGATCAGTGGAACATAAATATTCAAAAAGTGATTTGGATTTTCATACTTCTTACACCATAATAAAAATGAAGTTTTAGATAGGATTTTTGATCTACATATTGCTTTTAGGATTAATGAGAAAATCTATCACTAACAAAAATACACTAATAAATAAAGTAATTATCTATGGAGAAGGTTAATTTTAGTTTAGTTTAATATTAATTAATTTTAATGCAATTTATGGTTAATTAAAAAATATTTAATTAATAGAAGATGTTTTATAATCTTTTGTGTGAATGAAGATTTGTCATTAAATAACATATATATTGATATATATATATAAGCCTAAAACAATATTTATGACAGAGATAAAAGTATATTGTTTAAATAAATAAAAAATAATTAATTACCATTAATTTTACTTATGATGTAAATGAAAACTATCCATAGAATGGTTTATGTGTATAATGAATTAGATATATCAAAAATTAAGTCTATCTCTTTTTATGTCTATATATTATTATATGGAGTATTTAACAAAATCAAGTATTCTTCTTCCTTGTTTATTAACAGATTCGGTAAATGATCACTCAATAGGGGTTGGTTTATTATTTATTTGAAAACTTTTGCTATAAATATCAAACCTAAGAAACAAGAACGTGCAATTAACCATCCCATTTATCAAATTAAAAAAAAAAAAAAAACACATCCTTCCTTCTTCCATGGATTCCTCAGGTACTTTCCTCATTCTGTCTTTCTTCCTCTCATAACACACCCTTTTTACAATAGATCTGGTCATAACAAGTTAACGTACATCTATATGTGCCAAAGTCCATATAATCTTAAGATAATTTCAGAAAACAATATGGCCCTTATTATATTTTTCAAACATCTAAATGAGTGAGAATGAAAACGGTTAATAGAACAATTCTAAAAACATAATTTTTGATTTTTTTTTTCTAAATTCTAATATTCGAACTTTTATTCAAATTCTTCTATTTATAACGATTAATATAACGTTTGAGTTTTTTTCGCATTTTGACTTTGTTAACCATTTGAGTAAAACGTGTTTAACACTTTCAATCGTATACTGCATATTTACAACATAAGCGACATTATTCGCCCCTTTGCGATCGGGACCTTTTTCACTTTGTCTGATCTGCATCTGAACTTTGACTTTTCTATCATATTTTTTTTTTGAATCTTACTTTTCTATCTTTTTTATAAAATAGAGAAACCGATTCAAAGCTTTATACTATAAATCAGTTAGATAGAGTCGTTAGTTTGAATGATCTATCACAACATATTGTTAACTTAATGGATTAAGTTAATTAGTTTGGTTTAACAGAATTAAAGCTCGATTATAAAAAAGGAAATTGCTTTGATTTGGTTCAAAGCAGAATTCCATGAAAATCTAATGTAAATCAAGTGATTAGATCAGATCTCGTAGAACTCTAAAATAACATTGTCACATGTACACAAGTACAACAATGATGAAGTTATGTAGGAAACTCGATACCTTAGTCATGAATCGAACTCTCGTGGAACTGAAAAGTAAAAATTGATGCAAAGACGGAATGATGAAATTATAGAAAACTTGCAGATCAAATTTTGATATTTGCCAAACAAAATTATCGGATGTTTCATGTGATCCAGATTTAATCGGTTCACATTGGAGTTTTGTGATAGTTTAGACTTTAGACTCTCAAGGAACCAAAAGAATGAACATTGCCGCAAAAAAAAAAAAGGATTATAAAATTACCGGGAAAATTTAAAATCTATGTCCGGATAATGGAATGCATACTTAAAATTAAGTTTGAATCCACTTGGGTAACATGATAGTGTTAAAATTTAATTGGAGAAACAGGGTTTGGTGAAGAAACGTCTTGGCCGCCTTTACCTTTTCCTTTGAATATTTATAGAAAAATCGGAGATGCTCTGAAAATTACGCTTTCCGATACGCGAAAAGTTAATGGAAACTTATTTATATTATAAGTTAGATCGCGTATATACTTTTCAACGATTTTACGAATCCACAAATCCCTGGATCAACGGCAACCCTTCGTTTCTTCCCACCCGCGTATTATCTCGTTTCTAAATTTCCTGAGAAAAACCATTTGTTTTCCGGGAAAATCATAACCCGAGCGAAAGGTTTTTGGTTTCGGGTGGGAAGATACGTTGTGGTGTGAATTCTAGTGGGCATCTGGGAAAATCTCAAAACTTTTCGAAATTCCTTTATTTCTTATCCAATCTGGTGATTTTTGTTACAATCAACGACTCGATTAGCTCTAAATCCGGATTAGGAGATTTCGAAAGAGACCCACTTTTTACATTTCTCCAGGGATAATTGGAAACAGCTTGGATCGCTTATAGTTGCTGTTTCTCTGATTTGTGATTTTTGTTCCTTGTCGGTTGGATCCGGTGGTGGTTTTCAATGGGCGCATTAGATGAAGGGCATTTGAATCTGGAGCTTGAGGTTGGATTGAAAAATGGCTGCATTGAGCTTCCTTTTGAGCACCAGCCTGAGACTTTAGCAATCCAAGACGCTGTCAAGCTTCTCTTGCAAGGTCTTCGTGAGGATGTCAATAGAGAAGGCATCAAAAAGACTCCTTTTCGTGTCGCCAAGGCCCTTCGAGAAGGCACCAGAGGTAATATTGCTGGTTTCTTCTTCCTGTACTCGAATCTGATTATAGCCTCCATCAGTTATTGATTTAGGTTTGTTTCTCTTCCTTTGTTTAATGACCCTCCCTGTGCTAGCTTTATTTGTTACTTAAATGATGCTTGGTTTAGTTTCTGCTGTTATGGTTTGTAATATCTTAGGATTTACCTTTTATCGGCTTCAACTGGTGAAATGAGTTAGAATTTAATGCTGTTACGGAAAGCAATAGAATGTTGCTAAAGTCATGTTTCTCTGATGGCTTCTTTTGCTCAGGTTATAAACAAAAGGTGAAGGAGTTTGTACAGAGTGCTCTGTTTCCAGAAGCAGGGTTGGATGAAGGAGTTGGGCAAGCAGGTGGAGTGGGAGGACTTGTTGTTGTTCGAGATCTGGATCATTACTCTTACTGTGAATCTTGCTTGCTTCCTTTTCATGTGAGGTGCCACATAGGTTATGTCCCTTCGGAGCAACGGGTCTTAGGACTGAGCAAGTTCTCTAGAGTCGCAGATGTTTTCGCTAAGCGGCTCCAAGAGCCTCAGCGTTTGGCTGATGATATTTGCTCAGCTCTCCAACACTGGGTCAAACCATCTGGAGTTGCTGTTGTTCTGCAATGCTCTCACATTCGCTTCCCTACTTTGGACGTTGACTCTCTGAGCTCGTCAAGCCACCATGGATTTGTGAAGCTAATGGTTTCCTCTGGGTCAGGTGTTTTCGAGGATGAAAGCTCGGATCTTTGGGGTGAGTTTCTGAGTTTATTGAAGTTCAAAGGCGTGAAAACGCAAGCTTTGTGTAGAAATGGCGGCTCTGTGAGAGAGTGGTGCCCGAGCCTCAAAAGCTCGTCTAAACTCTCGCCTGAAGAAGACACAGAAATGGTTTCTGCAGTCGTTTCCATTCTGAAATCATTAGGAGAAGATCCGTCGAGGAAAGAACTCATTGCCACACCAGCTCGATTCCTCAAGTGGATGATGAACTTCCAAAATGCCAACCTCGAGATGAAGCTAAACGGCTTTAACTGTGTCAAAAGCAAGTGCGAGATCAGTGAAAGTAGGCTGCACTGTGAACTGAACTTGCCCTTCTGGTCAATGTGTGAGCATCATTTGCTTCCATTCTATGGAGTTGTTCATATTGGCTACTTTTGTGCTGAAGGATACATCCCCAATTCTACTGCAACTTCACTCATGAAATCGATTGTACACTTTTATGGGTTCAAGCTTCAAGTGCAAGAGAGGATGACTCGACAGATCGCTGAGACACTATCGCCTCTTGTTGGCGGGGATGTGATCGTAGTAGCGGAGGCTGGGCATACTTGTATGATCTCTAGAGGAATTGAGAAGTTTGGAAGCAGCACCGCGACAATTGCAGTTTTGGGTCGGTTTTCGAATGACGGTTCTGCTAGAGCGGCCTTTCTAGACAAGATCCATACAGCAACTGCCTTGAAGACAGATTCAAGCTTCCCCATTTGAGAGGGTTTTCTTGTTTGTTTGTTGTCTTATCTTATATGCTTCTGGTTGGGTTTTCTTTTTCTTATATATTATCATAAACACTTCGAAGTCTCAAAGCTTCGGAAGCAAATCGATTTCTTGGTTTTTGATTCTTCATAATGGCTTCGTTTGTTTTTGACATCGAACTGAATATCTATCCATATTCTTTTAATAACGATAGATAATTTTAGAGGCATTTTCCCCAACACTGTTTACGTATCCAGACCCTCTTTCCTTAAAAAAGAAGAAATGAGTAAACTTGTTTGGATTCCAGGAATAATTGTGACCCAGAAAAGGGGAAACAGAGTATACAAATGTAATCTATTAGTGGGTAAATTATAAAATCTCTCCCTATTTTTCTATATCTCTCTAATATACAACTCAATGCTAATCCCATCAACTGATGATTGACACAGCAGAATCAAAACTTGAACCAAAAGTCTGAAATCTCACTTCCAACAATCACACTCTCAAAAAGATTTTACTCTAAATCCTACGTAGCCCTTACTGACCTGACTTGTTGTGCTATTAGGGAAGCCTCTCTCATCTCATGAAGCCAACCCAGTCATACCGCAACATCTCTCATTCCAGCTGTGCCGAGCAAAGTACTGAGCAGAAGTCACTGCAATGCGACGTGAGGGAGGATCGTTCTCCTCAGTTTGAAAGTGGATGACCATCAGAATGTAGTCAAACTAGAATGGAACAACATATGGAAGAGCTACAACATCAGCATATTCTATTCTAAGAGCCTGGTTCCAGACTTGCAGAGTCTCATCCAATGAAGTAGTAGAATCTGCTCTTTGCTTCTTTAATAGTTTCACACCCGACTGACCAAATAGCCATTCTTGTTCACCATCATCGATCTCATACAATTCCTCTCTTTTCGGTACATTCAGTATCTGATCCAAATACTTTAAGTCTGAATGAGGCCGCTTTTTTGCTGATGCTTCACTGCCTTCCTTTACTTTCACAGAAGGAATCGTTGGACGGCTTTTGGATTCTTGAAAACCAATGTATCCATTAATTTTATGCTCCTTCACCTCTGGGTTACACACTGTTCCTTGCAACTCAGAAACAGGTTTCGGAGGAGATGGGCATGCTCCTAACTTTCTTCCGTTTTTCACGGATGATATAGGAGAAGCAACTGGCCTCTGTATCTTGTTTGGCCTAGATCCATTCTCTGCATAACAATTCAAGAACCCAAGCTAAGAGACAAACAGTAGTAACGTAAAAAAAAAACACAGTAGGAAAATAAAATCAGCAAAATCGATCTTCCAATGATTATACAAAGTGAAAATAAAATATACTAAAATATAGAGAAATCAAATGAGCATGCTACTACTCTCTGAATAAAACATAAGTTAAAAAAAAAACGCACAATATAGTACCCGTTCCATTGAATAAAAGGGCTGGATTAGGGAAGGACTCACCATACAACAATCCATTTGTCTCAAGATCCTTCCGTTTGCCAAGAATTTCCTCTGCGGTAAGGTTTTTGAAGCTCGCCCTGGAAAGGTCCTGCACTCTCAAACTCCTACTATCCACATCTCTCTCTTTTAATCTGGGCCCTCCCTCTACATATTTTAGTTTGTCATGACCAGCTTTGTCTAACACATCTGTTTTCTCCTCTTTCTTCTCTTGACTACTTCTATGTGTTGTGTACTTTGGTTCACTTTTCTTTAACCCTTCGCTATACAATGGCTTATCACTCTTTGTCACACTTTCCCTGCGGTGATTCTTCTCTTGTGGTTCCGTTTCGTTTGATTGATCTTTCACCTCCACTGGTTTGATCATAACCTCAGTTCCTTTCTGATCTGTGCAAGATGATACTCGAAGAACCGCATTTTCAGACCTTTTTTCCATGGCAACGTTTTTATGAGTGTTGATTCTCTTTTCATCATCTTTCCTATGCTTGTTTTGTGGAATTGGGCAGGAAATCTTGGTCTCTGTAGCTCCACAAGGAAAACTAAGCTTTCCCACACTTTGACTGTCTGTAGCTTCTTCTTCATCTCTGATCCTTCTTGCCAGGTCCTGTATAAACTTAGTCTCTCCATTACCATTATTCTGCAAAGTATTTGTTACAAGCTTTTCTCTGTCCCCTGTGTTCGGCAGAACACCAGCAGTTCTTTTGCCCTCAGAAGTTCTGCTCTTTTCTTTATCCCGATCTTTGTCTTTCCTATCTCTATGTTTCTCCTTTTTCTCCTTCCGTTCCTTGTGTTTGTCTTTGCTTGTTTCTTTATCTCTTTTCTCTTTTCCTTCTTTCTTTTCTTTATCCTTCTTCTCCTTTTTGTGCTTCTTCTCTTTCTTTTGCTTTTCCTGCAGTTTCAATCCCAGGAGAAAAAGACCACACATATATAAGTGATGATTAAAGAAAGGCATTCAGAGAATTAATTAGCTTTACTTGGTTCAAATAAGTTTTGAGAGAAAAAACCAGGTGGATCAATATTTCAAGACGGACAACCTCCAGTACGTACCTAGTTTCTCAAGATGGTACACAATCAACGATTCCTAGGAAACTATTCTCATATTATCTGTCAAACTGGTTAACTTCAGGTCAAATAGGCGAACCCTTACACAAATTATCAGCATCCAGCATTCTACGTTAGTCAAGGATTATAAGAAAAAGAAGTGGAAGGACACTTAGGGCAGACCAGAAGCCACTAGTGCAAGAAAATAAAAAGGTCGTAGTACTACATAACCTATTCTTAAGTTGAAAAAAGTTAGTACGTGGATAATCCTTACTTGTTTATGCAATTCACAGGCATTTATGATTCTATCATATTAAGTATCTGACGTCCATCAGCAATGATGATTATCATTACAGGTATCAATTCCTTTTCATCTAGAGAAATGTGTTGGGTGACAATAGCTCAGACTTGACCAACTAACAATAAGAGAATTTCTGAAACGGTCAATGTGTCCCTTACTCCAACACTTCGCTAGATCTGTATGTTGTAGAAAACAACACAAAGGATTCCACGAACTCGTCCATTCACCATTCTCCTCCATTAGATAAACGTATTCAGAGTAGAGGAACTCGTAAGAGGTCTAGTCTCGTGAAATATGCTAAGTTTTCTTCAACGGTTTCTAAAAGCCTAGAGTCAAGACATGTGTTATCTAAGTACTCTAGTAACTCTCCAACAAAAAACACCAGAAATTTTCAAACGAGAGGAGATCCTAAGGGCTAAGAGTTAAACAGATAGAACCTTTAGTAAAGAGTCTGCTTCATCGGTTCTAATTTTCTTCTCATATCCTGGAGGTGGAAATGGGAAGCAACGAGACATGGCACTTGTCCGTCAAGACCGTAAAGTGGTATACTTTCAACCACTCTTGTTACTTTTTCGCTCCTTTATCCCAACACTTGACCAGATCAGAAACTATGACCCAGTACACCATATCAATAGAATCACTTGGATAAACTTCCCAAAAGGCCACTCCAATCCAAAATACACTACAAAATTAGCAATTTACACCTCGAGAGCCGCAAGATTTGTCGCTAACCTGCAAAAACCATGAGCAGAAATCGATGTCATTTCGAGAACATAAGGCAAGCCGTAACTCAGATTTACAAGTTTTGGAGTAAAGCTATGAGCAGCTCAAAGCACCTTATCGGCAGCCGCCAACAAGTTGGCTCTTTCCGATTGAATGTGAATAAAATCCGATTTCGGGAATCAAATAGATACACACTTATTCCGTTACAATTCAATCTCTTTCTGACAAGTCTTTAATCTCCGAGAGCTGGTCCTAATAGTATGAAAACCGCAATTAGGATCCAAATCAAGGGTGCGATCCAATCAAACCCTAATAAAAATAAATCCAATCGGAATAAAATCACCAGCCCCGTAGAGAGATTGCTAAGTGCAATTGGCGTAAAAGGGAGTAAGAAAAACCGAAATCTTTGGGAGAAACCCAGATAGCAAAAAAAAAACGCAAATTAGCTTAAG